GATCAGCTCCCAGACGGCACAGTTGGCCGCCTTGGCAATCAACTCGAGGGATCGCTTCGCGGTCTCTCGAACGTGGCGGTTCATGTGTGCCAGTTCTGTGTTGAATTGCATGCAGATCTGGGCGAGGCGAGACCTCTGCTGCGGCGGCTGACCCGGGTTTTGCTGGGGCATTGCATCCTCCTTCTTGATGTTCTTTGTGATCCTCTGCAGCAAAGTCTCCAGGGTGACCTGAGCCGATCTTCTAGTCTTCTCGGGGAGATCCTGGGGCATGTCCTTGATGACGTACATGAGCGACCGAATGAACTCGATCTGCTTGCTCGCGACCCATTGGTCACCAAGGTCCAGCTCGGTAAGCAGGAAGTTGATGCCGAGGGAACCACCAGTCTTGGTGAACCACTCCTCCTCGTAGCAACCATGGCAGAAGGTCGCGCTCAGGTTGTTGAAGAAGGGCAGCCTGGCAACACTGTGTTGGGATCCGAAGATTGTGGCCGCAGAGTCGTACACTTCGCGGATAGCACGCTGCGCAGACTCTCGCACTTCAGGGTGGTCCGAAGCCAAGGACTCCACAATCGCATCGGAGAGTACCCGGGTATCAATAAAGAGTGGGCCCTCTCCGGCATTTGGGTCGAACGGGCTGTAGGCCCGCTTGACGTCGATCAAGGCCCGGCCGACCTCGACAATTGTGAAGTGCTTGCAGATATTCATGAGGAACGCCTGTGCGTCTTCCTTGAACTCTGGCAGGGATTCGGCAAACATGACTGCCTTGAGCAGGCGCCGAACAAGATCATCCTGCTCGTCCTTCTTGGGAATGGATCGCTCCTTGTCAGACGTCTCAAACGCAGAAAAGTCAAAATCAATCTTTCTGCTGACGAGATCTTGGGCCTGGAGACGCAGGAGCCTCGGGAGGTCGTCGGGCAGGTTCTCGAAGCCAATCCGCATCTTGAGCTGGGACTTGATGAAATGGAATGACTGCTTCTTGTAATATCCGTCGTACTGCCGGGACTGGTTGCCCTTGTTGCCCTTCGGTTGCTCCATGAGCTTCCTGATGGCCATGTCGACACCCGTCTCTGCCGGGAAGGCCCTGTCTCTCTTTGATCCAATGAGGCGGAGATCAAAGCTGGTCAGGTCGTCGGCGTACTCCTTGTACTTGAGAGGCTGCGCGTCGGTCATGAACTTTCGATTCCGGCCTCCGAGCTTGCCCAGAATGCGCATGGTGGTGTGAGCATGAAAGTGCCTGCGGGTGGCTTGAGGTGGTCGAATAACGCCGTCATTAACTCGTCGATCACCGGAGCCATAATGGGATCGAGATAATCCGCGGTGAGGTTGTCAACACAGAGCTCCAGAGTCCTCAGCCCCTGGCCGACAAGGTCTGTGCCAGCTCGCAAAGCGACAACCAAGGGCCGCATGAGGAAACTGAGATGGGGCAGCAGGTTGCTGAGCCGTGCCGGCACCGTCAAGCACAGCTCCACGTAGAGGTCTCGTTCGGCGGGCTTCCTTGCTGCCAAGAGCAGGTTGTTGAGGACATCCAGCAGCATTTCAAGCAGAGGAAGAATCTGCTTGTAGAGATGCTCAAACTTGCCGCCACCGATGCTTCGGAACAGCGACCGTAAGAGCAGGAAGTAGTTCATCGGCTCCTCTGCTTTGGTCGACAGCTCGATCGACTTGGTGACGATGTCCACGACGTGAGGAAGCAGCACCTGTTCGTTTTGGTTTGCAAAGAGCGTGACAGCCATAAAAGCTAGCTTGAAAAGCCTCAGGAGGATCGACGACTTCTTCACGTCCGCCGAACCGACTTGGTCGATCCTCTCCATCAAGAAGCGCAGAAGCATACCGCAGAAGCTAGGTGATGTCGCTTCGCTGGCGAGGAAAAACTGGGGGATGTGAAGCAAGGCTGTGTGCTCAAAAATCATATCGTACAGGTGGGGAATCTCCTGCTGGAAGACTTCATGGAAAGTCGCCGGGTCGATGCAGTGGAAGACTGTGGCGAACGTCTCCAGGAGATCCTTCTCCTCCTTGCTGCTAGACACCATGTAAAAGTTGGCCATGTATTCCACAGGTGACATATACTGGGACTCGGTAGCCGGCTTCTCGATTTCGTAGTAGCGGAAGACGTAAGCGCCCTCTCCGAAGAGCTTCACTATAACGTTGACCTCCTCAGCCGTGAAGCCATAGGCGACATCCTGCCAGTGTGCTGGAGCATTCTGTACATCGATGACGTTGTTAACATTGCATGTCCTCAACTGATAAAAGGTATTCTTGAGACCGTTCATCAGGTTCTTGAACAAGAACTTGTTATCCGCAACGGGGTCAGCGCCTCTATCCCTGGGGTTCGATGTCTTGATCGGCATGGCTGTGAAGATGTCTGTCTCGTCCCAGTCAGGGGGGTGATCCTTGTCCGCGAGGTAGCTGTCCTGGGTTCCGTCAGCGGCCTGTTGGGCGTAGAGTTTCGAGAGCTTCACTGCGTTGGGATATTGTCGATTCATGGCCACGAACTTGTCGCCGATGGCGTTGAGGATCATGATCAGGTAGTACCGTGCGTCGACCTTATTGGGCATTTTCGCGATGCATTCCGCCATATTCAGGAGCAACTTAGCGCTCATGGTTTGGAAGCTCGTGCCCGGGAAATTATCCTGAAGGTTTTTCGTGTAGACCTCGACCGTCTTGCGGATCTGCTCCGGAGTGAGACTGTCGCGGACGTGGTGGATCAAATCGGCAAGCATACTATAAGCCAACGGTCTCATAGTCTCGTAAACTGTCAGTCCATCGCCGATCAATGTCTTCTCGTCCAGGAGCTCGTCGATCTTTGGCAGAAAGATCTTGCGGAAGTTGAAGTTGATGATGTGTCGTATTGCGACAAGCAACTCCTTCCGTGCGCTGGACTTCTCCCTGGGACAGTCCTGCAAGAGTCGTACCACGATCTCGGGAAGGGTTGGCAAGAAATCGGTCAATTGTTGGGAGTATTGTCGCAGCAGGTAGGCTAGAAAGCTCATCGTCTTAACCTGGGCCGTGATGAACTCCCCAAAGGCAGCACGGTTCTTGATCAACGGGCTCACACCAGTGAAGATCTGTCCTCTGGCCTTGGCATCGGCATGAGCCTGCTTCTGCGCGCTTGCCTGGAGGCAGAGGAACCCCTTAATAAGCGGAACAAAAGCCTTGACGTTGGCAGCGACAGTGTTCCGGTAGACCTGGAAGACGGAAACCACTATGATGGGGCACTCGGACAGAATCTTGAAGGACTGCATCCCCTTCAGCAGGAGCCTGTTTTGTTGTTGCGGATCCGGGCCGAGATCTGTGACGGAGGCAACGGGCGAACCGGGACGAGGCGACTGGAAGTTTGTTTGGGAGCTTCCTGGCGTCGATGGGGCGCCAGAGCTCGATGCGGTCGAGAGGGAGGTGTTGTCCAGCTGCTCGCGCACGACCTTCTCCATCTGCTCGAAGAGCTCCTGGATCAGGCTGAGGAAGGCCTGGACCTTGCCGCCGAGCACCTTGTGTTGATGTCGCATGACATCCGAGATGATCTTGACGCATAGCGTCGCATTCTCTTCGTTGTCCGTCCGGACCAGTTGCATCAGCAGGTCGACAACCTCCTCGGCGTACGGTTCGAAGGGTTCGGTCGGGGACGATGTCGTCGGCAGTCGATGAAGGACCTCCAGTATGCAGTTCCGCAGTTTCTTCCAACCATGTCAGCAGCGCACTATCGGTTTTGATGCGGGACAGCTCACCTGCTCCGGGGAGTTGCTCTGGAAGATGCATGGTCCACGAAGGATGGCGATGAATATGGGCACCAATCGCTTGAGGAAGGGGGGGTATATGGGACCGGCCGTGTAGTGGTCTAAGCTGTCGCGCAAGGTAGTCGCCGCCTCTACCTTGATTCTCGCATCTGCAACACAAGCACATGTCAGTAAGGTCATGACGGACGAAGTGCGCCTCCACCTCTGGCGGGGTCCCGGGGTGTGGAGGAATCGCATCGCACGAGGGGTTGTTTCGTACCCGTTTCCGGACTGCTGAGCCGCTTCACGACATCGTCAATTGTCGTTCCCGACATCGCGGCTTCAATGGCCCCTTGGGGACGCGTGGTTCGCTCCCATGCGTGGGGGAGCAGGGTATCGCGGGTTGGTTCGTGTCGCAACGAGGCTGAGATGAGAATACGTAGGTGCGCGCGCGCGTCGGAAACGGAGGGGTATCGCTCGTAGATGAAGAAGGAAGAAAAATCTCTGCTTTTGAAGGGAAACGAGAAAGGCCGAAGGTAATTGTGCAATTAGAATTGCCTTCGCCAGTGTCTTATGGTGGGGGGTTGGCCAGGGTTTGTTTTCCCAGTGGCTCAAGATCGCGCGGCTTGACTTGATGGATTTGGAGGCCCAGGCTCGACGTGAACTTTCAAATTTCCCAAAGGCAGTCGCGAAGCTGGGGGGAGCAGTCGCCAATTCATTCTGCGCTAGGACATTGAAGAACTTTGATCCGGCGCTAGCGCCCCACTCGGAGAGCACCCGGGCCGCGGTGACCCTGCTTATCGGCTTGCTTGCACCTGGGGAAAGCTCTTATCGCCGGTGCCGTAGTTCTGGTGGATGCCGGTGGCTCGGAGGTGGGCCGGGGTCGCACTTTACTCTTTCGTCACTTGTTCAGCCTCGTTTTTCTTTGCTTTGTGTGGTTTTCCTGTTCTTTGAGTGATAATACCCAACGTGTTTCTGTCTTTGGGCAACTCCTTAGACATCTTCCTCAGTAAACGGAGTTGGTGTTTCACCTTACCTTTCTACGACTTTCTCCATCAACCCACCATCCAGCTTGACGGGGTATATCTAAGGCTGCTAGAAGCCGGCCAACACCGGTGAGTAACTTCTCTACACCAAACTCTACTTCGCTTGATACGAGGAGTGATCTGTTCTCAGCATCGGTCATACAAACCCGCACACATTTGGTGCGTCATTTTCGGAAGTCAATCTGCTCATACAAGAACCAGAGCATCACAGCTTCGTGTATCACCGCTGCGCAACACCGTCACCATGAGTGGACCGCATACTGCCTTCTTCTACGGTAAGTACCTCATCTAAATATTCGTGTCACGAGACTAACATTCCTACACAGGCACCTTGGTCAGTGAATCCCAGTATGGACAAGCCGAGTGCACCGCACCCACTAACATCGCCCCAAGATGGAGCCCAAGGTCTTCTTCACCGTGGTACAGGGCGACAGCAACCCTCCCCAGGCCATCAAGGACCTCTACACCTTCACCCCGGCCGTGCTGACCGGCCACACGCGCCACCGCGTCCAGGACGCCGCATACCCGGGCATGATCCCCGAGGAGGGCGGCTCCGTGCTCGGCATCTACGCGACGGGCCTCACGGATGCCAACGTCTCCAAGCTCGACCTTTTCGAGGGCTCCGAGTACGAGAAGAAGGTCGTCAAGGTCAAGCTCCAAGGCGGTGGGAGTGGCGGCCAGGAGGGAGAGGAGGAAAAGGAGGCCACAGCTTACATCTACAAGCGCCCGGAGTTTCTGGAGCGCCGGGAGTGGTCGTTCGACGAGTTCCGCAGGGACAAGATGCACATCTGGACGCGCGAGAGCTACGTCTTTGAGGGTGAGCGAGTCCCCCCTTCCGCTGACGAAGCCGCCGTGGAAGCGCTCCCTTGGTCGTGTCACCGCTAACATCCTGGACGAACCCGCACTAGGCTGCACCGACTCTGCAGAGTTCGAGAAGACCAAACACGAGGACACCCAGGGCCACGACGACAAGGACGATGCGGTCAAGCAGAATGGTGCCTAAGAGTAGGAAGGCTCGCAGCAAGCATGACTCGTCTTGCTCTTTTCCCCCCTTCGTGCATGGCGGCAAACGGCATTATTTGATGGGCTCCCAACCAGGCGGCTGACGCAGGTCGGCGACTGGGTCCCTCGGGGCGGTGTGGGACGGACAAGCCAGCACCGGCTCACGGCATTGGAGAGAGAGAGGGGGGAACCTAGTGCCGCCGGCCGCCCATGAACAACAACACACCGCGATTACGAAGTCGATAGATAGATCAAACAAGGACGTGATGACAGCGAATAGAAGACAATTTTCACCTAATCATATGCTGACGACTGCCGCCGGTCTTGATGGGCAGGACTGCAGCCTCGGGCGCCACCTCTCGAAGCGATGAGCTGAGTGATATGACGTCGCTGTCGGGCCGAGTTCGTGGCGGCAATGCGACGATCCAAGGAGAGAGTCATCAATCTGCGAAATAACCCTGGTGATGTTGGCGGCAACCAAGGTTGAGGTCGGACTAATACCAGCTGACCAGACAGGAAGAACTCTACGGGGTTCACGCTTGTGCAAACCTTCTGAGTAACATTCGAGCTGGATCCTGTTGAGCGGCTGAAATCATGCCATGACGGACGAGCCGCGGCACTCGCACGTCGTTGGCTCCCGAGCAGGCGCTGGCGCGTCGTGGAGGCCAAAGGAGGTGTAAAGTGCTGCCTCGTGAATAATGCCGCCCCGCATTCTAACCACCAGGAATGCCGGTCGCCCGAGGCGGCTGCCTCTCATTCCAGCTGTGCAAGGATGCTGTTGAGGCATCCGATGAAGAACGAAAGGGAATGCATGATATCGATCCTCCCTAGGTAAACCACCTACCTAGGTACTATGTATCCGTACTGTCTGTAGTTACGAAGCACAAGCAAGCGGGGGGAGGTAATTTAGGTACGGGATGCGCGGTGCCACGTACCACAAGCTGGCCCGCATCTCGGGAAGCACGAAGAACTAGCCACAGGAAATGCAAGCTCTGTGGCTCCGGCAGGCAAGGCAATGCAGGGAAGCCACAGAGAGCCACACGCGATGCTCGCAAAGCGACTCCGGACAGGGGCGCAGAGGCGCAGGTGCGCGATTGCGGTGGCGTCGTTGCCTTCTAAATTGAGTCCGATGTTTCTCCCTGTGGCTCAGAGACGATCATTCATGCCCAAATGCTGAAAATGGCGTTCGGCTGGGAGACCCCCGCTAATGTTGATACGTGCCGTTCTATGATTTCAGTTGACGGCGACCGGGCTGCTTGCTACTAAACAGAGTCGGATAGCGTACCTAGGTGTTACCTAGCAAGGAGCGAGCGGGTGGCATCGAAGCCAAGCTGGGGAGTTCATGCGTACCCGCGGGATGGCGTCGTTTCGTAGCTGGTACGACACTGGGCTGTGTGCGCTGATGGTTGATCGGCGTCACAAGTACGAGACTCGGTTCAGCCAGATCGTCCAAAGATGTGTGCAAAGACAAACGGCGCTGACCAGCCCAAGCAAGCACGCTCAGCGCCCTTGGTGCTCTCAGTGTTATCCTTTGCGGAACAGAGCCGTCAGCCGCCCCTCTCGGATCTTCTGCTTAGACGGCGCTTGTCGAGTCTGGCCCGAATGCTCTGTGCCCAACCAGCTGCGATGTCCACGGAAGGCAGCAGCAGGGGGCATGGACGGACCAGAGCGAAAGAAGGTACCTAGAGGGGAAGGTGTTTCTGTCGAAGAATGTTCGGACGACGCAAGCCTACGTGGACCGGGGATCGCGCAGATGAAGATGTACATGGACAAGGGGAGGCCGTGCCACACCACACGTAGGTAGTTTACACTGCACTACGTGACTACATACTGCGCCGCACGCAGTTCCGATGGAGTAACCAAATGGCGACGACAAGTCATGCCTCCTTGTGCGATGAGCCCCCCCCTTTTTTTTTTACGAGCCCTGTCACCAAGTCCCCACTCGGCCGTGAAAGTTCGGGCCACATCCATCCGGGATTTCGATGGTGGGCACGGGGTGGCGATCGCTCAACGTTACAGTGGACGACAGCCGGTGAAATATCCCGCTATGGTCGGGCAAAGGCCGGGTCGACTAGGCCGGCAGCAGGGCCCTAGGTCGATGGTGCTTGGATGTGCGTTGGGTCCTATTCGTGTCGTCCGGTTATCGTCAAACGACTGGGTTTCCAGCGCGCTTACCCCAAACGCAAAGGGGGTGTTCCTCATGACAACGTCAGGTTCTTCTGGTCGACAAAGGCGAGAAACGACTGGTCGCAGAGTGCCTGGCTTGAATCGCGTCATCATCTTCTCTACCCCCCTCCCGCCCAAGGGCTAGCAAGGTATGCATGTCCTTCTCCGCCTCCCGCTTTCCCGCGCGATCGCAAGCAAAATGGTGCCTGAAGAAACAAAACTTGCCAAAAAGCTTAGCCCGCGGTATCCAGTACACTAACTAGACGATCCCTTCACCATTTCCACGTCGCATTGCACATGGCACAGGTGACGACGGATGGGGCATTGATTCGCTGTCAGTGACTCGCAGGTTGAGTGCTCAATGTCCGAAGGAGAAGCGACGAACTTGGGGTATCGTGAAACCGACCTCGTTTCACCCCCTCGCTCCTGCGCAAGGGCGGGGCAGCAGTGTCATCTCTCCCCCCGAGAAGGGGACGAATGGCCCCAAGAACCTGGGTGCACTACCACGTAGGATGTGCCACAAGCGGCGGTGGCCAATAGGGCCTGCCTCGACCACGATTAGGTATCTGTAAACGTGGAGGAAAAGACAAAAAGGCCTCAAATGTGTGGGCAGGAGGGCTCCCAGCCGGGGGTTCGTGAATGTCCCCCCTACCCCTGACAAGCGAGAATCGTGAACCCCTGTCAGCGTCCTGGCAGTGGTCTTCTGCCCTACCCTCCTTCTGCGCGAGCCAAGGAGGATCTGCTGGAAAGGCTCCGCCTGTCTTCCGATTTAGCGGGGAATCTGATGGGTGGGCAGCAGTGACAGGGGCGATCCTGCCTGTAGTGGTAGTGGATGCACGTCAACTTGGGAGGTCTCGGCACTGAGAGTCGAGAAGAGGAAATGTGCAAAGAGACGCGAATGAGTGGCTGTGGTAGGTAACCCACTCCCTCACCAGGTTGTTTTCTTTTTTCCCTCCAAAATATTGTTTTTTTAACATAATTCCTTTGCCTCTCTTTCGCCTCATTTCTTGTTTCATTTTGATGTACGTTAATAACGCCTCTGTCCACTTTTTCTTAAACGTTTTTACAAAAAAAAAGAAGGATATAAACGACCCCACTATCGGGCCAACAGCTCAGGTACCATGCTTTAAGTAAGTAACTACACTGCCACGGCGGTCACGCCGACTTACAGGTGGGTGCCTTACATAATACGAAGGTGGCATATTGAGGACTGCGGGTAAGTAACAGCGCAATGGTCCCACTTTGCTGTCCTCAGTATCCGTACACGTATTACACCCAAGTACTCCGTATACTGCCCTACCTGGGGTTGTCTGCCTACCTCGGTGTACACGTACTAGGAAGGTAGACGGGCCAAGGCGCGGGAGGACCGATGTCAACACAAACACACATGGAGCTCGCCCGCTCAGCGGGGATGACCCATCACTGACTCGGGAGAATCCCGTCGATCAACGTGACTTCGTTCAACATCGGGGTCTTGGCTTTGGTTTAGTTTACTCGACTGACAATGCGCACAATGGGCGGGAGGGATATGGCCTAGCCAATACCTAGCGTACAATACGTGCGGCGCGTACACGGCGCTACATTTTCCTGGCATGTCCATGTCTCTCTTGACAATGTGTGTGTGTTCTAGGTGTCTCTCGGTATCGGTGATCGGTAAGCTGAGTTGAGTTGAGTTTGAGCGTTGGCTGGATGGATGGGAAGAGGTGGGCGCCCCGTGCCAACGTCTCTACCTACCTGCGGTGCTGCGTTCCAGTCCTCGCCGGCTCTGCTACGTAGATGCCTACCCGTTTACATGTCTCGTTTTCGGCTTGGACTGGAACACACCGTCGCCTCAGTGTTTTCGTGTTTCTTCACTCGAGACGTTTTGGCAAACGGTGCGGACCGCCGACTCATCATTGGTTCCGAAAGCTCTCCTCTCTCTTCTTGTCTTGGCTTGAAGTCGTTTCCTCCAGTTTGGTTCATTCAGATAGGAATGCATGCCGGAACTCGGCAGCCCGATGACTCGACGAGCCTGACATTTGGACATCATCCGCGCCCCTTTTCTTCCTCTTCTGTATCCCTTGCCCAGCAGGCCCCTTGTCATTGTCGACTCTCGGTTTCCGATCCCTGATTGTGGGATTACCCTTCTCTGTTGAGCTCCGTGCTCTCACCCATCACCCGCGCCATACGAGCATAGCTCCTATTGGACAGGACGGGGCGGCGAGAGGAGGACTTCCCAGAGCGACACCAATGAAGGCCAGTCCTTGGCCGGTACCGGGTTTTAAGCCCCCCCTCCCCTGCCCCTTTTTGGCGTTAGGCTCCATCTGGAATGACTCCCACCAGCCCCTGCGCATCCCAAGTAGGTGACAGGGGGGACACTCTATCCAGCAAGACATGGATAACTGGGCGTCCTGAAAGGTCCTCGGCGGCCCCTGTAGCCAATGTGGTCAGGCAAGGTTGCGCCGCACCGTGACGTATTTTTCCACGAGAGCATGCTAGGGATCTGAGTGGCCGCCACCAAGGCTCTGGGTAAGCGAGGCCGCAGCAACTTGGCCGCCCGAATCCCAGGTTCGGCATGTCCTGATTGGAGGCCGCCTGTTGCCAAAACGGGCGACGGTCTGGAAGGGACTGGACTGCATTGATTCTGAAATGGTTTCTCGCCTTCTGGCGATCCCAGTCCAGCCCCGGCTGTCAGGTGCATGGCGGTCCAGAGACGAGCCGCATTGCCGCCGTCTGTTTGCTGCCATAGAAAGTCAAAGTGTCGGAGGCAGTGTGCACGTGTGAGCCCATCCTTTGGGGGGGGGAAGGGTTTAACGAGGCAACTGACCTGTCATCCGTCGATCGGTGCGGGATGGCTGCAGCGCTGGCACCTCCTCTTCTATTCTAGACTCGGGATGTCGGAGAGGGCGATATGCGTACGAATGAATACCTCCTATCCGTACACTACACCGAGATGGATAGTATGGACGAAATACCAATGTAGAGAGGACGGGAACCAAAAAGCTCGGTGGTTCGGGCCATCGCGCTGCTGGGCATCCGAAAGCACCGCAAACTACCTAGTGGAGGTGGGGATGGCTGTTTGTTCGCTCACCGTTTCTCACTCCGAATAGGTACATTACACTGCAGCTGTGGTCAACTCGCAGATGGTGCCTTGCAGTAGTCGCCGCCATCTTGATGCTTCTCCTGTCTAGGAAGCTGCATCTCTCAGCGCTTCAGTGTCTCCCACCCACACCCACCGCTATTATACCGGTACACTACCGTAGAGCAACGACTACAGTCCGGTATAGGCTGCCATCAAACCACCAAAAGGAAAACACATGGTTACATAGCACACGCATAGGTACTATATCTCCTGTCCCCCCCTCCTTCCCTGACGCAGTAGGGAAACCGCGCACTGGATGAGCTGGTGGCTAAATACGCTACGCCACCCGAGGTGCGGGTACGTACTCCGACAGGCATGCCTTCTTCTTCTTCTTCGCCGTCTTCTTCGTGCCCCAGGCAGCCAATGGGATCTCATTGCTCACCGAAAAAAGGAAGGATACGTACCACATCGTCTTGTGGGTCCCGGATGTCGAGACCCACAGTATGCACCCATGCTCCCTGCTTCTTGAACTAACCTAGTACCTTCCTCCATGACCCCTGTCACGGACATCCCCCCCCCCCTTCACTCACCCCCTACGCATCACGCTAGTCCAGTAGTGCCTCTCTCCTCGGTGTCACTTGTCTCTCTTTCCACATCGTCCCAGCCATTCAAGCCTCTCAGTCAACGACACCTTGGAAAACTCCTCGCCAATCCCTCCCTATACACCTTATACCACTCGCAACCGTGATCCACAGACGCACGCGAGGACACCCTCCTTTCTCACCCCGCCTTTGGCTGTCCTTGGCTCCTCCTCGGACGAGTTTAGTCAGGGGCATCCGCCGCTCGAAAAGAACACAGCGCAACGCACCATGCGCGCCTTGCTGCAAGATCCCCGTCCCACCATGCCTACACACACACACTCACTCACTCGCATCCATCCATCTCTCAAGAACCTGGCATGGTCTCACTGCCTTGGTCTCTCCCGCGAGCCCTTAGTCAAGGCCGACAGGCGGACAACAGCCGGGCCCTAGATGCTCCACGGCATGGTCCATGGTCCACGGCTCCGCCCTTCCATCCTTTCCCCCACCCCTGCCCACTCTCAAGAATGTTTAGTCCCTTCTCTTGTGGCATGTCGAAACAAGCCGAGGGGTACGTCTCCGGCCTATCATAGGCTCAAGTCGTCGCTTCTCCTTCTTCAACGGCCTGCCCCTGTTCCTCTCGGTCGACCCACCATGCCTCAAATCCCCTTGGGCTGATGCCCATGCCTGGTCTTGACTGGCCCATAGCCTCAACGCCCATCTAAAAAGAACGCCATGTCTCTCCCGTCCCAAGTGGACCACTCTTTCCACCTCTCCATCCTCCGGTCCGACCTCACGTCTATCATTCTCCAATCGTTCTGGGATTACCGCCGTTCTTTGCAGCCGTGCTTAGTGCTTTTTGCCCCTCCTTTCCCCATCCATCCCTGCTCACTCTTCCAAGCTCGGCATCTTCTGTCCGTGGGCCTTGTCAGTCACTACTTGCTACTACGTAGCACTTCCTTTCCTCCATCATCACATCTTTTCGGCCTGTCTTGCCTATTATAAGACCCGGCCTTCTTCCAACCTCACATTCTCTTTTTGCTCCTCATCCTCCCGGACCATCACATCTTCTCACATTCCTTCAGTGAGCTTGAAAGAGTTTGTCATTTTCGACATCTTACATTCTCTCATCTCTCATTCAACCACAAGGCTAGTCCTTAGTTCTTTCGAATCTTTCATCATCTCCAACTCGCCTGGTGCACTTCCATCCTTTCCGGAACAAACGAACAAGACAAACGAATCTTCGAGACCCATCGATTATCCGATTCTTAACCTTCATATCAACCACTTTGTTGAAACAAACCCGCCACGTCCAAGCTTCCCCGGCAGACAAAGCGAGAAGACACTGTAAGTACCCGGAATGATAGATATTGGAGGGGCGGCATGCGGCCTTGGACGCCTTGGCTTCTTCGGTGCCATTGTTCAACTTCTCGGCCCGCACGACATCACGCATAATGTCATTCTTCAGCGGCCTCGTCACACCGGGCTCGTTACAGTCGTGGCTGGTCACCTCGAGTCGGGCCTGCTGGGGAACATGTGCGCTGTTGTCGAGAAGATGCTGGATCGTGCCGTCGAGAACCGAGTAGAGTTGAAAACTAACATGGTTAAAAAGGTGTCATTCAAACCATTTTTCAGAACAACTTTCAACTTGCAGTCACAACGACGCTGACACGATACTGAGATTCTACGTCCGGAACGTTTAGATTCTCATTTCACAACCAAACCCACACAACATACTCAAAATGTACACCAACGCAATCATCGCCTTCGGCCTGGCCACCCTTGCCAGTGCCCACATGAAGATGGCCACTCCCGTTCCCTATGGCGCATCCAGCCTCAACAACAGCCCCCTGGATGCTAGCGGCAGCGACTTCCCCTGCAAACAGCGATCTGGAGTCTACGACGCCGAGGGTGCTTCCAACGTTTACGCTCAGGGAGCCGGCGGCTCGCTCTCATTCATCGGCTCCGCTGTTCATGGCGGTGGCTCCTGCCAGGTTTCCGTCACTTACGACGCTAAGCCCGACAAGAACAGCGTCTGGAAGGTCATCAAGTCTATCGAGGGAGGCTGCCCCGCCAAGAACGCCGCAGGCAACCTGGGTGACAATGCCAACCAGATCAACCAAGACAAGTACGACTTTACGATCCCTGATGACATGCCTGCGGGCAACGGTACCATCGCCTGGACTTGGTTCAACAAGATCGGCAACCGCGAGATGTACATGAACTGCGGACCCGTCACCATTACCGGATCCGAGGGCTCCCAGGAAGCTTACAACGCTCTCCCCGATATGTTCGTCGCCAACATCGGCAACTGCCAAACCGAGGAGAGCACTGATGTTCAGTTCCCTAACCCCGGTAACTCTGTTGACAAGTTCGGCCAGCCTTCGGCGCTCAAGGCTCCTCCCGCTGCGTGTGGCGGCGGCTCTGGTGGCGGTTCCGACACCCCCAAGCCCAGCAACACTGCCGGCAACGGTGGCGCGCCCGCTCCCACCGCCCCCGCCTCTTCCAAGCCCTCCGCATCGAAGCCTACCGCCAGCGCTGGTCTCCCCGGTGGTGTTTTCATCACCGTACCTTCCAACGGTGGCGCTTCCGCGACTCCTACTCCCTCCCCTCCCACGGCGCCTGTGGCCGCTCCTAGCGCCGCTCCCAGCGCTGCTCCTGCCGCCCCTTCCTCCGGCAGCGGCTCCGGCTCTGGTTCTGGCAACGGCACCGAGACCCCTTCAACAGGCGCTGTTGTCCAGACCGTTGGCTCTGCCTGCACCAACGAGGGTGAATGGAACTGTGTCAGTGGCAGCTCGTTCCAGCGCTGCGCCAGCGGCACCTGGTCTGCCGTCCAGCAGCTTGCCGGTGGTACCTCTTGCTCCGCCGGCATGAGCTCCGAGCTCAGCATGGTCGTGACCCGAAACGGTCGCACTCGTGCTCTGCGCCAGCGCTCCCTTCGCTTCCGTTCCGCCTAAGCTGGTTGATGGCGAACATTTATGAACGGGTTGGCATTTATGGGATATGATACCTCTGGTCACATTGGATAAACCTTTTTTTTATGATCGACATACAGGTTACGGCACAAACATTTGCGGCGTTTGCTTTCTTTGGATATTTACTACCATTTTCTGTATATACACTTTTGCATGCTTAAGAGGGCTTAGATGCTTGTATCAGCTACGAGAAAGAAGAGAGTGATATTATGAATAGCATAAGATATTCCAACTCTGGATCGCCCTACGCGGCATATGACGTGATGTGATTTGATGAGCCAAACAGTTCCTCGGAGAGCTATTGAATGTACTTTACAGAACCTGAGTGAGCTTTGCACATCGGTGCCTAAGCTCTTGAACTCGTCCAAAGCCAAAGCGCACGATATCAGCCAGTGACAGGACAGCCCCAAAATTCGGCGGCCATTCTGACATTCCCATACCAATATCTGGCTGGGGAGTCCCTGAGAGACCGAGTTAAGGATCGCGTGGAACCAAAATGTAAACCCAAAAGTTTGACATAACTTAACCCTTCGCGGCCAGAAACTTTGCGACACACACACACACACACATACACGTATGGACATTTTAAGAAGGGTGTGCGGCCGAATGGGAGCTGTTCCTTGTCGAGCTGGATGGCTGACACATCCCACCTCGGTCGGATACATGCGCATGGACGCCATCGACACAGTCAAAGAAGCACGTCTGCGGGGAAGGATGCGCTGGGAAAGTGTGTCCATGTTTTGTCTGGTCTTTTTCTCGCCCGGGACGATGACTCGAACCTCGTGTTGTACAATCGAATGCTCGTTTCCCGCATGTCATATCGAGCCGCGCGTATTGGGTGGTGCTGAGACGGTATCCGACCGTCTCTTTGTCGTGGCCCATGATGTCTATCCCCTTACAATAATCCGAACTCCAAAACACAAACCGTAACCCGAGAAAAGCATCCGTTTCCGTGTCTCTCTCTCCCGTTCCATGTCGCTCGTGGTGGTCGTGACGGCCGCGGCCGTCTCCCTATAACCATGTGTCGCCTCTTCCCTCCTTCGTCCCTCGGCCCAGCACACGCCTCAGCAACCCCGCCCTCGGTTCTGTATCCCCCCTCCTCAACGCCGACAGTTTCACGGGCACCACATAAGGGTCCATCTCGATGCCCACGTGCGCGCGCCCGTCGTCGCCGACGTACCGACCGAAGCTGAACGTTGGCGCCTTCTTTAGGCCGCCGCTCTTGCTGCCCAACCCGTCGCCCCTCTTCCCACCGTCAAGTCTGCTCGTATCACCGGGCCACTCGTACTCGCGAATGGCCCTGCTGGGCGCGAGGTAGGCCATGATCGACCCGATCGTTGTCGGCATGCGCGGCAGGAAGTGCTTAATGGTGAAGCCGTAGAGCGCGACGGCGACGGCAATGTTGACGCCGAGCACGGAAAGGCTGATGGCGAGGGCGGTGTTGTCCATGAAAATCCGCACTTCGGTGTGACGCTCGCTGCCGGTGACCATGACGGGTTCCGCGTAGTTGTCGAAGAAGCCGGGGTTCAGGCTTAGGAAGATGGCGTAGAGCTGGCGGTAGATGCGTTCGGCGGCGGGGATGATGGTTGTCGTGTTCGGCGTCGTCAGCGGGCTAAGCACATCGCTCTGTCCGGGCTGGATCTTTATCAGGTAGTTCATCCAGTCGTTGGAGAGCGTGTCGTTGTGCCAGGGGAAAGTTTTCCCCGGCATCAAGCTGTTTAGGTATATTGCCATCATTTCTGTGTTGTTCTTCGAGGTTGGCGTGCTGAGGGTCGACGACGGCTCGGATACTTGCGTGGTGTTGAGAACGTGACCTTGTGGGTCTACGGTGACATCGAACATGCTCGTGGTGAACTGGGGCTCGCAAACAACGAATTGGGTCGTCACTTCGCCGTCTTTTTTGTTCAACCCATCCGGTGTTCTTGCCCAAGAAAGATAAAGCGGAACAGCGCAGCTCGTATATCCGGCGGTTGCATTATTCGACACATCTTCGGCGGCAGAAGGCCCGGAGGGTTGCATGCTATAGGTTCTGTTGAGACTCAAGTTACTTGGTTCAAAAGTCGTCGGGCAATCGAGCACTTCGCCGTGGCGTGTGTATGTATAATTCAGGACAGGGGGCCTCACGCGACTTTTAACGATGCCGGCGTCGAAGCAAGACGGAAGCACGCCGAAACCCCTGGTGCGAGCCGTATAGACCTCGCCTTTGTTGCTGGTCCTAGGAGGAGGAGGAGCGAAAGGTTGGAAAAAATACTCCTTGGTCACCCAGGGAGGTAGAGGAGTGCCCTGTGTGATGTTGTTCATGGCGATGTAGAAGTGCATCTCGTATGGGATGACAGTCCCAAGGTATGCCTCCCGGTTGGCTCGGCTAAGTACTGAATCGTTATTGAGCGTTGGCATCATCGTCTGCTGATATTCGAAAGTATTGTTGACGAGAACAGGCGATTCGTTAAAAAGACCACCGAGGCCGACGGCGAGTAGGTTCGCAAGAAGAGCAAGCAGGCAGATTGAGACCAGGACGAAGTGGCCAGACCTTGCCGCCCGCCAAATTACTAGCTGAGGGGGCAAAGAGGTATACCTTGCGTTGATAGAGCGATCGGCGGCTCGTCGGCCAGTCCATAGATCCTTGAAGGGTTGTAGAATGCAGAGCAGTCTATTGACGAGGACCCAGAATGGCTCCAGGAATGTTGCAAATATGGTTGGGACGTAATTTTCAAGAATCTGGAGAAGTTCGAAGTTCGTGGTTGGCCTTATGAGCCCTGTACACCTGGTCAGTCGTATCTTCTTATCGATCACTCGGCTCTTTACCTCCGATGCGCAGCTCCTCCAACTTCAAGTAGATAAGCGCAACAGCTGCGCCTACCATGCAGAGGATCACGAATACACCAATTTCCCTTCTCAGGGCCAGCGGTTTGATGGGCGAATAGTGGCCCATGGACAATGGAAGATCTGGCTCGATGCTGAGTCGCTGACTTTCGTGGGACTGCACGCGGGTGTCGACGACTTTGATGATCATTTGCCCTGAACGGGACTGGCAGCCGCAGAATAGCTGAAATCGCTTGTCTTGGAACGCTTCTTTGAGCTCATCGTCGGGAAGACAGCCCTTCCCAGCAAATTTGTCCAACAGTACAAAGCTGTTCTTACATAAACTCATCAATGATCCCAACGAAGCCGGGTCCATGGTTAGTCTACTCGTTGCTCTGTGACAATGCCACCAAAGCATGATCGTGAAAATGCCGACCAGTGCCAGTAAGCCTTCCACAATAGCTGAGAATATTCTGCTCACGATGATCCCATATTGCTCAAAGTCCACAACACCCCTGGTTTGGGGTTCGCTTGTGGTGCTGGCAAGCATACGACGTAGCGCGATAGAAAAAAGAAGCTTATGTGTCCTGTTGAAACCATCCCCTAGAAACTCGTGGTTCTGGAAAGAGTCGAGGGTGGTCACGTTCTTTTGTCCAATAGCGAAGCCCACCAAGGGTGACGATGGCCACCTTATAGCTAAATGCTTGACTTGATAGTGCTGCTCAAGCAGATGGCCAAAAGGATAATCTCGCCTGACCTCAAGTTCGACGGATGAGACGCCAGCACCGAGGAGATATTCGAAAGCTGATGAGTTGAACTCTGTTGATGAAAGTCGTTCCCGGGGCCCCGCTGGCACAACAGAGTCTTCGAGGGGCCGTTTGGTGACAGACGATACAGTGGCGTTGACCTGCTGCTTGAAGTAGTTCGTTTCGCAAAATATGGCACTAACATCCTCCACTCGGGCCCAAATGGCCAAGAATTGATGCTGCGCGGCTTTGGAACACGACTGGGAAAGCCAGTAGTCAGCCCAGGCGCTGTTATGGTAGCCAATGTATTGCATTTTGTAGAGTTCATCGCTGCTTGGGAATCCGCCGAAAGGCACGATATCGCTGGCATTGCAGCCACGGCCGTCCAAAAAATCGTAATATGGCCCGCGAGGAGCAAGTTGGGCTGGCCAACAATCTAATTGAGTCCAAAACTTGGTTGTGGACCCAGTCCAGTTAGTTGACGCTGTTTGTTCGACATCACTGTCAACCGTGAAAGGCAAGAGCGTGTAATCGGCAGTGGTGTACGGAGGATAAGTTTGGTTGAGCCAGGTGATGGCATACCCTTCGTTGAGTATGGATTGATCCATGGGCAATATCTGTTCCGATGCCGGCCGGAGTGCTTCAGGGATAGACACCGTTGTCGTTCTTCGAACATCTACTGGTCCCGTGCCGAGTATTGCACTCTGGAGTGGTGTTATAAGCCAGAAAATCATTACCATGACTGTGCCGCCATAGAATACGGCCCAGTGACTTTCGAGATGTTAACGCAGTATTCCAAGGGTATAAATGAATCCTTACCGTCTCTTGGCTGCTTCAATCGGAACAAATGCAATGAAGTCGTAGGGGTAGTCCAGAAATATCGACCCTTCGGCAGTTGCGCCCCCCGGCTTTGACATTTCCAACCATGGCAGTATACGCTTAACGTCTAGGTCGATCCAACTCCAAAGCAAGCTGTATATAACGGCGACAATCGTAGGTAGGAAGAGGTAGCAAAAGTTCGCAAAAGGCGGTATGTCATCCGCCGATTTGGAGAGGGCGAGTCCTCCCTTGACCCGGCTTTGCCATGCGAGAACCTCGATGATGACGGCGAGGATAAAGGATGCAAAAGCGAAGGAAAATAAAACGGGGGCGCTCAAGGTCAGAGGTTTCCATCCGTGCTTGTGGACTGTCGGGAATATCAGTTTGTGGTGTTCGACTTGCGAGTTTGTACATGTGCGGAACGACCTGTGTCCAGACTGCATTCGCTGTCCCTCGCCCTCTTGAGCAGCAAGGAAATCGAAGCCTTTCGACTTTTCTTCTCAGGCGCGCCTTTCGGGCCCTCGAGAATCAGAGTCTCATGGACCTCGGGTGCCTTGAAGCCCATTGCCTCGAGGGCGTCGATTCGGAGGGTCTCGATCTTGGGAGGCCAAAGGCGGAAGAGTCGCTCAACTGTGTTGAGACTATGCGGCAACGCAGATCAACCGGCCAACCGCAGAAATAGACCAAAGAATATCCCTCGGGAACGAAAACCAAAAGAACAGCCCGTTGAAACCAGCTCCAGGAACAAAGGAAAGGAGACGGGAGGGGAGGAGAGAGACGAAGGAACCCAAGTCAAAACACCGTCCATGGCTGGGAGGGGAGTGGTGGCATCTTATGAAGAGAGACTGTATCCGACAGATTGGGACGCCGAAACAGACCAAGACATTGACCTGCTTCCAACAGCATATTATCCAGCGCGGCAACTTGCCGATGTGCATAGTTCGAGCCGTTCCTGTCGAAGAATACCACCTCGCACCAACAGAGAACGACTCTGTCCGGGGGGGAGGGTGTCCCTGCACAAGCGCGGTGCTCTACGTGGGCCGTCGCCATGGGTGTTGGGGAATGAGAGGTGGTGGCTAAGCGCCCGAGGGAAGATCGAGGGGGGGCGCGGGCCGGGAGGGGACATGGCCGGGGCCGAGAACACCTTGCCGCTGCTGTGCCTCCTTCAGCCATAATTGGGGTTTGTTCATTTTATGTCTTCTTTATGCACATGGAGATCACTTGCAACAGACTCAGACCGTTATTTTATGGTGCCCAGTTGGTTTCCATAAGGTGTCCGTATAGTGATCTTAAGCTTATATGGTTTGAATCGGACTAAATGGAGAAAATGGATCGTACTGGGAGCTGAATGAATTGGACCAAAACAAAAGGTCAATTTGATTGTTGCTAATGATGATGCAGAAGGGAAAACCACCCCCTCAGTGCTGACTATCAGGTCCTGATTTTATAACCCATTAGTACGTACCCGTACCTTCCAAATGGATGCGGAAGGGGAAGTTTATCTAGCTTAAGGATTAGCCGCCGGGCGCCAAAACCTGATTGGAGCGCTGGGGCCAAATACGGGTCGACAGCACGGCCCCATTAAAGGACCCACCCGCCACACCTTAATTTAGACATCGGCCAACGCTTGGCCCCCTCATTCAACATCAGCCCATCTTTCCTCTCAAGAAGACCAGCATTGTTCAGCACCCGGCCCGTAAATGCCAACGGTATAAGTGTTATGTAGTTAATGGTTCCCGATTGTTTTCTCTACTCGAAAAGTACCTCGTCGGGCTAATGCTGGGTGCGTTGCACGCGAAACCTGTAGCAATCTCGTACGGGCATCATCCATCACGGGTGTAGTTGGAACATGGAATTCATTCAATGGGAAGCAACCAAACCGTGAAACCTATATTCGGACTTCGTTCCAGTTCACCCATCTGCCTGGACACGCAAACTAGTATCGGGTTTCCGGGTCCGATTCTACCAAAAAGGCCAAGTATCCGTGGCAAGCGTCCTTATCGCGCGCACCAATTGTCCATCTTCACTTCACAAGTCAGTTATGCAAGATGTGCCAATGACTCGAGTCTTCTGCTCCTATCCTTTCGCCTCTGCGTGCTGGGCTGATGTATGGCATTGTTCCAGCGCATCAACTGTCTACTCCGCATAAGACATCGTCACGACAGCTGCCCACTGTCTCGCAGCAAGAGTCTCGGCGAAAAGCCCTCGCGATGCAGGCAGTTGCCAGGCGAAGGAAATCTTCAAAAGTTTATTATATCAAAACAGCAAAGAGTGGAGACAGTAGTTCAAGTCGGTACTTAGCCTAGTCGCAGCCAACGACACCTGCTAGACATGTCCTTCTTGTGCCAAGTGCCCACCCCATCACGCATGTTCCGCCATAATGACCAAGGACAACGGGGCCCCGAAAGAGAGCGCGAAAGACATTTGCATAACTCCAGGGACATGTGGGATCATTCGTGAAAGCCTTGACTGCAGGCCACAAAATTTACGGAAGAGGGAGACATTGATGCCCCTTCATTGCCCAGATTCTACCGAGGGCTTCATTCGGCTGGAAAGCAAAACGCCCGGGCCTACGAAGCTTCGTCATGGCCAAATCCGCGCAACGATCCGGCGAGACGGCAAAGCTAAGCCGCCATACCAGACCCCGAAACAGTGGAGAGTTGACAGTAGGTGATCTATAACAACCGCAGCCTTGGGACTGCACCCATCTACAGCCAGATGATAGCACATAAAGTACACGTATTCTACACTTTTTGACAGCACCCCGCGCTCTTCTCCTTTCCTCGTTTCCAGCTCCCGCTGCGTGATATCCCGGTCTGGCTTCACCGCCAAAAAAACACTCGCGTCTCGTTTCCCCTTCACCGACACTTGCATGCCCCTTATCTCCTGACCAGGCCCTTAGCGTTGGAGTAGCCCTTGATGCGCTTGGTGTACTTCCACAGGTGCTTGTACTTGGGACCCTGGCGCTTGGCCTCCCAGCCGCGGGGCTTCTTGGGCTCCTTGAGAGAGTATACGCGCGTGGGGCGGAACTCGATGTGGGCGCCCGGCACGCCGGCGCGCTCCATCACACCGGCCGTGTTCTCGTCCCAGATGGTACGGAAAAGGTTGAACCCAACGGGATAGAGGCGGAACTTGTCGCGGAAGGACTTGAGGGAGAAGCCGTCGCGGGCCGAGTAGAGCTCCTTGAGCGCGGCGGTGTCGAGCGTCTGACCGGGGGCCTGCTCGAGGATGAAGACGGAGAGGCGGTGGTAGGGCGCGCCCTTTTGCGAGAAGGCAGGCAGGTAGGGGACGGCGAGCTGGGAGGGGTCGCGGACCTTGGAGAGCGGGACGGAGGTGGACGTCGGCGAGACGGGGACGTTGGCGGCGAGGAAGTGGCAGCGCTTGCTGAAGCCGTCGTTCTCGACCGAGGGCACATCCGAGTCCATGATGACGATGGTGACGAGGCGCTCACCCGCCGTGAAGGGGGTGATGCGCAGGCGAGGGGGCACCTCGGTGACGTTACTGGGAAGGATCTTGCCCGGGGGCACCTTGGAGCGGCGGAAGAAGAGCTGGACGTCGTAGGTGGGGACCAGCTTGGGGAGGACGTCGGGGACGATGTTGAACTGGGCGATACGCTGCTCGATCATCTTGGCCTCGTAGGCGCGCCACTTACGCTCGGCGAGGAGGCGGTAGATGGGCTTATTCATGTCGCCTGCTCGGGAGGTCCGTCAGCACTCAATTGGGGGAAACAAAACAAAACTAAGAAAAAAAAAAATCAAGCACACGATTCTGACGGGGCTCCGTACCAAGACCGTCCTCGAACCGCCGCTTCACGACGGGATCGTTAATATCAGCCAGAATCTTGAGCCTTTCGACGTGATGCCGCAAACTGGCCAGCTTCATCTGACGCATTCTCTCCCCTCCCTTGATCTGATCCCCCTCCGTGGCCTCCAGTCTCTTGATCTTCTCCGTCTCCGCCACAATCGCGCGCAGCTTCTCCTGGCGATCGGCAGCGAGGATCTTGCGCGCCTCCTGGAAGGCCTGGTAGGGCAGCTGCTCGAAGGGCAGGTTCGGGCTCGTGCGGATGGCGTAGCGGCGACGCCTTGAACCGACGGGCGGCGTGCCGGCCTTCCAGAGGTCCTTCTCGGCCCACGGCGCGACGGCCGTGTTGGGGTCGAGCTCGACGGGGTCCACGGTCTCGGGCCGCTCGCGCGACACCTTGTACACCTCGGCAGCCGGGGCGGGCGTCGTCGACAGGCTCCTTCGTATGGGCAGCGGCGTGGCTATGCTGTTCAGGCATCGCCGCAGCGGCCGAATGGCCTGCCTACACGACGATGACATTCTGGTTTGTGTGTAAGGGAAAAAAAGCAGGCGGGGCGGAGCGGGTGGTGGTTTTTGGCGGGTTGTCGTACTGAATCCCAACCGAAGCTCAGAAGGAGGTTTTTCACCAGACACTGAGCTTCACGGGGTCGGATTTGCTAGTCTCCATATTATTTTTTCCCGTTTTCCAATTGAACGACGGAATATCCCGCCCCGGACAAGGGGTTCCTTTGTGAGGAAGCTCTCTCCCATTGAGAAAACCGTGCACGCTCGGTACGTACCTTGCGCTTAGCGTCGTCTGATTGGTAGCTACGTTCGACAGGACGGGCCAAATTTTCGTGTTTCCTGCGCCAAAAGGTGCGGCTCCCAATCCCATCGACGAAGAGCATTGCGAAACCCAACGACCCCGATCCCCTCCCATTGCTCCGTCCCGCATACACAATGGCCGGCAAGGGAGTCAGGAGCCTCAGCGAGGCCATGAGGGGCCTGTCCCTCTCATCGACGTGCCGAGCGGCGAACCCTGCGACCTCGTTCGTCGGCTCATCGAGCTTTACGAGATCAATGGCCACCGAGGCGCCCTTCCCCGGTATCACAACATCGGCCTACGCTACACCCAAGACAACGGAACCGTGGGCACCAAGTATGTTCACCTCCCTATCAGATGCGAGTGTTCCCAGACATCAGTCGCTAACAGGAGCTTCTCCCGTAGCCACCTCGGTCCCCGTCACGATCCACGCCTTCCCGACCCTCGAGCCCCGTTCCCTCGAGTCCTACTCGACGAAGCACCTCTACCTCCCTCTCCGCCGCGACCTCCTCCATCTCGCCGTCGTGTTCGAGGGAGACGCCGCCCGACAGGGCACGGCCAGCACGAAAACCCGCTGGGAGGTCCGCGGCTCGCACAGAAAGTTGCACCCGCAAAAGGGCACCGGTCGCGCCCGCGCGGGAACGAAGCAGTCACCCATCCGCCGTGGCGGAGGTGTCTCCCACGGCCCCAAGCCGCGCGACTTCAGCACCCGCCTGAACCGCAAGGTGTACGACGTCGCCTGGCGCACCGCCCTCAGCTACCGCTACCGCCGCGGCCAGCTTGTCGTGTGCGAGGACGGCATGGAGCTGCCGTTGCCGCTGGACTTCACGAAGCTCGCCGACGCCGGCGCCGTGGGACCCCAGATCGCCGCCGAGTACCGCCGCAAGTGGATGATGCAGGTCCTCGAGGCCAACGAGTGGGGCAAGGCTCACGGCCGGACGCTGTTCGTCACCGACGGGCAGAGGCCACGGCTGTGGGACACCATGGAGGCCGCGGGCGACCAGGGTAGATGCCTGGACGTCAACGAGGTGGACGTCAAGGACTTGTTGGAGGAGGGACGCGTGGTTATCGAGCGGACGGCGCTCAGGGAGATGATCGAGTCACACCAGAGCGACCTGGTGACCAAGGTCTTCATCAACGGTGCCTTGAAGACCGGCCCGGCAATCGGCGAGCCCCTCGTTCAATGAACAGTGTTTGCTGGGTGATTGGCGGAGGAAAAAAGGGGGAAGGGAGAAGGAAGAGAGTGATCTGTGGATATTTGTAACACCAGTCAAAGAGGAGTAGCGATTGTCTGATTAGAGGGCGCCTCTCCGGCTTGTAGCAACATAAGGCACACAATGCCATTCACCATGTAACCTGTTTAGAGGTCGAACAGCAAGCACATCAACGCTTGAGCAGGCCCGATGCGTTGCTTCAGTCTAGGTGCTAGCCTTCTCACAAGGCCCAATCGTGTCAAGAAAAGGAAGATGCATTTCTGATCAAAGCCGGGCCGTCGCCTGTTCGCCAACCGGCGCCAAACAATGTTTGAAGAATAAGATGATACGAACCATTTCGTAACATGAACCTCTCCGTCCCTCAAAGCCTGCACGACCGGGCTTGGCGCGCCGACCGTTTTCATAAACCACCTACCTAAATGCAGAAGCAACGTAGACCATGCACAAAAAAAATGCATTGCGGGACCAATTGTTGAAGGCGGGAGGAGAATTTTGGGGGTGGAACAAACGGGAATGGAAACGAGAAAGATTGGTATCGGGGAATCATACTACCTTGTGTTATGGGGCCCCCGTCCAGCTTTGCCTCTATTCGGAAACGGCATACGCCATTTTGCGTCAGATGTTGGCAGACCTGGGTACCTCGCCCGGTTTGACCACGCAGAGAGGAATCCCCCCCCCCCCCACACACATGCAGAGCGCGCCCAGCCAACGATCGACTCGTGCCGCTTACTTTTCTCTTTCTTCTTGAATACTGAGAAAGAGAAACAAAAAACAGTGACGTATAACAAAAAACCCACGATCCGTACCTTACAGCGAGCAACGCTTCGAATTCTATCCGCGAATGTCACTGCACTTGGAGTCCGGGGCAAAAAGACATGTAGCAGAATCTCTGCACCTTGTCAGCCCTCAAGGAACGGGCTCTGCGGCCGGGGAGGGCCCCCACCCCTCAGCCACCCGCGATCCGGGACCTGAACCTGCCCCATAGTTTCCGTCGCGCAAAGTGGAGGAGCCTTACCCGGCCCGGAATGGCGCCTCCCCGAAGGGGTAATCGATGGTAATCAACCAGGTCCATGAGTGCCTCTAGATAGTACGTCATTGCTCTCCTCGCGCGCGCATGCCGTTGCTTCCTCTCCCGCCCTTTCGCTCTTTCTCTCTCTCGTTGGCAGACGACGTACTTGTATCACAACCTACCTGCTAGGTAGGTAGTTTGATATTAAGGTTTCCCATATTCAAGACCGGGCCCGTCTTGTTCTGAACGATTACACTGCGCCTCATCATGCGGAATGGTGTACTGTCTCCGAGAGGTGAAAGGGGAAGGCTTTGTCTCAACGTCCCTTCATCTTGTCCATATTTCACGAGCTGCTCAGCGAGTGCTGTAAGCTGCCCGGGTAGGTAGGGCCACCTTTTCTCATTTGTGTCTGGCAAAGCTTTCGCCTCCGGCGCTTCTTGGCCCCCCTGGCGCCAGGTCGTCTTCGACATGCGGTTACCAATCGGACTTTTTAATTGATGATCGCGCTACGGAAAGACAAGGTACGTTTTAGCTACCTCCACCCTGGAGCACACACGATCCACTCAATGTAGCGTTTATAAGAGGAGAGGTCTCTCCATTGCTCGGTGAATCTAACCTCCGCCCTGCCCCAATAGTCGGGATACGAATATTACGTGAAACCTCTGTAGCTCGAACGTAATCAATCTCTGCTCACTTGAAGGCCCAAGTTTGCGCCGATTAACGATGGTCTACAAGCAGACCCTTACGAGGCACTCTATGAGTGGTAATAGCCACCTGTGGACGGTCATAGCTTCCATCCTCTTAGCCATATCGACTCCCAGTCTGTGTTGTAAGTGCAACCGTGTACAGCGTCCAGTTAGCACCAGCAGGCGGTCGCTGGAAGGCACACTCTAGATTGGTTCCACCTGGCACGCAAGGTCGGTATCATTAGGATAGGCGCTGACGGCATAGGGCTTCTAAAGGCAGTCGTACACTCGAGATTGGCCCCCCCCCCCCCCCCCCCCCCCCTGTTCGTATGGGCGAGAGAGAATCTCAATGGTCGAAACTCTTCCTCCCGGGACGGCCCTGCAGGGCTATTCCGTATCCTTGCCCTTCTCTTCCACAGCAACATGGTCCGCACCTTGTCCGTGGCAGTCCCGTGGTAGTGAATCGACGCAACGATACATACATCCACCTACCTTACCCACGTTCAGGCTTACAAGTTTGACTGATTCAAGCATTCCCGTCCACCTTCATCGGGACCACCCCTTTTCTCCTTCTCAGCACCCATTGGCCAATGGGCACCCCGGCAGCCACTACCGAGCAAGCGGGTCATTGAGGATGGAATGTGTTTTTGACTTCCGCTTCGAAAAGAGACGGCGCGGTAGGCTGCCAGGATAGGGAGGCGGCGGGGACGGTGTCGCTCAGCGTGTCTTGGCTTAATTCGTCTTTAAAAGGTTTCGTGACGTAGATGATGATGGGTAGCTGGCCCGAGCCCGGCGAAGGCTTCTCCTCGACTACACCCCCTCTTCCCAAGCTGTCGTGTGTTTCTCTTTGCACCCTCCCCTTATCTTCACTTCCTTTCTTTTCCTCTTCAACTCTTCCTCGAACGGGTGTATCCTCTCTATTCGACCGACTAGGGTCAATTCTCCGTGTCGGACTCGGACAAACGACCGCTGGCCCCCACCGGACCCCTCCCGTGACGGCTGCTTTTGAGCATGAACGAGGCCCGGGCGGGGGGGCAGAAACGAGGAGGCAATGCCCGTTCTGACGTAGTGCAGGCCAATCTTTCACCTGGGTGAGCTGCAACAGCTTGACGTAGCTCGGAGCAATCTCGCCCCTTGAGCTCGCCCCCTCTTAAACTCGACGTTCTGCCATTCGCGCAGCTCGCGCGCCTGAGATTGAGTTTTCCTCTTCTGCCACTGCCTTCTCCCCTCTTTATTTTTTCTCCCCCCCCTTCCGCCCTGCGGCCATCCACTGGCTGGCCTCCGGGTCTTTCTCTCCTCCTCCTCCTCCCCCGGGTTGATATACCCGCTTGGGCATCATCGCTTTGCCCGTATCAAGCAGTCCCGGCAGTGGCGGCCAAGATGGCTTTCTCAGCTACCGGGAGGATTTCAGGTCTTGGGAGGACTCCTAGAAATGTGAGGCGTCAACTACGCCGTCGCCACCGCTGAGGCAGCGCCGTTTGAAAACGTCAACATCAGCCAACTGGGACTCACCTGCTTGCCGCCGCATATACATCACTTCCGAAAAGCCATACATCGAAGCCCCGGACCACCGGGATCACGAACCCGCTCGCTGTAACCCGGATCCTTGCATTCTTTCTCCGCCTTTTTCGTTACAAATCGACCGTCAACCCCGTTTGTCATTAGTCACCAGCGCCCTTTCTCGAGTCGAAAACTCCAGCCGAGCCAACGAGAATCAGCACGGCCACTAGTGTATCGCATGTCTTTGTGTGTGGGTGTGGCTTTTTCTTATTTTTTTCTTCTCTTTTCTTTTTATAAGTCGCAGCTCGAGGTCCGGATCACGCGCACAATCGCCGACTACCAGCCACGATCCTTTCTCCGATAACGACAACGGCGACAACTACTGACCTACCCATCTTGATTAGCAAACCTGTCTCGTCTCTTCGCATACCGACTATGTGAAAGATGATACCCCTTGGTTTCCCAGTCACGACTGGTCCAAAATGTTGGACGGCATGGTAGATACCTTACACTTAAGCCAAGATCAGGTACTATCAGATAAGCGGCCAATGCTTCACTTTTGTCCTTTGATTTTGTTGTTGTTTTGTCTATCAGGTCCCATCTTGCTAGTCCGGCTTATGGGATTCTTCTTTGCGGCTCAAACATCCCTAGGGTATCAGGTCGCAGTTCCAGCCCTGAGATTCTGGCTGGCTTTGTCAAAAATGCGGGCTAGTAGTCATTTCCCCCCCCTCCCAAACCATTGCTTATAGCAGGGCCATGTCCCAAAATCACACAATCCTCAACTCCGAATCCGGGAATACACGATGGCGAGTGCGTGAAAATCATGCAGTGACATAGCTCGCTCTCAACCTATTTTGGGACAGCCTTGGCTGCTTATGATGGCTCATCCCCATCAAAGGCGCTTTACGCCTGTTCGAACACACTGTCTGGCATGTGGTCGTAGTTGATGTCTGCACTGCTGCCGGACCTCGAAGACATGCTTGTCATTGCGCGCTCAGAGCGTGCAGGAGACATTAAAGACATTCGGCCTGACATGGGTCAACATCTCCAAACTCGTGGAGGGTAGGACGGGCTTCCTTACTGTCAATCGACGGCCTGTAACTACCCTCATTGCCGAGTGGCCTTTCGCCCACCATCCGGCTAGCGTCAAAACTCTGTTTTTTTACACGCTCGGCACTCACCTGAACAAAGCGTCGAGCTTCGTTCTCGAGCCACAAGTTGATGTTCTGGTCGTTGCAGTTGGCGTGGGACATGAGCTCGTTCTTCATGCGCGTAACCTCATCCACCAGCCCATTGTACTCCATCTGTAATTGGGCGTGTTGGTTCTCCAGTCCCTGCTTAGTTTCCTGCAACTCCGAGACCCATTCCTTCTTCTTCTGGCGACACTTGCTTGCCGCGATCCTGTTCCTCTCGAGAAACTTGTCTCTTTTGCCGTCGTGCATATCTTGCGTGGGAGCTTTGCCTCTTTTCCCCTTGTTCCTCGGCGGGCTTGCATTGGAAGGATCAGTCGTCCTACTCCACTTGGATGTCTGCGTTTGAATAGAATTGTTCGAATCGGCCCTTGCGCTCGACTGGGAGGTTGGCACTGAGGAAACATGCAGAAGCGTTGGCCGATCATCAAAGTCTTCTTGCCTCGTTGTGTATTGCTCTTGATAATTGTGACCGTAGAGTGCCGGTGGGTTTCCGACAAGTGGGCCCCAGGCACTCGGCATGGGCATAAAAGCTGACGGGTCGTGCGACATGATGTTGGGCGAGCCGATGTCTTCTGGAGGCGTGAAGTGGAAAGAATCTGGATTTAGTGTCCGAGGTTGATCGCTGGGGAATTCATCGTTAGTTGGTGTTGCGACATCAACCGCATCATTGAAGAAGCTTGGAGGGGTATTCATTGTCCTGGATGGAGAGCTCGCAAGGGTTGGAACCAGTGTTGATCTCAAGAATTCTGGTGGATTGAATCGTACCGACAGTCAGTTGGCACAATTGGCTGGTCCAAGGCAAAATCGTGCCCGTTTTGTCGTACGTTGGCCTATCCAGTGCCCAAAGACCTCAAACGGTTTGCGAGTATTGAAGAGGCCGAAATCTGTCGCTGGCTGCGTTGTGGGAGTCGACGGGCGGCAGTCGAATATCTGAAGCAACCCGGTTACGGCAGCAATCTCGTCGAGATACCCGCAGGGGATTCGGCTAAGCAAAAGCGCAGACCTGTGCTTGGAAAGACGGAGGACTGGGAGGGGTTTACAACGAGTAATTATCTATAGTCCCGGACCGATTCCGACGCCTCCGTGTACTTGGCGATGGATTGGATCTGAGGTTCGTTGCGCAGCGGAATGCCTTGTGAGGGTACGAGACAAGAAGTTATGGAACAGAGATGTCGATTGCTTTGGCCAGGCGGGGAGAACGTCTCCCCGTTACTATGACAATGCTGGAAGGACTGAGCTGCAATGCCCAGTAATCAGTACTTCGGTAAGACCAGTAGAGAAGGGGGTGCGTTCGAATGAGAGAAGGCAGTATGAGAGACTTGGCGGGATCCAAACAGTGACGGCTCAATGATGTGGACGGCTCAGTGGAGTTACTTTGCAGGCCATTGTCAAGAGTGACTAAGAATACCTTGATAACCGCCCAGAAACAGAGGGGCCGCTGCCATATGGGGCAACATGGGGAGTCGCACAGGCACAAGGCCAAATGCGGGCGGGCCCAAGGCCTGGGGAGTTCGAGGAGGGCTGGAGCAACCGTCGCGGAAGCATGCAGAGCATGGAAAGGCTCGCCACTGAGTGCAAACGGCAACGTTGGAAGAGGGCTGGCTGGTGACGGGACGTTACGAGGAGTCGCTTGGGGATATGATAGTGCTGCGGGAGTGCTCGAATGAATATTTGGAATCGGCTTACCGTTTGCGACAGGTAACCAATCGTGCACCAGTCGGGGACAACCACTGGCGATGATCGTGAGCGCTGCCGCTGAGCTGGTGGCAAGACGATACTGTCGAAGCAAGTGGCCCCGCACGACAGAAGGTTGCTCGACAAAAGCAAGGGAACCGACGGATAGCGATATAGTAAGCGGCCCGTTTCAGTCCCCCACGACGGCCCGTGGATATCAGGGCCTGCTACGAGTGTATTGGTGTTTTGGTAAAACGGTCAAAAGGCATGGGCGATTCAAGCTGGATGGACAGTTGACGGTGTTGGCTTGGGATAGCCTGGTCGTGGTTCAGGACGGCCACCAATGGAGTGGGCGACTACGGGGTATCGTGGTGTTGGGTTGCCGGATGCCGTGATCGAAGGAGGATGCGGCAAACTCTGGTCATCAGTCAGGCAAGGATGTTCGGCTGGTGGTGGTGTGTGGGCACTGCTGAGATACCCAGTGCTTGCAGGATAGTCGGCCGACGGGATAACAGGGATGGGTGGAAAGTTGCCAAACGAGGGTCGATCAAAGCAGGGTGGAATGGGGCGGCGCGTGAGAGGAGAAGAGAAAAGGCGTGGAAGACGACGGGAATGGTACGCGGCCTGCTGCTGCGGTGACGGTGACAGGACCGGAACGCGCTCCGGCGATCGACGAAATTGACCCAGGAAGGTAGCAAGCCGGAAGGAACAAGGTGTCGGTAGGACTGGACCTCAGGTATGGATGGAGCTGGACGCAGGCCGAAGCAGTGGGCGGGTGGAAGCTCGGTAAAGGCTGCGACGGGAAGGGAGGGAGGGGGGGGGGGGGGGGGGGGCGGCCAAGATGAAGTTGTCAGGTAAGGCGATGGATATGAATTTGGGGGTGGAGGAAGGAACTTCCTCGTCAATCGCATTATCTGACCGACCTGCCCCGTTTCTGCTTGACTTTCATTGAGAGCTTAGCTCGCCCGGACCATAGCTACTGTTACCCAGATCTGGAAGCAAGGTAATAATTAATAGCAGGTGCATGTCTAGGTTAGGTATGTACTCCGGTATGGTAAGTAGGTAGTTAGCAGAAAGTGAGGTGGGCAGGGAGGTAGGTACTCGAGGAGTGTTTGAGGCTGGTCCCTCTGTAAAGAGCAAAAGCCCCAGCTTACTTACACTTCACAGCTTTTTAACACAAGAAGGAACAAAGCAAGGTACCACACCACCTAGATAGGTAGGTAGGTAAGGTATACATAGGTAAGTAGTTGGAGGGGAAGGAGGGGAGGCGCGTGCGTTTACCTGCAGCGACACACATCCATTTCCAGCACCTACTATTTCTCAGCACCAACAGCACGTGCAGTGCACCATGCTCCCTTTCGTATAGGCTTCTGCACAGAGGCAGACGGGATAGCGGGGTACCAGCGCCCGCTCCCTTGTGTCTCCCATTGCTCCTGCACAAGCCGCTTCATGTCTTGTCAAGAGCACTACCTACCTAGGTACCCGTAGACTGGACAGACAACCTAGGGTACCTAAGAGACGGCGGCACTCAAGCTCCATGTTGCTCACTTGCCTACTTGCAAAAAAAAAACGAAAAAGAAAAAAAAAAACCCGAGTGCAAGGGAAAGGATCAGCGTAAGGACAACGGGAAGGAGGAGACGACGGAGACCTGAGGCAGATGTGCACACACAGGTAGGTACGTACCTGCTGTGGTACCTAACTAGGTAATACCTACCTACCTACCTACGTGCCTACCTACCTAGGCCCGGAAGAGCAGTTATGGGATGCCGGAAACTGTCTTGAAATTCCACAAGCCTTCCACCATGCTGCATCCCCCCCTTCCGGATTCGCCATGCCTTGGGGGATTAACAACTTGGCAGGAAGTTGGAATAGGTACTGCGGCCAAGTACCTGTTTTCGGATGAAAGCTTCCGGACCTCTCATTTCACACTACCTACCCGGGTACCTATGTACCTCAGGAGGTGGGTATGCTATGTGTGTGCGTGCGGCTGTTTTCCTCTTGCGATAGTCCGAAATCCGACACCGGGCGCCTACCTGCCTACTCTACCGACATCTGACCGAGCTGCACTGCCTGTCGTGGACGCGTACAGTCTTTGTCGGCGTCGGTTCGATGTGTCTGTTGGCCAAAGGTTCAGGCTCCTCTGTTGTGTGTGACCCGCGTGTCTACCAGCTACAGCGACAGCAAGAGACACAAGCACAACTGGCGACGCTAGCGACCGAGTCTGTGCGTTGTGCGCTGTCTCGTCTTGTTAGTACCTTGCGCTAGAGCCCATTGGATTCCAGACGAGAATGAGTTGTGGTCGAAGCAAGCCCAAAATCAAACACTGTAGGGGTGAGCACGGGCCGTAGGAGCTAGCCAGGTACTGAGGGGTTGGCCTCACGAAGACAGAGGGACATGAAGCGGGAGAGGGGGATCAGATGCAAAACCACCCACCCACCTACCTACCTACCTAGGTACAGGTAGGTAGATGATAACCTATCTGCTAAGGTACCTACATGCGTGTAATACTTAGCACCCGTATCCTCCAGGAACCAATGAAAAGCGTCGCGCTGAATGATCCTCGAGCCGGTGCTGCCTCCCTTCCGCTTCGGCCTTGCCGTTGGCAGCAATGAATGAATGAATGGGCTTGGCCTTCCCTGCTGGTGCCGGCGTGGGCACGGCACGGCACCGCAGAGCGGCAGGGCCGAGCGCTTAGACAAGGGAGCAGAGGAAGCTCGGGAGCTACATACATCGTACCTACCTAGGTGGGGAAGATGAGGGGCAGACAGACCATTGCCAAAAACAGGCCAGAGCTACCTAGCATTCGGGTGACAAAAAACATGGCCGTTCTTCCCTACCACTAATACTACCATATGACAACCGGCCATCTCTTTTTTCATTCGAATGCCTAGGTAGGTAAGTTATTTTACTGCGTAGGTTGTACTACACGACGGCTGTAGTGGAGTAGATGTCGCACTCGCCCACCACATCCACGGTCCAGTACATATCAAGACTTTTGCCAACCCACAGCCGATTCTGAGTAGTGAGTGGTTCCAGGACCTGAAGCCTTCCAGAATCCGGACAAACCCCATGTTGTAGCTAGTTTACCTAATGTAAGCTCACAGAGGGCCCCCGGCTCGCACGATGCGAGATCGCCGATAGTATGCGAATCGGTTCATTGCGTGATGGCGCCACGACGACCCAGATGGCCTAGTTACCCGGGTGTTGAAGCCTCCCCAAGTGGTAGCATCAGGGCCCGAGAGAAAAACGAGGCAACCCAAGACAACGACACCAATGGGTACCCCACCCGCCAACTGACAATGCAATCGTATCGTACAAATACACAACGGGGGGAGGGAGGCTGGACGAGGGGCACTGCACGAGTCCGAAACGTAATGGGGATACTCTACCTACCCGCCCATCGTACGTGAAGCGCGATACCGTCACGCAACAAAGGCAAGCAGTTCGTGCTCGTCGAAATTTCCAGAAGTTTTTTGTATTATCCCATCGTGGTCGGCCGTCTCACCCAGGCCGAGTGGTATCTTACCTAGATGTACATAGTGTACATTGCAGGTATACCTAGGGCATTCCCTGCATAGAGCTGCCAAGAATGGACCCTGAAATTGTCACCCAACCAACCGCCTTGTCTTTTCAGCAGCCGGCACCTAGTTTAGCCCCCCTTAGCTGGTGCATACTCGCCTGACAGGGGGTTTTACTTTTGCCTGATAACATAGTACCTATTCCACATCACAGACAGTCGTCTCTGTAACGGGTTGTAGCATGGTAGGTCGGACGGAAAGGCCATGGTTTATACGGCCCGCCAACAGCCGACTGACCTTAACAGTTGTAGTGATTGCGGCGTCTCCATCTCCAACTCATGTTCCGACCTTTTGATCGGCCCCGGGGCAGCGCAGTGGGGTTTCGATTGCCTGCCGCGACCAAGTTTCCAGGTTTCTTCCTGGGCCGCCATGCACCGCCGAGACTAAAGGGCCCTGATACGGCAAGAGATTTACATCTCAGGTCATAACGAGTTTCAACGCGTATTGGAGGCACTCCCTATCGGCCTGCCGCGTGTCCTGGGGGAAAAGGGTGTGCGATTGCTACACAGGGCCCTGCATGCATCTACAAGCTCAACATCGTTGGAAGCGAGACCAAGCCACTGTTTAACCCGTGCTGGACTTGGGTTGCTACCGAAAATTTCATCACATTTCCAGATGGATGCCCAGCTAAGGTAGTCTTCAAGGTCTCGTTATCAACGCCCGGGGTAGGGCAGAAACATACTGCGCCCTTGGCCACAAACATGAAGCGCTGCTCCTAATGATCGCCCGGAACCTACATATTTATTAAGAAAAACAGGCGACGGGGTTTGAAATGACATCATCGCCGCGCAAGGGGCAATCCCCGAACGAGGAACGAAAGACTTAAGCAAGTTCTGTGACAGGAAAGGACTCCACTGGATGCCACGCTGGTGACGACTCAACCATCAGCCATCGATGATGGTGGTCCCGAATTGGTCTTCCGAGCCAATACCAAATGATCTAATTGGGCAAAAGCATCCTGGACGAGCCAGCCGGTCAAAAGTCAATTGATGAGAGCCAAGGTCATGATTCACCTAGACCCGTCTTTCATCCGTGCCTCTGAAAGGAGAGGGGGGGGGGCGACGGTGAAGACGGTGATAGTGGATGGGACACCGTTAACATAACGTTTTGTTTGGGAGGACATCTCAGAACCGTTCAGTAGGTCGTGTAGGTGGGTAGTGGAGAGACACGCACCTCTGATCACCTGATATGTCACCTGACACCGCGACAAAGTGGCTTGCCGAGGGCCCCAAAACGCGTCTCCTAGCTAGACCAATTTCCTCTGAACACGACCTTGGACGGCCACCCTGCACCGGATTGTTCCCAGCGTAAACACCAGTGGCTTACTGAATCTCCATCGTCCACACGAGACCCTTGCACAACAACCGAACCAAGAAGCATCATCTTCACTTAGCCCGTTACCTTAAGATGGCCGAAGCCACTTCGACCCCGCGCATCACAGCGCAGTACCTTGACAACTACGTCGGCCGCAACGTCATGCTCATCGGCAAGGTCCTGCAGCTGCGCGGCGACTCTGCCGTCCTCGATTCCGACGGCAGCGTCACTGCCATCCTGAACCGTGTAAGTCCACGTCTAATGGATCAGCGCTTAGTTCCTTCCTTTGATAGAGCTGGGTATCGGTATAGACTCTAACCTTGTTGTCATAGGATGTCCACCTCACCAACGGCAACGGTGCCCAGGTCATTGGCAAGGTCAACCCCGATCTGTCCATCAAAGTTCTGAGCTCGCGTGATCTGGGTCCCAATGTTGGTATGTATATATTTGCTTTTTCTCAAAGTCCCTACTCATCCCTTCTCCGCGCTACACTACGTGTAAGGACGCGAAGCCTGGGCATGTACACCGAATTTCTGTCTACTGGCTCCTCTCTTCCGTCAAAGCCCTATGGTCCAAGGGGAGGGCTTTTACACATTCTTTTGCAAATACCGGGCATCTCATTCTCTCCATCGGAGTGGCTTTACTCGAACATGCTGACTCCTTTCAGACTACCAACTCGCCTCCGCCGTAGTCGAGGCGACGCACCACCACAAGTCCCTCTTTGTCTATGAAAACTGACGGCCGCAGCCGTCCAGGTGCGTGTACGGGCAAACCCAGGTCACCGTCCCCGTGCCACACCAACTCGCGCGTACCATCAGCAGCGCCACTACCCTGTCCCGAGCATCTACGGTCCGGCCTACCACGTCGACCACTACCGCCAATTATCAACATCAAAACCATCAGCAAACACCGCCTCCATCGCAACGCTATCATTACCAACCGCAGCCGTGCTACCACTCGCCCACACCAACACCGCCCTCGCCTGATTCGACGAGGCATCATTCTGCTATGCCTGTCTTCTTGACCCACCCTCCTTCACCACAGACTGAGAGACAGTCTTCTGACACCCTCCGCCCATCGCCTCAGGTCTCCAGGCAGAGTCATCGCCATCAGCAAACCCTGCAAATTACTCGTGGCCAGAGAGTTAGTATTCCTTACCGTCCTTCTCGTACAGCAACTCCGTCCTCGACACCGTCGTTGACGGATCTACCCAGCCAACCTGCTGTCCTCACGCCAAGCACCAGGGGCCTGCAGCCGATAGGGGCCAGCAGAGACATTACTGGTGGATTCAGCAACGCATATGAAGGAAGAGATGGCAGGCATCCTCCACAGAGATGGGAACCAACGACGAGGCCAGGAGCACGAACCAAAGATGTTGACGATGCGGAGCTACTTGACAACATCCTAGACGGCATCGGGCGCATGGCTGTGGGAACTGTTGCCATGCAGATGGACGAAGCCGGGAGGTGGAGGATCCGTCGCGATTCGGGGGGCGAGAGCACTTGGTAGGTCGGAACGCTACCTCTTGTCGCAGGAGATGAGGCTCGATGCGCACCGCCATTTTGCCAATCGTGGTGCCAATAACGATTTTATGAGGGGAAAAGGGGTTCATCCCGAGTTGATAGTGATATGAAGGTTCGCATTAATAGACATATGTCTTGACCCCTGCACACAAGATCAGGTGCGTGACTTGGCTGTGCGCCACTCCTGCTCTGACATCTGCCAGCTCAGCATTCGTTCCTTCGCGTCACTATTCAAATATCGCCATCCGCTAGCAAGGCCTGTGCCGCCTCCCAAACCTCAAATAATGCTCTCTCCGTCAATACCATCTGTTGCCCACAAACTCCTATTGAATGGTCCCAAATGAGGCCAGTCCGGCCGGGGTCCCACCATGCTGCAGCCCCGCCATCGCTGCTCCTGGGTCCATCCATACCCTTCATCGCCTTCCTTATCCTCGCTGCAACGACCTCTTTGTCCTCTGTGCCCGTGGTTTCGGTGCTGTTTCTCTTTCTGTGTGACGGTAGATCTGTATCGTTTTGCGCGTCACCCCCCTTGATCCCTCGTACTTTGCGAGTGAAGCGCTCGAGAGCTGATACCCGCTTCTCTGCCGCCTCGGCGCGGGCTTTCCACATAGCGCACTCCCGTTTTGCCACGCGCAACTGTTCACTTAGTGTTCCAACATCCATGCTCTCCTTTGTTTCTAGTTCACGCCGTAGAGATAGGTTCTCTCCAGTCTTGGCATCTAGCTGTCCCTGAAGACTACGGATTTGACTATGAAGCACCGAGTTAGCGCCAGGGCTTGCCGCTCGTACATAGACCGTTTCTGAGCTGAGCTGGCGCAGAGAGGGAGTGGATGGCGGCCGGCGGGGAAACATAACATGTTGCGCGATGGGAGGCTGCTCAGCAGGCCTTGTCATTGTTCCAAGGTTGGGAACAGCCCTGTCATCGCCCAGAGTTGGGGCCTTTGGAGGATGGTTCTGGAGCTTAATCTGCGCGACCGATGGCTTTTCCAGACGGGGAATCCACCCTTTGCCATGAACTGTTTGAGACACACCCAAAGAGCCCATGCCACCGTCTTTGGAAGCACCCTGATGATGACTTGCCGGTTGGGTGTGTCTGCCTGGAATCTGCCAGCGTTGGTCTGGCTCATCCTTGCCAATACTTGAGACCGAGGCTTTAGGCTTCGGAATTCGGGGAGACGGCGGATTCACCCGAGAGAGGCTCAAGGCTATCTCGTTCGGACGTGAATAACGGGAACCTGTAGGGGAAGGCACATAGGGCGACTCCTGGGAGACCGTTTCAAACATTGCTGCCATAGCCTTCACCCCAACTGGCTTTGAAACGGATCCACGAGAGGGAGTTGAGCTGCCACGGCTCCCATCGCTTGGCATACGCGCTGATGGTGTCATAATAGCCTTCATTGATTCCTGAGGTCGGTGGGCAAACTCCTTCGCCATGGCTACGCTTTGGGTTCTTGAAGGAACTGGTTGGGATGCGAGTGACCGAGTATTTCTGGGTTCCGATCCTCCCTCGGCTATACGATACCGTTGTGGTAAAGCGCCAGCTGCCTGGTCATATGCATCTTCATGGTCAACAAAGTGAGACAACGCTTTGTAATCAGAACTGATCGGAGGCAGCGTTTCCTACTGCGGCTTCGAAAAATCGGTTCCTATTGCCCTTGGAGTGACTGGTTCCTCTCTCTTGGTAAGAAAGCCCTTCGGCGTGGTCTGAATGGAGCCGGTGCTCTCCGATTTCGGGTCGAACTCTGTACTTTGCCTCGGAGTCCGTAGAGGGGAATTGGGAACTGGTGTCATTTCGATTAGTCTCGTATGCAGAGTATGGCTGGCATCCAATGACTTGTTTTCCGTTCCTGAACCTTGTCTATACTTTGCCTCAGATAGAATCTTGGTAGTGTCGTCATTACCGTTCTCTGGGCTTGTCCCGCATCTGGGGCCTAGCGGCTCTTGTGTCGCATCTCTTTTGTCCAGAGTCTTGGGAGGGAATGCAGACTGAGTGGGCGTACGTGGGCTCACTGCCTCAGGAGAGAGATGCCTTGCGTTGAAGATTTTAGGTCCTGGACTGGTTGAATTTGATGTTCGACGTTTATCGTTGCCGAGAAGTCGACGAAGAGCCGAGGAGACGGTTCCTCTAGTCTTTCGTCTAGTTGCCTCGGTATCCTCAGGTGAAACCTCGTCTCTTCCGGACATGGCCTGTTCTTTTGACTGGCTGCTGTCTCTTGGGTCTTCTGTAGACACTCGCAGCTCTCGTAGTATATTTGTGAGCTGTCTTGAGGAGGTCCTTTCTGGCACCATCTCTTCCGATAAACGAGGGCTCCCGTCCAAACTGTGGTTGTGACTCGCGAATCCGTGAGTCTCGTCAACAGACTTGCTGTCCTTCCCAGGGCTGTTTTGCCGTCGATTCAAGCTTCCACGAGGCGTTCGCCGAGTTTGAACAGGATTCGATTTTAAGATTTGCTGGGAATTCTCGGGTTGAGAAGCTGAGTTCTTCTTAGGAGTGTGCGAGATGATTGGAGAGTCATTCTTAGCCGATGTAAACTGCAGCCCTGCGGCACTCGTATCATCTACCAAGCTCTCCTCTGCCGTTGGTGATAATGGATTTAGGGATTGACGCATGGATGGTTTATTTGAAGAGGCCGAGTGTGACGTTTTCGGCCGGATTCTTTTGATGTTAAGCGTCTCGCCTGAATTTTCCGTTGTTCTCACAGTCGGCTTCCCTCCGCTTCCTGCCACCCATAAGCATGCGTGACCTTGAGGGACCGGAGTTCGTTTTGAACTTACGTGGTGCTGGTGTAGGAGTTGTAGGAGATGGTGACTTCTCTCGGTTGAAAGAGGTAGCCGGAGAAGATCGCTTGCTTTTCCACCCTTTGGGCAAGCCAATGGTGAATGGCTCGGAATTCGACGACCGAAGAAGCTCTCGGCGGCTCGGGCTCTCCAGTTCATGGCTCGTTATGGCTAAAATCGACAAGTTCTTCATGTTTCGGATGACCTCACGCCAGTTTGTGATGATCATCTCAGCAATATCATTGGCCACATGGATTTTGTCGACAGATAGAGGGCCTCCTTCGCCATGTATTGCAATCTTGCGCTGCCGTTCCTTCTTGATTTGAGGCGGGGTGAGGGGAAATAGTAACAATCCTGAAGACGGGTTTGCAAGCTTCATAGTGTATGAATCCAACAAATCACTGACGAGAAGCGGTCCAAACACGATTCCCAAAGCTGTGTATCCCATGAGGTCCGAGGTCGGAAGCGGTCGACCCTGCTCGTCCTCACGAGCCGCTGTCTCAGCAGCACGACCAATCAAGGAAAGAAGACCAAATACAGCACATATCAGTTCTCGGCGATACTGAGATTCGACGGTCCCGATAGCTAGCGCAATAAGTCGAGCGCGAGTCTTCGTGTCCTTGGTGCGGCTAAGCTCAGGCTCTTTTCGAAGCTGGCTATGGATAGCCACAAAAGCGTCAAAAAGCGGAAGGGAGCCTAGTATACCACCTGGAAGTACCGACAGAAACTTTTTGAAGGCTGAGGCTACATCTTGCGGGCCAGCGTTGATGTGAAGTGGAAGGGTAGGGCAGCGGATTGTACCAGTGACCTCCTCTCCAGCTTTCTCGTAGCAGTAATAGTCGAAAATTGCGTTGACAATGCGGGCCGATCCAGAAATACGAAAGACTCCTCGTGTATTAGGGCCTGGTGTGGTGTCGGTCAGGATAATCTCCACGGGAATGGCTCTGTCAACATACCATACTGGGCCAAGTATTGAGCGGTGGCCCGGAAGCAAGTTGGCAAGACGAGTGAGCCAGGGGCATAGTCGGAAGGGAGGTAGAAGAGGCTTTTGCCGCTCAGTCGAATCATTGTCTGAAGATCGAGCGATGTAGGTTCCGGTTTTCTTGGATGAACCAGATGTAGAGCGATATTGCTGACGCTTCTCTTGTGTCTGACTGCCCCGGGTGGTCCTTGTGGATTGGATGGCTGTCCGGATGAAGCTGGGCGAAGCACTCGAGCCCACCATCTACGCTTTTCGGTCATAATAGCCGGTATCCTGGGTCGCTGAAAGACTCAGCAGGTGATTGGGCGTAGACAAAATACGACACTTACATCTCCTTTTAAATCTCCGACAACGAGCACTCGGATTCCGTGCTACGGGTACATGTCAGCCAAGGTCAAGAACCTTCAGGTCTGACGCAGCTGAATAGCATGCGGCGGATACGAGATATCTCATACCTTCTTGGCTAATCGATTGTACTCCTGAACGAATCTTAGGCGATCTTGAACGTCGTCCGTATCTGAGAACATGGCCAGATCCCTAATCGATGATGCCCACGTTGCGCTGCTCGGGAGAAGTCTGCCTCGGTGCCCTTCTTTGATGGTCAATCCCGGCAAGGTGTTCGAGGCTGTAAGTGGTCGTCTACCAACATCACTGGCGTTGATGGATGCCATTGAGGCTGCTATAGGTAGCCGAGGAGGCACGGTACTGGTCGGTGCTGTGCTCGTGGCTTGGCTTGTGAGGGTCCCGGCCTCAGGATCTCGAGACATGTCTGAGGGTAAAGATGGTTCATTATTATTGTAAGGCTGCATCGGAAGAAAGACCAGGGAATGGCTGACCAAAACCGTCGTGTACGAGCGAGTAGGCCAACTAGGTCGATTTCGGGGTGGAGAATATCGAATGTCCAACAACGGTGATTTATGAAGTGACGTAAAGGACCGGGAGACCGATAGCGTATGATACCAGTTGGCCCTCATGTGAAGACAATGCACCTGCCAAACCGAAATGATCGGATCTCATGCAGGTGGAAGATGATGGCGTACCTACCTCCTGCCGTCAACCCCTTAATCAGCATCTATCGTGACCGCGCCTGCGATGTTAACATTCTTCAGTCACGGCGGCGGATGAAGCCGCTGTCGTCGTTGTTGCCGCTCTCATCCGACCCGTATCCAGCGCCCGCGACACCACCAGCGGACAGAGCACATTACACGGGAGGACAGCAGCCGAGTGTAATGTTGGGCACGTTCTCATTTCATAATGCAGCCAGACAGCCGGCTTCTCCGTAACCTCCCCCCCAACCTCTATAATGAAGCGAATAAATAATGATGAGGTACGCGCACCGTCTGGTACTCCTCCCAGTTACGCCATCATACGCCTGGCACATGCTGATACCATGTCTACCGTTTCCCAAGTCATTCCAGCGAGGATCCGTCGCTCTTACTTCTATGCAACTCCGATTTTGTTCCAGCTTCAAGGTCCGTTGATGTCATCTTCTTCTCCATGCAAGAGTACATACTTGAGTATGTCTGACAGGGAAATGACACCCACGAGTCGGTTGTCATCGTCCACTACTATCAAACGATGCACTCTTGACTTGCGAACTGTGTCAAAGATTGAGTCCAGTCTGTCCTCGGGACTGCAAGTGTAGATTCCGGGCGAATCGTCAGGTCGCATGCACAGTGCCTCTCCGACGCTGGAGGATAGCTCTTCGTACGCACCCCCTTTGATACACGGAATGATGTCGACTGCTTCGAAGACGTTAAGCAGACGGTTGTGCGCATCCACAACAGGGACGCAAGATATGTTCTGCTTGACCATCATGTCGACCACGTTGAGGACCGAATCGTTCATCTTGGCGGTAGCGAGGTTCTTGTATGTGCCCAAGCCAATCTCTCTGAGGGACTTTTTCAACAGGACGGTATTGTGCTCGTTGTTGACAGCGATGAATTTAAGGATTCTGTACTGTGTTATGACACTGACAACCATCTCGCGACCGGTTTCGTCGTCTACGTCCACAAGGGGAATTCGGCGAGCGCGCGTCTTAAGCATGCGGCGACAGGCCTCATAGAGAGGTCTCATAGGGTTGACGGACACCGTCTCGAGAGGGGAGGCCCCGATGGCCTTTTCGATATCTGCAGACATGTTGGCATGCAACCTGGAGCCAGTTGTGACCATCTAGTACGACGTACCTCGCAAGCTGCTGAGTCGGAACTGTTCCAGTTTGTGCATCTCGTCGGGAAACTGACAATAATACTGGATCACGTTGATATAATCCGTCGCTGTCAGGAGGCCGGCGAACTTGGAATTGTGCGAATCCCACAGCGGCGCAGAAACGATAGCTGTTGGGTAGGTCAGAATAGACTGCTCGGCGCATCGAGGCAAACATGACTCATACCATTCTGGATGAGGATGTTAAGACTCTTCTTGATCAGAAGGTCGTTATCGAGCACTATGAGGCGGAATGAGAGCGGCAGGACATCGTAGCTGGTTCGAACTTTGAGGAAGTCGCGAATAGATCTCTGGTTAGGAGGGAAATGTTAGCGACAGCTCGGAGGGATCCAAAAGTGCCCCTCACGATGGCGTCGTGGCCGAAGAACAACCCCGCATGCGCTCGCTCTGATCAGGGAACGAAATCGGGCACGGGCACGGGGTCGGAGAGGCGCGCGAAGAGCGCGGGGTTGGTCAAAGAAGACGGGTGGCTTACCAGGCCCTGAATCTGATCCTTGTCGAGCGGGCTGGCTGGTTTCTCTGGCATTTTGCGAGCGGCGGACGAAGAAGGTCTCGGGCGAAGATAGGATGAGGGCGTGACGAAGGGGAGCTCGTGACCATGTGGTCTCGCGATAGACGCAGCAGTAGCGACTGCGGGTGGTTGTAGTGGACCGCTACCGCTAGACCGTTGTTGATGCGACGTGGGCATGGAGCCAGCATCGGCATTGCCCTTCGAAGCCGAGGAGGCGTCGTCCATAGTGTCGTCGTACGAGGGCTAATGGCGCGCGTGTGGCCCCTCTGGACGCTGGACGGGCTAAGAGTGCGAAGAAAGCGGGAGACGGGGACGGGAGAGGCGGGAGGCAGAGACAGTAAGCGGAATGAGAGGTAACAGGAACCAAGAGGGAAAAAGAGAGAAAGAGAGGAATTCGTGGACCGAAGAATGGACTGGGCTAGATTGGACGGGTTCCTTGTGGTGAGATTCCCATGGGCTGCTCTTTTTTCCCCCTCCCAACGTGCAGCAGCAATGAGGTAAGGCGAGAGAAAGATACCTACCTACTTGCCTACCTCTAGTGTACCTAAGGTAGATACCTAGGAAGGTAAGGATTAGTTAAGAGACCTAACAAGTGTAAACAGTTACAGCGGTGGTACGGGAAGCGGTACCGCTACTGGCAGCGAATAGCATTTATCTGAGCTGTGTCCCTCTTGTCTCACTTGCGGAGCAGTGTACCTATTCTGTAACCAGCCTTTATCCCTTTATCTTTACCACAGATAAGGATAAGACCACCCAGAAAAGTGACTACATTGGACTTTGGCGAAACCCAACCGATTAAGGTAGGCTGGGGGGACATCGACCATCTGGATCTTGTTTGTCTTTTTCTTTTTTTTCTTCATCCCCCCCCCGCAAGCGCGGTCTGGTGCTGGCGCTGACATTTGGCGTTGCCAGAATGCGGTGATGATCGACCGAGTCGCAAAGATACTAGTTGTTCATGCTTGGTACTGCCGCTCAACGTATGCAGCGGTGTTTCCTCCTAGGTTGTGAGGGGGCTGACCGCGACATAGTGGCGTGTTTCGCCATTGGTGATGACCTCAAACTGCTACTTTAGAAACGGGGAGGGTAGATGCGACCATGTTTCTTCAGTGCTGTCCAATGCATCCGATGACCTCTTCCAAACCCACAAGGGGGATACACACGCAGAGCGACACACCCAGCTACAAGGTAGGCAGGCAATCGAGCGATGAGCAGCGACAATGACAAATAACAAGAAGCAGCATCTTGTTGGTGAAGAAGCTGCCGTCAGCATTCCGGCCGAGGCCAAGCACACTGACTGGACTCAACCGATCCCGCGCCGCAGGCTCGACACATATTTATTGAAGAACAGGATGAGATTTAGCCAACGAGAAACAAGTGATGATTCTCCGCCCGTTGCTGTCCGACGCTTTCCTTTTCCAAGACAGCTTGTCTTGCCTTGGCTCAAGGTCTGAAGACACGTCTCCGAAGAACATGCAAGTTCAAGACATTTCCTAAAATGTCCATTTGAAATTTTCAGCTGATCTTTCAGATACCAACAATTCGATTGAAATCTACCTTGAATGTGAATACAGCTAGCAGTTAGACGTTTTCTTGTATCATCCAACCATCACTGTCACTCTGACAAGATGGTCTGTTCTTGACTGGCTTTAGGCGACATGGGTGACAACTACTTGGCCTCGCGTGACACTGGACCCTGAGACCCTTCTGAGCTTGGCGCCTTATCGCTAAGTGCAAGCCATCAAGGCAAGTCTGAAGGGAACATGGCAACTAAGAGTGCAGGCCGGTGTCTAGCTTGGGCGTGTTCATCTGAAACTTCCTCTGGCCCAAGATAACCGAGGCAGAGCTCCCCAAGACAGTGAGTGAGCGCATCGTAGAAGGGACGGAACGTAAGCTTGCAGTTACTTCTGCTCGACCCTCTATGCACACTCATTCCACGATAGGAGCATTGCCACAGCTGCCTCAGGTGGGTAGAACATTCTGGAAATGGCTCACTAGCTCTCAGCGATGATATGACGATGACCGGACGATTCCAATGCAGAGAGAGAGAGGGGGGGGGGAGAGAAAAATAAAAGTTCGTGATGATGATGGTCTGGAGAGGGTTTCACGTCAACTTCAAGCTATCATGTCACCAGTGTGGCTTGCGTTGTTTACCAAAAATGCCTCTGGAGGCAGCTCTAGGCTTTCCTTCTTCATCCACACTTGCCCAAAGTTAAATGCCTGAGCGGGAGAAGGCATCTCGAAAACTGTCGAGATAAGGCGTCGTCATCGAAGGCGCCTTGTGGATTTCCCACATGTAAACGAATGATCAAGGTGGTCCGCGTTTACCAAGCTCGAAGTTTTGTATCGCGCGGCAGCGTCGCCTGAGGGACATGGAAGACTGGGTCTTGCTGCAGACGGGAAAAATTACGGAGTGAGGCGGTGGGTGGGTACATTCAATGTTTTCGTCTCGCTGGGTCATAAGTCACTGGCCAGTTGCATGACGAGTAAAAGCCGGCGCACGCTGCAGGTACACTCGAACCTTCCTATGTACTCTGTATCTCCTCTCTCTCTCTCTGGGACCTCTAAGCCGGAAGGGGTAAGAAGGCCCAAGGTTATCAGTCCCACATTGGGTTTCACGGGCCTTTCTTTCGTCGTCGTCGTGGTACTGCTGTTTTGCTGTTGTGCTTGCTCGCTGCCCGTTGCTTGGTGTGTTCTCCACCCCACCTATCGTAGGCAGGCACCTTACCTCGCACCAGCCTCAAATACTTATCTACCTAGGCACGCTAGAGAGGGTCCCGGTGGCTTGCTGCCGCCGCCCCGATTGCTCTTGCCGCGGGTTGCTGCAACCTGATCCTGGGTCAGTGCTCCGCGAGGCACCTAGAGCATCCTCCCGTCGCCTTTCCTCCCAAACCCTCATTTGACCGACTGAGTCGTCCATCCTTCGACCGAATTCCGGGACTCTCACACCGGCCAGCAAAGAAGCATCGATTCGCCGAGGCGACTGACTGCTATCGAGCGTGCGTCTTCAATCAGCCTGTTCGACAAAACCGATACTTTTATCGAGCCGCCGAAACCACTGTACACTTTCCATCCCTCCAGTCGTCGGGCTGCCACAACGCTCGTGTTGCGAACGAGAGGATCCATCCAAACAAACAAGCACCAGCTTTCCGATCTGCCACCTCCACATCGAGTCCTGATACCATCAACACTGGCCCTTGTCGCCCACTTCGGCCATGGGAGTCTGCCAATCCTGCTGCGGAGGTATTAGGTTTTCGATCGTTATGTCTGAGCCGAAGCTGATGGTGATCGCCCAGGGAGAGCCCGCGATGGTCTCTATGAGCCAGTCCTCGCCGATAGCGAAAGGGAAGCCGTTGCTGACTTGCTCCAATATCTTGAAAACGTATGGCTTCTCTGCCACTTCCATCTTTTTGACCTTGAATACTGACTTGTTTCAGCGGGGTGAAACCGACTTCTTCTCGGGCGAACCTCTCCGAGCTCTGAGCACTCTTGTCTTCTCCGAGAATATTGACTTGCAACGGAGTGCGAGTCTGACTTTTGCCGAAATCACAGAACGAGGTACGTCAACACTCTGATTGCTTGCCGTCGCGAATGCCCTTCGCATAGCTTTAGCCCACCTCACCGTAATTTGCTGACAATTTGCTACAGATGTTCGCGAGGTCGACCGTGATACCCTTGAACCCATCCTGTTTCTCTTACAAAGTCCCGATATCGAAGTCCAGCGCGCGGCCAGTGCCGCATTAGGGAACCTGGCGGTCAACAGTAGGTTCACCTTCGCAAGCAGCATTGTAGGATGCACACTGACTCAAGTCATCAGCCGAGAACAAGGTTTTGATTGTTCAGCTCGGGGGCCTTACGCCCCTCATCAGGCAGATGCTATCGCCGAACGTCGAAGTGCAGTGCAACGCAGTCGGCTGCATTACAAACCTGGCCACACATGAGGAGAACAAGGCAAAGATAGCACGGTCGGGCGCTTTGGGTCCCTTGACGAGGCTGGCAAAGTCCAGGGACATGCGAGTCCAGAGGAACGCGACTGGAGCCTTGCTCAACATGACGCACTCAGGTATTTCTTACTGGCATATTAGCTTGAGGGATGCGGGACTGACAACCATGCGACAGACGAGAACCGCCAGCAGCTCGTTAATGCCGGAGCAATTCCTGTTCTTGTCCAGCTACTCTCCTCGCCCGACGTCGATGTTCAGTACTACTGCACGACGGCTCTAAGCAATATTGCTGTTGACGCTAACAACCGCCGCAAGCTTGCTCAGACAGAGTCCAAGCTCGTCTCCTCGCTCGTCACTCTTATGGATTCCTCGTCACCCAAGGTCCAGTGCCAGGCAGCCCTCGCGCTCCGTAACTTGGCCTCTGACGAGAAGTACCAACTGGACATTGTGCGGTCAAACGGCCTCGCCCCTCTACTCCGACTTCTTTCGTCGTCCTACTTGCCTTTGATTCTCTCCGCTGTAGCATGCATACGAAACATTTCCATACACCCTTTGAACGAGTCGCCCATCATCGAAGCCGGTTTTCTGAAGCCGCTGGTCGATCTTCTCGGGTCTACCGAGAACGAAGAGATCCAATGCCACGCCATCTCAACCCTTAGGAACCTGGCCGCCAGCTCTGACCGCAACAAAGCTCTTGTCCTCGATGCGGGCGCTGTTCAGAAGTGCAAGCAGCTGGTGCTCGATGTGCCCGTCACGGTCCAATCCGAGATGACAGCTGCGATTGCGGTTCTGGCTCTTAGCGACGAGCTCAAGTCTCATCTCCTGAACCTCGGGGTCTTCGAGGTCTTGATTCCCCTCACACATTCCCCCAGCATTGAAGTTCAGGGCAACAGTGCTGCAGCTCTCGGCAATCTCTCTTCCAAAGGTGTGTTGAACGTTTCTCGATTTAAGTACCAAGCTGACAATAAAAACTAGTCGGCGACTATGCCGTATTCGTTCAAGACTGGAAGGAGCCCAACGGCGGTATCCATGGTTACCTGACGAGGTTCCTCCAAAGCGGCGATGCGACATTCCAGCATATAGCGATCTGGACTCTGCTTCAGCTGCTCGAATCTGAGGACAAGAATCTTATCCAGTTGATCGGCCAGGCGCAAGATATTGTCGACCAGATCAAGGAAATCGCGAATCGCCAGATCGAGCCGGACAATGAGTTTGAAGACGATGACGAAGGCGAAGTTGTCAACCTGGCACAACGGTGTCTGGAGCTGCTTGGCCAAAGTGGCTCCAAGACTCACATCGAAGGTTAAGGAAGACGGCAACGCTACACACGGATCTCACTTCATTATTTTGTTCACCAATTTCCCTTCCGGGGTACTATAGCAGGACCAAGGAGCTTGGAGGCTTGGGTTGGTGGTGTTATCGGCGTTAATCAGCATGCAGAATGAGATTCGGTTGTTACGTTGAGTGTATATTTCGGCGTGGAAGCATCTTGAAGGAGCGTTTATTTCGGCGTGCCAATGTCCTGGCGGACGATGATGCCGCCGCCGTCAGAGGCCACGCCCAGGTTTTTTTTTTCTTTTAGCTTTTTTTTTCTTACACGGAGACGACCCGGACCTTTTGCTTTGTATCAAGCATCGTGGCTCGTTTGTCGGGTCATACATGTCTCATATTACTCGGCCTGTCGTCAGGCTTGATGAACCTTCACCTGGCGCCCTTTGGCCCCCCCTACCCGTTGTAATTAGGATCAGACTTTAGAAGACCACAAACACAACTCACAATCTGTGATAATTCAGCTTGTGATTGGCCGAGGCTCACATGTTTCCCGTCGCGTCTCGTAATGCCTGAATCACGTATGATGGCACGGTGCAATTCCACTTGGGCCGCGCCTCAGTTTCGGCCCTCTTGGACATCGCGTAGTCCGTTTTTCAGCCAATTTTCCCTGAACAAAGGCAATCCTTTGGCCACCACCTTGCCCCCGATCAGAGCCAATGGCACAGGTCCGTACGTCCGCGAGTCTCTAGAGGCCTCCAGGTTATCACCAACCAACCAGCAATGCCCTTGGGGGACCTATTGTAGCTACTTTTAGCAGAGGAGCTTATGGGACGATTGCCAACGACGGCTCGTACCTGAATCATCATGTCTTTCTGTGAGTCAGGGCTGTTAAACAGTACATAGTCGCCTGGCATGCCCACCACACGCTTGACACCGATGCTCTTTGGGAAGATTGGGATCTTGTAGTAGACCAGATCGCCGACGGCAATATCGCGACCGTAACGGTAGCGCTTGTCCGAGACGAGATTTTCACCGGCAATCTCAAAGGTTGGGAGCATGGAAGGGCCGGACGCAGGACCATAGGCGTAGCCGTATTCCCAGAAGACGTGGGCGAAAGCCATAGTTTTTCCCACATTCAGGACCAGGCGGAAGGGATGTCCCGCCATTATTGTTGGAGCGTTTGCATTCGCGATCGTGGTTGCATACGAATGATTTGAACAACCTTGTGTCTGCTGACTGCTGTATACCTAGAGCGAGTGAGGAACGGAAACAGGAAGTGCTGAGACGAGCGAATCGGGCTGACGTCTGAGGTTCCGCTATGTAGAGCTTGGACCATTCGAAAGCTCGTCGCATTGCGCGACTTGATTGGTGCGAGAGCTGCCATCTCCGGCCCCATATGAAAGTTCCTCCCTGCTTGCTTGCCTGTTTGCCTGCCTCCTCCGCACCACATTTCTGCATCTTGCAATCACCTTTACCATCTACAGGACAGGAGCAAACATTGAACGGAGACAAACGAGGCCGAACTGTAACTCAGAAGAAAACCCTGAATCAAAACTGTCACAAATCGGATCAAAAGTATCCAACATGAGTGGCACACGATGTCTGTACAACTATAGCAGGGCAACCCTTTATAGGGTCTTCGTCTCGCCCTTTGAGAAGGTGGAAGCCTTGGCCCGACGAAGCGCCCTTGCCCATCCCGCCCCCAGAACACTACCGCCAGTATTGTCGCCGCCGATGCAGTCTTTCGCCCGTCACGCAGCCCTTATTCACCGGCCCCGGAAGCCGAGCAGATCGGCAGAACCAGAGCCGAAGGCTGCTCGAAGGCTCCCCTTCGACGAGATGATCCGCGACCGCCAAATCTTGGTCGTTGACGAGGACAACAAGCTGACGGGCCCGCACAACACCTCTCGGGTGCTCCAGTCGCTCGACCTGGACACGCAGAGCCTGCGGATGGTCTCGCGGCCACCGCCGAACCCGACAGGGGACCAGCCACGGTACGCCATCTGCCGCGTCATCGACAAGCGCCTCGAGAAAGAGCGCGAGAAAGAGCAGGAGAAGGCCAAGAAAGAGACTGCGCGCAGGCTGGCGCGGATCAAGGAGCTCGAGCTCAACTGGGCCATCGCGTCGCACGACCTCGGCCATAAAATGAGGCAGCTGAAGGGCTTCCTGGAGAAGGGCTACAAGGTCGACGTGATCTTCGCCAAGAAGAGGGGTAGCAGGGTGGCCACACTTGACGAGGCGGAGGCGCTTGTGAAGGCGGTGCGGGACGTCGTTGCCGAAGTCCGGGGTGCGAAAGAGTGGAAGGAGGCGGAGGGACAGCCGCCCAAGGTGATGAGGCTATACCTGGAGGCGCCACCATCGGCGAAAGCTCCTTCCAAGTCTTCTGCCGTCAATTCAGAGCCTTCGGAGAACTGATAGTCCTGCGGGATCATGTTAGGGCAATTGGGCCGCGACAGACTACGGATGCTGGTATGATGTTACAGGGATGCGCCTGAGGCTGTGTCATGGATTTTGCCTGTATATTAGAGTATCCATGAGATTTTTGTATAGTAGATCTGCATACAGAGCCGAGGTTCTTGCTGCTGCTGCTGCTCCAATGTGCGTCGACATTCTAATCCATCTTGATAGAATACCTGACACCGAGGTTTCCAGAATGCTTCTTATGCCTATAATTCAACATATCTATGTGAGCTAGAAAGACATTGATTCATTTGCTAGGCTGAAGCACATAGGTGTCGTATATCTACTCCTCACTCCTTGGTCACATAAGTTCAGAGCCTCACAAACAAATATTTTTCAGACGATGGTCAGGTGGCTGAAAATTGGCTTTAGCGAAGGCTTCTTATTTCAACCCTTGTGTGATCAATGGGCATATTTTGAGATCTGCCTTTGACTTCATACGTATCTGAAGAGACATATCTAGAGCAGCTTCTGTCTAGACAAGGAGCTGGTTGCAGCAGCCATGTGCAGCGGCTGAGTGGTGATTCAGATGATGCTATGAGGCAGCTACAGGTAGACCAAGGTCAGGTTTATAGTACCTTTATCCCAAGAGGGCGGTACTCTCTATCTCTGGGGTTAAGATCTAACTGGTTGTTACCTACGATTTCAGTCAATGCGGTAGATGCCCGGATACCTCCATGGTATTTCTTCTACAACTTTGTATTGTGTTGCTGAGCATGGCACTTTCACTGGGTCTTTTTTACGGTGTATATGATCATCCCCAAGAGGGAACGCCTTGTAACTGTACCTCCCGAGTTGAGAGTGGTGATTCGCGTTACAGCTGGGACGTCATTCCCCGCACTATGCACTTAAGCTTTAGCGAGCTTTTAGCGCGGGGCACCCGTCGCATCCCGCCTCGCAAACCCCTGTGACTCAACCCTCCAAAACTTCTCAGCCTCCCAAGACCGATCAAAGACACTCCAATCGACCGCTACCCACCCACGACAAAGCCCTAAAAAAATTCCAACGGAACGTCGGGCAGACAAAATCGTCACGCTTCTCTACGACCGGAAACAAGGGAAGGAAGGATCAGCACATAATGGCCACAGAAACGCCAAAAGCCGCGCCGCCTCCGGCCACCACGGCCACTCCCGAGGACAAGAAGGTTCAACAACTTCAGCAGGACGACAAGGTGCAGAAGAAGGATCCATCGGCAGAATCTGCAGAAGGAGAGAAGAAGCTCTCAGGCGCCGAAAAGAAGGCATTGGCAAAGGCTGAGAAGGCAGCGAGACGAGCAAAGGCCAAGGAGGCGCAACCCGCACCACCGCCCGGTCAGGGAGGTGCCCAGCAGGGCGGAGCAGGCGACGCCAAAGGAGGAAAGTCGAAACCAAGACAGGACGGTCCCCAGGGATATAACCAGGCTGGCGGCCCGAGGGGCAGTTCAGGAGTCAAGGCCGTTCCGGTTGCTGCCCCCAAAGACAACAGACCCAAGGTCCCCGAGTGCTTCAGTCACCTGTCTATGGCTAAGAGGATACATATGACGGAAGCCGATAAGGATGTTCACCCGGCCGTCCTGGTATTGGGTCAGCAGATGAGCGCGTTTGCGATCAGCGACAGCACCACGAGATTGGAGGCGACTCTGCTGGCGTTCAAGAAGGTTGGTCTTGTGCCCTCGCATCCGGCGGTATGACTCGGCTCTAACACGGCAGTAGGTGATTGACTCCTACACAACGCCCCCAGGCAACACATTCTCGCGCCACTTTACATCACACATCCTGAACCCGCAGATCGAGTACCTCTCGGCATGCCGGCCCATGTGCTTCTCCATGGGCAACGCCGTCCGCTGGCTCAAGCTCCAGGTCAGCAAAATCGACATTGACTTGCCCGACATCGATGCCAAGAAGCTTCTCAGCGAGTCCATCGATAACTTTATCCGCGAGCGCATAACCCTGGCCGACTTTGTCATTGTCAAGACCGCCGCCGATAGCATCGAGGACGGCGAGACTGTTCTGACCTATGCCTACCACCCGCTCGTCGAGCGCGCCCTGCGCCAAGCCCGCGCCGACGGCAAGCGCTTCTCCGTCGTGGTTGTGGATGACCCATTCGAGAACACCGGCCGCGACTTCGCCAAGCGTCTGCGCGACTTGCCCGGCAGCGATGGCGGCCTCGAAGTCGCCTACTGCCCGGACCTGAGCGCCATGCGCGACCACCTCCGCGAGACGTCGCGCGTGCTGGTCGGCGCCGAGGCTATGTTCAGCAACGGCGCCATGTACGCCCGCGCCGGCACGAGCGACATCGCCATCGCCGCGGCGGACCAGGGCGTCCGCGTCGTGGCGCTCAGCGAGACCATCAACTTCACCGAGAGGGTCGCCATGGACTCTCTCACTTACAACGAGATCGACCCGGAACAGAACACCGAGGAAGGGTTTCGGCTGCTGTTCGACACCACGCGCGATCGTTATATCTCGGTAGTGGCCACGGAGCTGGGCATCACGTCGCCCGTATCTGTGCCGGCGATTCTCAGAAAGCTGGAGGAGCTGTAAGCGTGGAGACCAAGGAAGACCACGGGGGGTTATGAGAAGTCGAGGCATAACTTCTGGAGGCATGTGATGGAGGTTGGGGTGCATGATGTCGTTGGCCTCTCGAAGGATTTGGCATTGGCAGGGTAAGACTTTTGCTCCTCTTGACTTTAGATAGATACCAAAATCATGCTGGCACGAGTAGAGTTGCACCATAGACCACTTGGTCATCAATTACAAGTCTGTACATGATTTCATGCGGCAGGAGTAGGTTATCTGTGCGGTGTGCGTATGTATACAGCTTCGTCGTCAGGCTTGCGTACAGAATACAACGTACGCTGCTCGTTAATATAACGCTGTCACCAGTTACACAAGCGGTCTACCCGCAGTGGCCCTCTCCAGCGTCCTCATCATTGAAGTTCCCGCATCTTCCTTCGTATGTCAATTTATTTTACCCGGGCAGCCTTGTCCGAGACATGTTCCTTGGTTATCTTCGTCAAAGACACACACCCTGTCTCTCTCCGTCCAGATGAGGCACTGCGATGGTACGGGTTTAGGCAATTATTTTTCGCTCTTGGAGCGGGTGGTTCTCACAGCGGCAAATCAATCGCCAGGGAGGGGGGGGGCATTGCTTAATGAGTTTCACAGCGTCGATTGAGCCCTCTCTCTAAACGCCATATGTACAAAAGGGAATCTGCTCCCTGGAGTGAAGGGGATCCCCCAATTGGCAACCTCAGCCAGCCATGAAGGGCACTGCGCAGCGTGGTCCCATCCTCTATCTCAGATGGCCTGACGACGGGATGCTCGATTCCACACGCAACGCCGTCGCCCCTCCTTTCTCGAATTTTCCTTCTTGATGCTGGTCTCTCTGTCTGCCCCTTCTCTCCTTTTCTATTTGGTTTACAGCTTCCGTCAGCCGTAGCTGGGTGTTGGAAAACATCCGTCGTCTATGCCTTGGCCGCCTCCTCCTCCTTGCGCGCCGCCGCCCTCGCGCGCTTCTCAAGCAGGATCGACTTGCGCTCGCTCAGAATAGCCGTCTGCTTCTCGTCAATACCCTGCAGCCAGTAGCCGAAACTGCCGCCGCCGAGCATGTACACCGGGTAGGCCCAGAGGGACTCCTTGTTGAAGAAGGGGCGCATCTCGATGCCCATCTGCCAGAAGCGGACGGCGAAGCCTGTCGAAGGGAGGTTCTAGTCAGTCATGGCTGCTCCGGTCGCGCGGGTGCCGCATGTGTGGAGAGGGGCGGCCGCGTGGCCGGCGTATGTGACGATGCGAGGCTGCAAGGGGAAAGGGCACGGGGAGATGAGGATGTATCACGTACCGAAGCCACTCCAGAAGACGATCCTGCCGACCATTGTCGATTGTGAAAAGGGTTCTTATCGGGGAGGGAAGAGGGCGTGTCAATTGACCAGTGTCGGAGGGAATGGGCGCCGCTTCCGTCGTTTCGCGATTGCGTCGGGGGGGTTCGATCGTGGATGATGTCGAAGCTTGTCCGTACGCTCTCCCCCGGATTGAAGCTGTCCGCGTGCCTGCCGGGTCGCCGGTACCTGGGCCGGAACAATTGCAAATCCAGTTTATCCGATTCGGCGGCGCGCGGGGCGGTTTAGAGCACTGTAAGTCCCCTGGAGGGCTCAGGCGGCGGCACAGCGCTGTTGACACACCGGAAGCTAGGCGTCAAATTGTTCAATCGCCCGTCGAAGAGAAAACGCATATTGGGTCAATGAAGAAAAGAAGAAATTTATGCAGAAAGGAATTAGATGGACTGTCTTTAGGAGGCAAAGAGGTAACGAAGAACGACCTTCAGCAGGGGCTCTGGCTGCTTGGTACAAAAAAAGGCGAAAAGTAGTCCGTCTGGTAGGATACCAATCAAAAGACACCAAAGATACTTGGCCTTGCAATCTGCAATCGCTAATATCAGCATCCGATATGGTGTAGTGGCCAACATGATGCCCTCTCATCTCTTGAGAGGTTAGGCATAGCCCCGAGTTCGATTCTCGGTTTCGGAATATTTTGCTTTTTGTCCTCATATTTACTGAATTAAGTGATGATTGGAAAATATTGCAAGAAAATAAGTAGAGAAGGAAAATACCCCAGTCATTGAATGGTTTTTGATTCAACTATTGCATGTCTTGCGACGTGACCTATATGCGTGCATCATCTAAGCATACGGGCTGGTTACATTATTTAACATATGGCATGGAGATCAGGGATTCACTTATCAATTTATCCATTAATAGCGTCTTGGTTTGCCAGCATTACGGGTATCATTTATTGTATCATCTAGATTGTACACAGGCTGAAGCGAACTTGTTCGAGTGCGCCGAATGTCCTCTCCCATAGTAGTAGTACATTACGTATTTTACAAGGCACCGCCAACTGCCTGGGCGATCCACATAGCTAACCTTACTTGGAGACCGACCCGTCTCTCGTTCTTGGAAAAGTCTTCGCGAGTGACACGCTCAGCGTGTTCTTGAAGCCACGTCTGCTCCTGGCCAAGGCGCTTCTTGAGGTCCTCGTCTTTGGTCAGGATCATGGCGCCGGCCTCGAGGTCATGCGAGTAACTGCGTTTCGTGTAGTTTGAGCTTCCCACGATGCTAATCGAGGGGTTCTGGTCTCCCGGAAGCGTGATCCAGAGGCCTTTGGCATGGTAGGTCCACCCGCCGGGCTCGCCAACTGTCCCCTTGCGCCACTCCTTCAGGACAATGGAATCATCGAGCCCGCGTTCATGAACAGCGCGGATGAAACGGCGGGCGAGGAGGGTGTAGGCGCCCGGTAAGAGTCCGGATACGCCGGGGGATTGGTAGAACCCGTTCGCCTGCTGCGAGGCGGTAATAACCACGTTGTTCCGTGATGCGGTCGAGAGCAGCAGCTTAGTCAATGATGGTGCAGGGTTGAAGTATCCCGCAGTAAAGGTCCACGACGAGCCGCTGTATTCAGGCTTGCTGAGTGTCGATAATACGTGAGTAATGGCAGGGAGCTCTGTCGAGGTATCGGGCTTCATGAGTTGGGACAGTTGAGCCAGCATATACACCTTGGTGTCTTTGCCTGCATCTGCCGAAGCAGATTGCTTGGGCGAAATCAGGGCGTCCAGGGTTGGTGTGGTGGTGCCGATGAACTGCTTCGGCTCCTCCAGCGGTGAGGGTGCGGGATTGGACTTGGGCCAGGTCAAGGTGAATCCAGCAGCTTCTTTTGAGGGCTCAACAAGGAAGCTGAAGGATGAGACACCATGGTGTATGTTCCAGAAGTAGTCGGTAACGTCTTTGGAGGAGAAGAGGTGGTAGCGATCTTGTCGGTTTGTGAAGTAATCGGAAGAGAGGTTTGCTCTGCATTTCTGTTAGTCGCGAGTGTTTCATAGTGCATCAATGTCGTACCCAGAGAGAATGATTTCATCGTCAATCCCGTACAGCTTCATGTGTTGCAGTCCCCATCCCTCGTTGATCCGCTTGGGTATGTACTTCTTCCTTACGCCTGTCAGGTTGGGTGTGTGGTACATCCGAATCTCAACCCTATCCGCGCCAAACTCAAAAACGAGCGGTGCAAGAAGAGATGCGCACGACGGGTTCGGCTCCTCTCGAGTGCCTCGCAGGGCGTCCGTCAGGATGCTGAGCTTCAGCTCGGGGTTGTTTCGCAGCGCTTCCTGGAGAGTCGCAACCTGAAAATGGAGACTATCAACCGCCAATTCCAACAGATCCGTCTATACGAAAACATACCAGCTCCTTCTCTGTTTTTCCGATGTACAGAGTGGACAAGAATACCCTCCTCTTTGCGTTCCGTATCCGCTCCTGTGCCTGCGTTAGCCCCGTCCCTAAGCCCGTTGCACTCGCGCGTGGTGCACACCTTGAGTGTTTCATAAAAGTCGGCCGGTGTTCTAATGATCTGGATCTGGGAGCCGTTGACGCTGAAGGATGGTGCGATCTTGTCGAGCTCGTTCGCGAACGGCGCAAGCATGCCAGCAGCGCTACCGGAATTTGAGGCCGATGGGGTACCGGCAGAAGGCATTGCGAATCGTCGGCATTGCGGTCGTGCGCGTGTGACATTCGTTTGGGCGAAGGGGATTTTGAGCTTCGTAGAGCACCGCGAAACACCGCGGACAATCATCGCGCGTCGGTCGACTGGAAGTTTAGGAGCTGGCGCTTTCCAAGATGCTTAATCCAAAGCTCATACAAAGCAGCAGAGCTTCTAGACATGGGTGCGTGCATGAAGCTCCGTCATTGGTGGCGGGTTTTGCCGGGAGCGCAAGGGAGTCCAAAACCCAATGGTCTTCGAGGTTATGTAATCCAGAGCTCCACCTTGGGACCTGCGGCGTTCAACCTTCGGAACGTCAAGTCTTCAATCACGTCGTCGTCTGTATAGCTCCTCGAGGTCAATTGACCAGCCGCCACCATGTCGACCCCCGCGAGAACGTTCAACAACCTGCGCAAGATTGGCATTAAGGTATGTAACCGATTCCCACGCCGCCTGTGTCACCGTTGCTAACCTTCGCCCGCAGGAATACTTCCGCCAGATGCTGGTACATGGCTCCCGAACCCCCCGATCGCCATTTCCCCCCTAACGCTCGAGAATAGTACATTGGCGACACCAAACACGGTCGTCTAGTCGGCGAGGACAAGGCGGGCAACAAGTTCTTCGAGAACAACGACGAACTTCCCTGTATGGTTCCCCTCCTCCATCGGCCGTTGCGATGAAGGAAGGAGAAAGGACTAACGAAAGGGGCTGACAGTGCGTACGCGATGGGTGGACTTTAAGAAGCATGACTACGACTCTGCCCAGGTTGAGCCTGGTTGGCACGCGTGGCTGGCGTACATGGTTGACAAGCCGCCCACCGAAGATGCTCTTCTTCATACCAAGACGCGGAAGTGGGAGGCCCCGCACGTTCTTCCCAACTTCACTGCGACACGAGGAGCTTTCAAGACCTACAACACGTAAGTTCTTGTGGGTGTTTTTTTTTTTGACAACTTACGGAGAGACTGACACCAGGTGCCTCAGGACGAAGCCAAAGGTTTTCACTTGGGAGCCCAAGGCTATTGAGAGACAATGAGTTTTGAGAGATTGGAATGAATGTATATATCCAAGGTCGCTTGACGCAAAATTCAGGGGTTCTACTTTGTGATCAATGTCACCATGGGTGTCGCGAAGTGAATCCGTACGAAGATAACACGAATCGAGTGACAGCGACGCATCCAAGGTTCTCGTCTGAACACCAGGATTCTAAGTCATTATTGGAATTGCCAGGGTTTCCTGGAAGCGCTTTGAAACCTACTGGTAGGCAACCAAGCGCGGAAGCAGGACAGGCGAAAAGCCGTGTCGGCGGCTTGTAAGCTATAGGGGCAAGGCCGCCTACATTTGGGGAATGCCATGCTTTATGACTGTCAGAATGCAACAAGGCTGCTTATTATCATGAAGCTTACAATCTAATATCAGGACCTACCCGTGGCAGTAGCCTCACGCAGTTTAAGACGAATGGCTAATGGTTTTTTATTGGCGCTTCGCGAGTCTGGTAAACTTGTCCGCTTTTTCTCGCGGGTTGGTGTCTTTGAGCACATTAACACTTGGGAGTACGGATGCAGAAGGCACCCAAAAGAGAGGGTAAATGGAGAAGCAAGTAAGTGGTTCCAGAGACTCAAGGATCAAGGGCACATCCTATTAGCAAACAACGCAATTCTGGATATCATCATCCGCGTACTCTGGTACGCAGAAATTAGCGCCATATCTTGTGGGTAGCTTAGATCCGGGTGCAGAGTCAGGGCTTGTAAGAGAATTCCTTGTACTATCATGTAACAGAACCCTGCCGTCGCACGGGGAACCCTACCGAACAGAAACTCATCGCCAGATTGAAACTGCCCATGAGCTTGAGAGTACAGATTGAGAGAGGTATATACAGCCCCGCTCGACTTCAGAACCCGACATACTCCCAAGCCATATCGAGAAAGTCAAGTCACACGCATTTCCAGACCAACACCCAATACATATACGCAACAAGCCTCTTCGCGGCCCGGTCCTCCAACGTCCTTCCAGGCCACCTCCGGTCCTTCAACCCCGCATACATCTTCCACGTCGGCACCGTCGTCGTCATGCCCGCGAACTCGGCCTTCGCCGACAAGTACACCCGCTGCAGGAACTCCTCCTTGCTCTCGGGCAGCGGCCTCGACTCGCCGTGCTTCCCCCTGATGTCGAGGTCCCACTGCTCTTGCAGCCGAGTGCGCCACTTGTGAAGCCGCCGAGCGTGGCGCCGGGCGGAGAGCCACCTCCAGGGGCAGAGTGCAAATACGAGCACGCGGAGGGAAAAGGCAGGCCAGGACGGCGGGGATACCTCGTGGCCGGGCGATAGCCATCGGGCTTCTTGGACGAGAGGCTCCGTGCTGATGGGCTGCTGGGTACTGGGAGGTTCCGGATTCTCGCCGTCCCAAGACACCATCACGATGGCCTGCGCTTCGCCAGATGGCTGAGCTTTGTATATGCACCAGACGCCGTTTGGCCCTGAACCTGCCTTATTGCCGCTAGGTTCTTGAGAGGGAACTGGGGATTGTAACGTGCTTGCAGTATATAAGTTGCGGAAACCTCCGATGTTACAGATATGCGCGGATTTCGATGCCGGCTGCCTGGCTGGCGGTGTTATACTAGTACACCAGGAACTGTGCAAAAGTATACAATGTTGACACAGTAGGGGTCGGTGTCAAGAAGGATGGTAAATTATCTTTCAGATTCGGACAAGAGGACGGACTATTGAGGTATTAAAAGAAACTGCAGTATCATGCCTGCTGCCGACCTAGCTCTTAAGGATTGGGAGCACATGGTTCCAGCTCACCTTAAGGGACACCGAAGGAATGCCTCCAGTGCAAGTTGAAAGTATGTTCTGAGGCGATCATGTCCATCACAGGCATATGCACTTTTGAGTTTTTCTTTTTCTTGGAAGAGTGTTGGAGTATATATGACTCGCTGGCTTTGCATCAAAAGACCATGTTATACTCCCTGCCACTGCGACACTCCCAACAGTGATAATGTTGCAGCCAGCTATGGTTCAGGCTTCTGCTTGTCATGCGCAACCTCCGCAAACCCCTTCTCCTCAAGCTTCAGCGATCCCACGTCCGGCACAAGCGGAGTCTCCGTCCCCTCCGGCGCCACTGCTGCGCCAGCGACCCCGTTGGCCACAGCCTCCCCGCCCGCTGAGAATCTCTCCCACGCCGGCGGGTTGATCCTACTAGGATTCGGGTCTGGCTTGAAGTGATATCCCCTCGCCCTGGGTCTCGTCCCCGTGCCCTGCGGCAGCTCCGCCTCGTACACCGCGGCGAAGCGCTCCGCCTGTTCTTCGAACTTCTCCGCGAAGGGCTCCTCCGCAAGTGTCGTTCGGATACCGGTGAAGAACTCCTTCATGGTATGGTGGTTGTGAATCTGCAGCAGTGTCCAGCCTAGCATCTCTTTGGCGTTGAGGAGGTGATGCAGAAAGGCTCGGTGGTGCGTTGTGCAAGCGTAGCATTGACAGCCTTCAACAAGAGGTTTAAGAGAGGTCTCATTCTCGGGAGACCACATGTCGTCGCCGAGCGGCAAGATAGCGTTGCTCTGAGTACTGGGTGGAGGAAAGGTGAATGACAGCGCTACGCCAGCGTCGGAGATGGTGTTCATGAAAGGGATCGTGCAAACATCAACGCCCAGAGAGATTTGCCGGAGTATCGCTTGGGGCGTGGAGGGAATATGGAGAGAGAGACGCGGCAGCGAAACCAGAGGTTCGTAACTGTCCTCCATATCGGGCAGTAGGTCCACGTCGTAGATTGCGAGCCCTGAGATAGAGTCGATGACATCCTCAGCCAAGTGACGAAGATGCTCCCACTGTATGGGATGCGGCACCGCTAGGACTGGCGCAAACACAGAGACCCCAGACTCCTCAAAAGCCTCCCGCCTCTTGGGCGTCAGAAACGCGTTAGTCCACTCCTCGGTGCGCTCTGCCATGCGGGCCAGCTTCTTCGGAACCGGCATCGTGCTCGTATGGAACAGGTCGGCGGGGCCAATGGCAATGTCGGGCTTGAGCGTCTCGACAGCCGCCGAGTACTCGTCCGTGGTGAGGTTCCGGAAGCCGGTCGAGGTGAAGATGGCCATGAATTTTGCGCCGTTTCCTACGGGAGTCTTAATCGCTGGGCATCGTCTAGGGGCAAGAACAGTGGCCACGCCATCGGGGAGGCAGGCAAAGGTGTGGAGGGGCTTCTTATCTGGCGAGGGTATTGAGAGCACCGAAGGGTTCTTCTTTTCGATGACTTGTGCTCTGATTAGTTTCATATGATATCAAAAATAGAGACATATGGGTCAACAAACAGTCCTCAAGCGCCATGTACACTGCACTGATAGAAGTATATTTTTCGAGGTTGTCGGGCGTGACGTGAGGGACGACGCCTCTGGATGCCACGGCGATGTAGTTCGGGGTTTCGATGGGATTCCGTTTGGGGAGACTCAGTCTTCCCAGTCGAGCCGCCGAGGAGCCATTTGCGGCTTTCTTCAATATCTCAAATATCATGCCTTCTGAATTCCTCTCCACGTTGAAAGTTTCTGCATTACTCATCTTGACACATCAACGACCCCTTCACGCAAGTCGTGAGTCAACCTTTGTGTCACAGGGAGCCGGCGTGGAGATGGCTTGCGGATGCTAGGCCCGACCAAACAACCCTCAGAAATCCCGAGTTGCGATTTCTCTTGAAGTAGTCCTCGGTGCTTCCTCGCTTGCATTCGCCAAATCAAGTCGATGGTTGTGAGATGTTCTAGCGCAAATGTAGTGAAAATGAAAATGGCAGCCATACGCGCGACAACTTCAGCCACACCGAGCAGAGTGGACGAGGCTTGGAAGTGTGGCGTATGTGTGTGCCCCTGTTAATAAAATGGACCTGTGTGGGTCTTGGAGCGCCAGCCGATGACGGCGGGCTACCGCGGCTCGGGCTCCCGATGGGGGGCTCCTGGGGCTCGGAGCAGATCCGGGCGAAGGGCGCTGCAGGGGTTTAGACAACGCACAAACTCAGTGCGACCGAGCCGTCTTGGCCAATCATCTAACCACGTCCGATGCCGCTGCAATAGCATATGCAATGCAGATCGGATGAAGATAGGATGTCGCTGCTGATTTGCCTGTCATTATAGAGGCCCGGCTGCCGGTCGAGGCCGAGAGACTCACGGTATGACGTCTGCTGGCGTTAGCCAAGACACACAAACATTGGCAGATCTGGGAAGCGAGGAGAAAGGTATGTAAGAGAACTGATGGAAATCTGAGCCTCAAGGATAAGGATTAAAGGCTGATCCTGTAGATTGGGTTTTCAAGCTGGAACGTCGGGTCGAGTAGCAACCGGTTGATATTAGTTGTCCAACTAACTTGACCGTTCTACTCCTTTCGTTTGTTGTCGGATAACTACCCCGGTAAGAGTGATTCAAGTACTAAATAAAGCGAGACAGGACGAAAAACACACGGTTTGATTGAAAAGTGCAAAATATCTTGATGCTATTTTAATGCTAGTCTAAACCCATAAAAGACTGAACCTTGGCCAACTATTGTATCGTGACAAAACAGGCATGCAGCTTTTTCAAACCCTCCTGACATGGTCATACTCATTAGATAGGCTCATCTCTCGGCTCAATGAGAACCTCGTTGACGGCAACGTGCTCAGGTTGGCACACTGCGTACACGATCGACGAAGCAACGTCCTCGGGGTCCAGAACCTTGGCACCCGTGGGCTCGCCGTACTTCTTGATGGCCTCGGCATCGGTAGACATGCCTAGCAGCTCCGTAGCTGTGTTGCCGGGTTGGATCGAAGTGACACGCAGACCCGTTCCGGCTGTCTCGAGACGCAAGCTCTGCAGTGTAGCCTCCACAAAGAACTTGCTGGCCGAGTAGACACCCAGGCCGGGGAAGACCTTGCGCCCGGCGTCGGAAGAGATGGCCACAATGTGACCCTTTCCGCGGCTCAGCATGCCAGGGACTGTGTTCGAGAGGCAGTGCAGGAGACCCTTGCAGTTAACATCAACGGTGCGCTCCCACTCCTCGGTGTGGTTGTTTGCCATCATGGTGAAGTACATGACGCCAGCGCAGCTCACGAGGATGTCGACGGGGCCGAGTTTATCGGTTGCTGCTTGCATGAGCGACGCTACATCCTCACTCTTGGTGACGTCAGTCCTGTGGATGAGGACCTTGCCGCCGGTGCCGGCGAGCTTGGCCTTCACGGCATCTAGGGCTTCGGTGCGTCTCGCAGCGAGAGCGATGTGAGCACCCTCCTTGGCAAGGCCAGCTGCAACAGCCGCTCCAATGCCAGAAGAAGCGCCGGTGATAACGGCAACTTTACCGGCCAGGCGGCCCTTGTTGACGTGGGACGTGGCACCGTTGGCATATGTTCGGCGTGGAGGTCTTGAAAGCCAACCTCTGGCGCAGAAGTGACGAGTGTAAATCTCGAGCAGATTAATGTCAATCTTGGGACGTTGAAGGTTGTATAGCGCCAGAGCAGGCGCCGTGGCATCGTCCTTGAGAACAGTGACTGCCTGCAGACCCTCAGCGGTGGGCATACCACCACGAAGGATATCTACAGTGAAAGGCACATCGCCTGCAGTGCCGAAGCCCCTCTTCTTGGTCCAAAGCTCGACCCAGTCATCCCACGGCACGCGGGTGGTCGGGAATCCAAGCTCACTCAAGGTGTCGAAAATGAAGTTGGCGGAAACTGGGTTGGGATCGCCGAGGTGGTAGACAAGCTGCTTAGAGTCGGTATGGTTGGCAAGCGTTGTAATCGCCGCACTGACAAAGTCGGCGGGCGTCATCTCAGCAAACCAGCCATCGACGTGAGGCGCAGTCTTGAGATGCAACGACTCCACAATCAGGGCGTTCAGAAGATCCCAGGCGTTGCACGAGCCCGTCTTGCTGTGACCACTGATCGTGCCCGGTCGGTAGACTTTACACGGCATGCCACGACGAGCGGCCTCATAGACTAGCTTCTCAGCCACCCACTTGGTCTGCCCATAACCGTCAAGCAGTTTCTCAGGAACGTCGTCGATGTCGACCATGGCGTCTTCGGACCAGCCTGCCACAGATGGCGTCAGAACACCGTTGGTGGAAATGTAGTGGAGAGTGGCGCCGCTCATGGATGCCAGGCGCAAAACTTCTCTGGTGCCTCCGACGTTGGGGCTTCTCAGCGCAGCATAGGGGTACACTAGGTTGACGGTCGCAGCGGCGTGAATAATGACCTCGACACGAGAAGTAATATCATCGTAGATTTCAGGGGAGAGGCCGAGGTGCTCCCGAGACAGGTTCCCAGGCAGAATCTCCATCCTGTCAAGCAGGGAATCGTCCCAAATGCCGAGATCGATGAGGTTCTTGCGGACTCTGGCCATACCCGCAGGGCGCATATCTTCCGTAGGATCGGTGAAACGAACAAGGCAGATGATGTGCGCTGAGGTGGTTTCAACAAGAGACTTGAGAAGGAAGGCTCCAAGGTATCCAGTTGCACCGGTCAGGAGCACCGTGTTGGCATCGTTCAGACGACGCATCGAAGTGCCGTTTGCCTGGATGTCGTCAGGCAAAATAGAGTCCGCGCGGAGAACGGCAGGAAGATCGGCTTGCACGGCCGCAGTGTGACCATCGCGAGCATCGCGAATCGCTTGCAGGTGGCCTTGCAAAGTGGGTGTGCCGGCGAGAGGGGCAAGCGGAACCGGGAATCCGAACTCCTTGGTGAATCGATTCGCCAGATCGGCAAGGACGAGGGAGTGGCCTCCGATGTCGAAGAAGTCGTGCTCCTCGGTAATGGCACTATCAGGCATGTTAAGGGCAGCAGCCCAAAGCTTCTTAACCGTCTCCAGCTTTATCTTTGTGTTCTGTTCTTTCTCGCCGTTGATGGCAAGCTTGGGGCTTGGTGGCGGCGGCAGCGCTTTCAAATCCGTCTTGCCAGAGACGCCGTGGGTGGGGAGCTGTTCAAGCTCGACCCAGTATGTCGGGATCATGTAGAGGGCGAGATGATTTCCAAGAACACGCCTGGATGCAGGACTGTATCCAGACTCATCGATTACGACATCGGCCCGGTCTCTCTTATCATCGTTATCGCGTACAACATAGGCAACGAGTTGTCTCTCGAGGCCCTCTCCGTGAGATGAAACCGCGCAGTCACGCACAGCCAAGTGTTTGACAATGGCATTCTCCACTGCACCAGGTTGGACGGTGTAGCCACGAGTCTTGATCATGCCACCAGCTCGGCCAGTGATTTCCAGAAGCCCAGAGGGAAGTATGCGAGCAAGGTCACCTGTACGGTACATGCGAGCTCCAGCCTTCTTGTCGAAGGGGTCTGGTTGGAAAGCCTTCGTGGTGGTCTCTGGCAGGTTCAGGTAGCCTCTGGCCAGGAGGTCACCACCAACGTAGAGCTCTCCACTGACGTTAGTGCCAACTCTGTTGCCGCTCTCGTCCATGATGTAGATGTGCTCTGGGTCCATAGGTGGGCCAACGGGGCAAACGTGGGTCTCGAAGTCAACGAACGTGCGAATGTCACCGGCAGCGACCTCATGCGTCTCGCTGGCGCTGTAGACGTTCAGGAGCTTGGTTTCGGGCAAAGCCTTCATAGCTCTGCGGCAGAGATCGGTAGTTACAACCTCGCCGTTCAGCCATAGAGAGCGCAACTTGGGCAAGCGCTTGCTCAGATCAGGGTGACGAGATAGAACAGTTGCCAGTAACGTAGGCGTCATGAGTGTGTCTGTGATCTGTCGAGAGTCAAGCAGGCTGACAAGAGCTGAGGGATCGTAACTAGCACTGTCCGGAATAGCGAAGACGGTCGCTCCGCGCAAAAGGGGACGAAGCATCTCCCAGACGAAGAACACGTTGCAGGCTACACGATCGCCCGGTTGCAAGTCGCTCAGGCCAAATCTGAGGTCGTATGAGAGCACTGCGGCTCTATGAGGGTTGGCAATGCCTTTTGGCTGGCCAGTCGTGCCTGAAGAGTATGACACGAACGCAAGGCGTTCGAGGTCGTTGCTAGCGGGCAACGGGGGAAGCTCGCCGTTTGCATGGCCGTTGATTGTCGTCTTGCTGGGCTCATCATAGACGATGATGGGCACGTCCGCCTTGATGTGGCTGACGTGGGCGTTTTGGGTGATGACCACTTGTGGTTTTGCGTCCTGAATGACATCGCGCAGAAGCCCAGAGGGGTATGCGAGCTCAAGAACCAGGAAAGCACCACCGGCGCGAAGTGCAGCCAGAGAAGCAATAACATAGTCTGCACTGCGGTTCATGAGGACGCCCACAAGGCCATCTCTACCAACTCCATAGTGACGACGCAAACGGTCGGCGAGGGCCTGTGTTTCCTGGTCCAACTCAGCGTAGGTAAGAGTTCGCGACTCGTCCTCGAGAGCAATGGCATCTGGGGTGGCTTTTGCCTGCTGCTCGAAGAGCGCGGCGAGGTCCTTGGTGATGTCGAGAATGGGCATGGTAAACAAGTGTCTGGCCAAGGGAGTATTATATTGCGGCCAGTTCTTGAAATCTTGAAATGAAATGAAATAAAATAAAAAGACGTCACTTCCAAGTAGACGCGATAAGAGTGGTGGCAGAAAGGGGGGAGGACACAGACACAAGCCTGGAGAGAAAAGAGTTGTTGTAGATCCAAAAACTACTTCTAACCTCTTTTAATAACTGATGCAGGGCAACCGCAGGTGTAATTAAATCAGGGAAAGAGGTCACGAGACAAGTTGCGAGAAGCTCTTCCAACTGCGCACTAAAGGCAGTCGAGGCAAGGGAAACGACACAACCAACAGGACGGGAGGGCAAATGTGCGTGTACCTACCTTGCTTGGGCTCCATGCCCCTTGCCGGTTAGAACTCCCTCAACGAGTTGAGCCACCGAACACGTGTAGGTAGCACATGCGTAGAACCGACAGCCGTCAAGAAGCGCTCGATCGTCGGGAGGGGATACCCCAGGCCAATCCATTGCGTTCACGGACAAGAGGGAACGACCAATGAGATGCAAAGTTGCCAAATTGACTGGTAGTTTAAATGGGTCGAAGGAGTAAAGAAGGCGATAGAAACCGCCAAGGTTGTTGCATCTAACTGAGAGGTAGTGTACGGATACTATCGGTGAAGCAGTGTGGATCTGTAAGGTGTCGGCTCCCAGGTTCTTTTATGTAGCTATCAGTGATGAGAAGACAAGCCCTAACACCGCTGAGACATGAGAACCTAAGTACTTAGGCGACATAGCGCGCCTCGTTTAACGAATTCGTATCCAAAAGTTGGGTTTGGGGCAACATGGGAAAAGCCAACGTTGGGACTGCTAAAGGTGGCAGAGGCGATATCGGTCAGATGGAAAAAGCCTAAATGCGTGGGGGCCATTTTAAGCATGAACAGTGAGAGAGACTTGCAGGTTGTCATTAAAGCCAGATGAGCCCCCCGAGTTCAACCTCTGGCCTGCCAAATGACTCGCCACCACACCATCGCTGCTGACGGGTGTTGGAAGCGCCACGCCACAGAGTCGCCACAAATCGGTAGAATGTTCGGGCCGAAGTGTGGCTGAGCAGCGGCAAGGGTGCGGTCACATCCCTCCGACAGCCGTCTGTCTCGGACCCCCGCCTTTAGTTCTTCCGTTTTCGTGCCACTACACCTAAAGCGGCATTCCAAGTACGTACCCCTTCTTCCGCTTTTTCGCCATGCGGAACGCCGGATCGCGCGCACGCCCAGGTCCAATTAATCCCCCCCCCCACCTGCCAGGGTCAAGTCAAGCCAGACAGGGAACGGAGGCGATTCGGTGCCGCGGCTTCAGGATCACCCAGCTGGCTAATGCAGTTCCTGAGCTGTTCCTTGTGCCACAGCGCTGCCATCCATAGGCTGCGCTCCGTCCGTCTGGTGTTTCGAAGCCAATGCGTTGATGCCGTTATACAGCTGGTCGAGGGGCCAGCGAAACATTCGTTTCACGCTCAAGAGGGCCTCGTCACTTGATAGCATCGCATTGATGCCACTGATCTCTACATTTCTTGTATGGCCTTCCGCCTACGCCCCCAATGCCGAGCCTTTTTCTTTGCTGACTGATCGTCATGGCGTAGCCCTCCTCAGCTTCTCTAACCGCTTAGCTTCTTGGATTTTCCGCCCCTGTCCGGTCCGGCGAATCGTCACGACTCACCTTATCCGTACATATCTTGCCCAGCCCCACGTACCATACCGCCACCATGGTCGACGGAAGACACGAACGCGAACCACTCCTGAGCATCATGGAGCGACAACAGGCCCACGAGCCTGCGAACCAGGCAGAACCCATAGAGCACCCCGATGCGCCCCTTGGGGATTCCCCACGCCGCGAGCTCGAAGTCGACGACGATTCCTCCCCATCGACGCCCCGGTTCATGCAGGACGAAGGGCACTGGAAGCGGTGGAGATGGGTCCCATACCCGGTACGCCGCACCGTGAAGGCCGCCGCGAAATGGTCGAAGGGCCCGCCGAACCCGCAAGACTACAAGATCAAGCCCATACTGCCACAAGTCCAAGAGTTTCCTCTTGTCTTGGTTGACCGGTGCCTACGAAAATCCAAACACCGTTTCGGTTTCGTTTTCTTCTACGCCGCCATCTGGATCATCGCGTTCGCTCTGGTCAAGAGGAGCGAGACTTTCGCTACAGAGATTGAAGGATGGGGAGCGCCGCAGCAAATCGGATGCGGCGCAACGTATTGGGGCCGGGGAAACAATTGCGGCCTCAACGGGGCCGATTGCCGCCCATTCAACGGCAGCGGGTTCCCCTTCAGGTGCTCGGCCAACTGCGCTGGCTACATGGTCCTGAACCCGAGGGCCGTAGGAGACCAGGAGATCGTCTACGAGCCGCTCGTCGTCGGCGGACCAAGTGACAACTCAAGCTCGCCCATCTATCGTGGCGATTCGTTCCTCTGCGGCGCCGCAATTCATGCCGGTGTGATCTCCAACGAAAACGGAGGCTGCGGTGTCGTCCGCCTGGTTGGGCGACATGAGGGTTTCGTCAGCTCTGAAAGGAATGATATTCAAAGCATCGGTTTCGACTCGTATTTCCCGCTCACTTTCACATTTGAACCAGGCATCGAATGCAAGGCCCGGGACCTCAGGTGGATGCTGCTGGCGGTGTCAGTCGTTTTCACGACAGTGCTCTCTCTATTCACGGCGTCTCCCGCGCTCTTCTTCTTCTCCGTCTTCGTCGGCGTATTCTGGCATGTCGGACTTGCCTCAGACCCGCCGAATCACTACTCCGTCGCCGATCTCGTGTCCAACATCATCGGCAAATTCATCCCTGCCATGTTCTGCGCCTGGGTCATCTATGACAAAATGGGCGTCCGACGGACGCTGACTGGTCTTACCGCCCAGATCGAGAAGACCGTTCTGTGGCTCGGTGGGTGCTGGGTTGGCGCGCTTAGCAATTACACCTTCAGCTGGATCCCAATCCAGCGGCTCAATGCGCACGATCTAAATCAGCAACCAGGAGCCAAGGCCGCTTTGGCAGTCATCATCATCGTCTTGGTTGTCATCGTTGTCCAACAGGTGTGGTACTTTAGACAAGAAGGCCGTCTACTGAGGTACCTCAAGCTTTACCTACTTTTCTTGGGAGGGATCCTTGTCTGTCTAGTCCTGCCAGACCTGAGTCTCCGTATCCACCACTACATCCTGGCTCTGCTATTGCTTCCGGGCACGAGCATGCAAACGAGACCTTCTCTACTCTACCAGGGACTCCTGGTCGGTCTGTTCATCAACGGCGTCGCCCGCTGGGGGTTTGACGCTGTGCTGCAGACGCCCGCCGCCCTCCAGGGCGACGCGCAGCATGGTTCTGTGCTGCCCAGCATCCTCCCTCCCGTCATCGACTTGAGTCAGGGCATGTGGAGCATCAACTTCACATGGAACAGCCCTCCGGCGGGTGCGCAGTATGATGGCATCAGCGTCCTGGTCAACGACGTGGAGCGCTTCCGCTCGTACTTTGACGACGGTCCCGTTCCCGCGAAGAGCTTCGTTTGGACCCGCGAGAGTGAACTCGGGCTGAACGAGTATGTCCGGTTCGGCTTCATGGAAGGCAGCACGAGTTATGACTTCACCAAAGCAGGTATTTGGAACGCCGAAGGGAAATGGATAGACATGAAGCCGGGCCCCTCCATGGTCCGGGCCCGGTCTCTAGGAGACGAGGATGAGTCTGTGCCGCGGTGATTGTGTGATGTCATATAAGCCCTTTTACACTACTAGATAAGTTGCATATGTCAATTGGAATCTTTCACTGGAGCTTCATCTTCATTGGGCGCGGCGTGCTTTTTTTTTTTCATCTCTCCAGAGACTCATTATCATTCATATTTTTTTGGTCTGACTATGGAAGGTAACGTGCAACACGACCATGATCAATAAGCTTCTTGCTTGCAAGTTACCCCTTCCCTTACAATTACTTCTTCATAGCCACTAATTTACGCACCCGGGCGACGGCGGCAAAAGGGGCGGCCGCGCTCGAGCTTGTTGGGGTCGCAGGCCAGTCTGCTGTCCTCGATGCAGGTCAACTTGGCGCCGCCTGTTCAGATTTGTTAGTGGCAATGTTCTCGCGCAAGCCAAGCATTCTCTCTCCCAGAGGCCCTCTCAAGAGGTGCCCTGGAAAAGGAGGATGTGAGAGGACGGAAACTCACAGTTGTTGATGTTGTCAGGAACGCAGCGACCACTCTGGCCGTTGACGGTGCAGACATCCTCCTTCAAGCTCGTGTTGGCGATGCAGCAGGCGCCGTTGGCGACGGGACGGTTGTCATTGACACCCTGGCGCTCCATGAGGAGGGTGTTGCGGCGGACGGCGGCCATCGTGGGGTCTTCGACAGCGGCGGCGCTCGCCTGGAGGGCGAAGGCGAGGGCGAGGACGGCGGACTGGAGAGTGAACTTCATCTTGTCGTTTGAAAGAGGGATGTAGTTGGAAATTGAGCGAAAGGCTTGTGGGAAATGAAGATCAAGATTGCAAGATAAAAGAGTGTCCGTCCGGCGGGAGAAAGCAAAAGAAGTGAATGAGTGAATGAAAACTGTTGAAGGTGATGAGGATATTCAGACAGACATGGCGAGCAGGATAGGGACCTTATATACAAGATCGGGGAGCCAGACATCAGACGAAGAAGGAAATTAAGCACCGCCCCTTGTCTGTCATCCTCAATGCCCAGCCAGTCCTTCACGAAGTGTCAAACAGGCGACGCCTCCTGACGGAGGAGCCGTAACCCGAACCCATGACAAGTACGGATAGCCTATCCTGCGCAACAGGCAACTCGGCACGAGGAGCCCGAGATGGTCGCATCGGGATCCCATGATCGCCAAGGAAGAGGGCAGTTTCGGGGCGGGGCTATACTAGGTACAGAAGCTGGTCCAGTTTCTCAGGCCCCCTTTTCGCTCGTGTCTGGATATGCGCCAGAAGAGGATGGGAGGGGGGCTTCACGGAGTCAGTATCGTCTCGTGTCCCAGAAGAGCATATTTCAGCCCCCCCCCCCCCGGCTAACCCGAAAAGGCTGGAGAAGCTCAAGGCTTCATGAGACGAACGTGGGGCAAAGAGACACGGCAGGCAAATAACATTGGACGGGGGTGCCCTGCTCCTAATTGCTGCTACCCCCCATCTCCATCTCTCGTGTCTGTACGGATACAATCACAGGTTCTATCCCACTCTTCTCTTAACATCCTCCTTTCCCTCAATTGGTATAGAAACTCTCTCAAAAAAAAAAAAAAATTTGTCAAAACAAGCTGTCACGTAGGGTTAGTTAGGATAGAGGTCATGATTCGGGTTGGGGTTAAGGATAGAGTTACGGCTAGTATTAGGAGTAGGAAATTGTGAATTAGTTAGGATTCGCCGGTTTGTAGCTGGAGCCAGGATAGCAAGAGCTGGGGTATCCTCACCCATAATATTGATGGAGACGATCCGAATATAGTTTAGCTCGAGGAGATTGACCACAGGATGCGGCAACAATGCGACGGTTTGAGGTGCTGGGTTGGGGTGGAGAAGTGAAACGGTGGGCAGGGGTACCGAGGGTTTGGGTCTCAGCGGCCTGCTGGTACCGAGGGCGCCTATACGATTAAGACCGAGGTATCCGTAGAGGAGAAGTCGGGAAATCCACAGGACAAGCGACATTCGCATAATGCTTCCGAGGCTGTGTTTCCCGTTGTTCGTGCAAGTACGGATAAGTGGTGCAGCGCATCGTGGGTTGGCGATTCAGTTGCAGGTTCCGGCTTACGGACGACAGGTGTCCGCCGCGGTGCCATCTCCAGGCAATGTCTGGGTGGATGGAACACGATGTCCGGATGGTACGGCAACATTAATCAGACGAAATTTCCAACATTAAAGGATGGAACGATCTGCCGAGGGGCCCCCCCCTTCCCTGCTGGAGGTCTTAGGAGCACCGTTCCGGTGATCTGGACAACTGATCTACAGAACGTTGTACCGAGTCATACTCCGTACAGACGATCATAAACCTTTTGTCATATAGCGGCGACCAGTTTCTGCGGCAACTGTACGTGTTGAGTTGAGTTCGTCCCTACAGCACTTGGAACCGTTGACACAGAATGTGTAAGTTGAACCAAATAAGTATTTCTGTCCAAGCACGATATTTTATAAGCCTGTGAATTTTTATATGGGGGAGGAAAACGACAGCGAGCGACACAAGGCAAACAGTTCCATAACAAAAATGACCAATAGATGGCGGATCGATCTTGACATTATACTACAATGGCTGCTAGTGAATTCTGCCTGGCATCCCAATCATATATCACTCCGACCATCGCCTCAGCTGTTAAGACACAATAAGTCTCAAATCACGTCATTTGAATTATTTGAGACTGTTGGTATACGGTAGGTATGCTCCGGGGGAGGTGGTCACGTGATATTCACGTGACACACCGCCTCCCTCGGCAGTATCCACCTCACCAACAGTATACCACCCATAAGTCTAGATTCACTTTATAACTAACTAATATAACAGGAATAAGTAACCACTATATTCTATATCACGATTTGTTACGTGATCTACAGGATATCCCTCTTAGTAATTAACTAACACTAATTAGTATATAATTAATCACTAGATTACTACTATAACAGATTAGTAAGGTTTTTTTATATAAAGTAGAGAGGATTAGCAGCCTATTAGCATAAATCCTCTATAACTTAACTATTATTATTATTATTATAACTTTCTTTACTTCCTTACTTTATCTTAACTAAATCTATATTAATAATAAGCAGAAAGGAAAAAAGTAAAAAGCTACTACTAGTAATAGTAGGGCTATTAAGTTAATAAATAATAAATACCTATTCCCCTTTATATCTTTTACTATTACTATTTTACCTCTTATAACCTCTCCCTCTTTTACCTGCCTTTATTTACTATATTAATTTAATAACATAAGGTAACTATATTAACTTTAATCTTAATAAGTTAGACTTCTAAAAAGTTAGATTATATATAATATATATAATTACTATATAGTTAGACGCTAACCTCTATAGCTGCTGCCTCCTTACTACCTTTTAGTTAGATTTTATAGATTAGACTACTACTACTTTTAACGCTATAGGTACTAAGGCACTATTAACATTTTATAATTACCTTATTAATAATAAAGTCTTTATTAATCTAGTAAAAAGAAGGATTATACCTAAATTAGTAGACCTTTTTAATACTAATTTCTATATATAGACTAAAGAAGATATTACTTTTACTTACTACAAACAGCCTATTTTTAACTTATAAATAAAGAACCTTAAATTTATTAATAATATTACTAGCTAGTATATTTTACCTAAAGAAAAGTTAATAATTAAATAGGTCTTATCTACTACTTTTTTAATATTATTATAAATAGTAGCTAATATTACTTTATAAAGATAACTAACCTTATTTACCCTAACTTATTTATTAGTAGTAGATTATTACTAGCTAAAGTAGGAGTAAAAAGGCCTAACTTTACTCTTATAATAAGATAGAATCTACTAGGCACTTACTAACTTAAACCTAGTACTTAGAGGTAATATAAGCACTTTATTTATTAATACCTTATTATATAACTTAAGAATACCTTACTTTACTTTTTACTTTACTTATTACCTTACTTATTAATCTTATTATAGCTAGTATAGTAAGTAATTAGGTAGTTAGCCTATTATAATAAATAAAGTAAATCCTTAGTAGGATATACTATTTAACTTATTAAGTAACTATAAGCCTACTACTAACCTACTACCTTAAAGTATTATATAGAGATTTTAGTTATAAAGCTATAATAAATTATAATAACGTTAGCTACTATATAAGCCTAACTTTATCTTTATTTTTTCCTTATAACCCTACTTATATTAGCTAACTAACCTTATAAAGCTACTAACTAATAAAATAAAGTATAGTAGTAAGCTATATAACGTTCTTAATCTAAAGTTAAGTATTTTTTAGGATAATTATAGTAAGGTTAGGATTAAGTAGTACTAGCTTAGCCCTACTTTCTTAATTATACTAAAAGGTAAGGTATTTTAGTTCTATATTAATTATATTTATAGTAATAGTATTTATAATTTTAATAAAATAGTTAACTAAATTTATAACTACTTTAAGATATAGAAATAAATATAGACTTACTTATCTAAAGAATAAGAAATAACACTTCTTTAAGTTATATATAATAATCTTATAATAACTAAGATCTAAGCCCTTAAGGAGCTTATCTTAAAGCTAGCCTTTATTTAATAGGCTCTCCCTTTATTATACTAAAATAATAAGGTGTTAAGAAGTTAGTTACTAAATACTTACTTTAGGGTTCCTAAGTGTAACCTTTACTTATATACTTTAGCTATAATATTAAAAGGAGTATATAGCTAATTATAGTTATTTATTAGTACTACTATAAGGCGCTTTTACTATAGCTAGTACCTTACTAAATTTTTACTTTTATTACCTAATAATTAATATTAAGTAGACTATACTTACTAAGGCTAAAGCTATTATTAATAGTTTAGTAATAACTATAGTAGTAGTAATTTTTATAATAGTAATAATAGTAATAGTAGCTATAATACTAAAAAGTGTTACGTTTACTATAAGCCTAGCTACTAGTTAATAAAGCATACTACTAATAAAAGATATAAAGCGTACTAGTAATTTAAAAGTAATTATTATATTAAAGATACCTTACTAACTATATATAACACTTTCCTTACTAGCTATAAAAGCACTTATTTATAAGAAGAAGAAAATAAAAATAGTAATAATAATAAAGATCTTTAGTAGTATCTCTAAGAGGCCTACTTTATTATTAGTAATAATAAAGAATAAGATAATAGTATATTTTATACCTTAACTATATTCTTTAGAAGCACTAAGGTAGATAGTAAGGCACTTACTACTAGCCTTACTAACTAAGCTATTTATTACTAATTAATAAAAATTAACCTTAATAGTACCTTTACTAAGTTACTTAGTACTTTTTTACTAAATTATTACTTATTAGCTACTTTTTAAAGTATTTTACTAGATATAGGCGTAGTAAGTTATTTAACTATAGGCTACTTATAAGCTATTACACTATAGTAAATTTAACTATCTATAACTATTAACACTATAGCTATAGGTAAAGTAAAAATTAGATTTAGTAATAGTAATACTATTACTTTATAAAGCACTATTATAGTAAAAACTTCCTTTAGGTATATTACTTTTTATATAATACCTACTAATATACCTTTTTTACTTTACTTAGCTAATATAGATTAGCTATTAATTTAATTTAATAACCTTATAAATACTCTTTAATAAGGTAAACTTATAGTGCTAGTTATATAAAAATAGGGCTACTTATAGATACTACTTAGCCTGCCTAAGTAAAGCCTTATAAGTTATTACCTAACTAATATTAAGCTATACTGCCTTTATTAATAGTTTAGCTATCTATTAATTTACTAGCTATATAAAATCCTTTATAAGGCTAGCTATAAGGTTAGAATAAAAGTAATTAAATACTTAATAAAGTACTACTATTACTACTAAATCTATAGTAAGGCACCTTCTTGTTTTTAATTTACTTTATATAATAACTACTCTTTTAATTATAAAATTATTATTAATATAATATACCTTAATAGTAACCTTATACTTTATATAGTTAATACTACTACTACCTTTAATATAGCCTACTTTCTTTATAATATTTTAGTAAAAACTATATAAGAGACACTATATTACTACTAGATTAACGTCTACTAAAGACCTCTAGATTAAATTATTACTAATATAGGCTAGAACTTTATCTTAACTAAATTTTTATATAAGGCCTATATAATAGGCGTTAAGGTTAAAATTATCTTTATTAAAGCCTATTATAGCGTTAAGAAGGTTAAGAGATACTATACTATACTCTAATAAGTATATAAGATAATCTATAAGAAGTGCTTATTTATTAACTATAAGTCTATACTTTAAAACGCTACTAAGGTAGTTAATAATACTACTAGCCTAAATAGCCTTATACCTACCTTATTAGTGTTTAGCGCTTACCTCTATATAACTACTAACTTTACCTTTTTACTTAAGATAATCTAATATATAACTACTATTTATAAGGTAACTAAAGATCTTTATAAATATAATATAATATAGTAAATTAATAAGGCTCTTACTACTTATAATAGTCTAAATACCTTTATAATAAAGGATCTACCTCTAGGTAGTAATATCTATATCTAGTATAAAAAAGGAGGTTAGTCTAGCCTATATAAATTACTTATTACTTAAGGTAAAGACTTTACTATTAATATTAATAGCCTTTATGTTTTCTAATTTATATTAGTTAAGCTATACTATATAGTAGATAATAAAGAAAAAGGCTTAGCTAAGTAATATCCTCTATTTATCCTAAATAATAATAGTAGTTATAGTAATAAGCCTACTAAAGATACTATTATTATTATAACTAGTTTAAAGTAGTAGCTATATACTAATAATCTTACTATTATATAACCTTAATAAGCTAGGAAAATCCCTATAAGATACACTTTACTATAAGAGACTAATATACCTTATACTACCTTCCTCTTAGTAAAAAAAGAAGCTTATTAAACCTTTATAATCTAACTATATAAAAAGAGCGTTATTATAGCACTTAGTAAGCTATTTAAGTAATTAGTAGCTACTAAGATTAATAGCCTTATTATATAAGGCGTCTTTAAATTTACTATAATTAACTAACTCTAACTATATAAGTAAATTTTTAAATTATAGATTATAAATAAGGTAAAAAGCACTAATAAGAAGCCTTATAAGAAATTACGCCTTATTATTTAAGGCTATACTAATAATAGTAAAAAAGCTATTCTTACTTAATTACTTACTATTTAGTAAGCTAGCTAATAGCTTATCCTTATACTAGCTTTTTTCCTTTTTATTAATAGTAAAGTTATATAGCTATATAATATTATATAGGCCTATATTTAATTTACTTCCTACCTTAACTATACTATTTACACTAAACTTCTAGCCTAAATCTATTATAAGTACCTTAATAATACTATTATAAAGGTTATTAAGCCTTTATATAGGATTACTAAGGTAAGTATATACTAGTAGGCTACTTATAACTATTACTATAAGGAAAATCTCTAGATAGTCTTTACTATATATAACCCCTACCTTCTTTTATTATCTAGTAAAAATCTATACTTTATACTTATTAGTATATAAATAGATAATACTATTAGCCTAATAGACCTTCTATTTTCTAACTAAAAGAATAAAGAACTAACTAAAGTAAAATTTACTATAAAGAATAAGTTATTTCTTACTATTAACTAACTACTTACTTTTAATAGTAAGATTATTATAGTTATATTTACTATAAACACTTTTATTACACTTTACTAAAAAAGGTAAGAAGTAAAGCTATAATTAATTAATATAAAGTTACTTACAGCCTATTAAGATTTTATCTAGTAATAGGCATAAGGAGTATATATTACTTCTATTTACTAGCCTAAAGCGTACTATAATCTTTTTATTATAGCCTAATATAAAAAGCTAGATAATAAAGTAATTAAAAACCTTAACTATTAACTATAATAGTAAATAAGCTTACTTAACTATAGTTTATAATTTATTTCTTTAGATCTTATATTAACTAAGCTATTTATATTTATAAATAGATTATTTACTAATAATTATAATATAACTTTATAGTTAGGATTTATTATCCTTTTTATAAATAAAGAAGTTAATAATAACTAAGCTAAGTTTTCCCTTTATAGTAACATCCTTTATTTCTTATTTATAAAGTCTAAATAAGTTACTTAAAGCGTCCTTATATCTAAAGTATATAAAATAGTTATAGGTATTAATATAGCTTATACCTTATTTATAACTATTATAATAGTTACTTAAAAGCTTAATATCTTATTAATCCTAACTATTACTTATATAGACTTATATTTACTTTATAAATATCTAGTTAAGCTAAGAACTACTAAGGAGAAGCGTCTTATAATTAATATTATATTATTAAGATAGTCCTATAAGTAATATAAGCTCTATAAAGTCTAATAGATTACTAGATTTAATAATCTAGCTAATAGATTTATAAAAGTATCCCTAAATTAAGCACTTAAAGGCCTAGTTATAAATAATAATGCTAAGATATATATAAAAGGTTAGGTTATATAAGTATAATAGATTATAAGGGGTATATAGTAAAAAATAAATTATAAGTTATATAACTAACTAGACTATAATAGTAGTAGTTAAATCTAACTAATATAGGAATACACCTCTAATAGCTATAGCTAAAAAAAAACGCCCCTAAATAAGTTAGTATAAGCCTATACTATCTATAAGGAATAAAGAAAAATAGAGGATATAGGAATATATAGCATATAACTACAAGAAGTATAATACTTTTAGAGTTTTAATTTTTATTACGTTTTTAGGCCTTTTAAGGCTAATCTAGATAGCTAGGGCACTAACGACTTTTACTATAAAAGAAAAGTTACTAGTGTTAGTATACAGTAGGTATGCTTTAGGGGAAGTAGTTACGTGATATTTATATGACATACTGCCTCCCTTAGCAGTATCTACCTTACTAACAGTATACCACCTATAAGTCTAGATTTACTTTATAACTAACTAATATAACAGGAACAAGCAACCACCACATTCTGTATCACGATTTGTTACGTGATCTACGGGATATCCCTCTTAGTGATTAACCAACAGAGACAGTTGCAGAACCATCATGCAGGCTTCCAGAGCTGATAGGATCTTGTTACCTGCATCCGAGCTGGACGACAATATCCCAGCCAGTGACCCATCCCTCTTCTTTGCTCCTCATTCTTGGTGGAACCCTGAGCAGCCTAAGCAGCATTGCCCACCGCGCCGGAAACCTTACCCTGGCCGTTGCCCTTTCCATTGCCGCCGTTGTTCTTGCTCTCGGCGGCAGAGAGGGACTGGCTGATGACACTTTCCGCCTTGGCCGCCACCGCATCGTCTTTGGGCACCTCGGATGCAGCTGGGATGTCAGTGGAGGCGTCGAACTTTAGGGCAGTGACGGGCTTGCTGGCGTTGGCCACGTCGTCTGCGATGTTCTTTTCGAGCTTCTTGGGCGCTATCGAGGAAGGTGAGGTCGGCCTTATCGACGGTGGGTAGGTCTGCTGGCTGGCCGCCGAGCTTTGCGAGGGCATCCTCCTTGACGGTGCCGGCATTGCCGCCGCTGATGGAGAGCTCATCAAAGGTCAGCTGATCTTATAGTCGGATGAGCCTCATCTACGTACACTATGGCAGGAATACCAGAGCAACTCTGCACGCCTACAAGCCCGGGGGCTATAGAACGAACGCTCAGCATCGCCGCCGAAGACGCAATTCTCGTCAGACATGCCACAGTCCCCGAATATGAAGATGGGACGAAAGAGAGAGCTGGGAATAGCTTGTAGAACGGATGCGCAAGGCGTTTCATGGTGCCATCGTCCATCCTCAGATCTCCCATCTTACAGATGCATACTGAGAACGCCCCATAGCTGGACTGAGTCTGAAGACTAGCGGCCCCGCCCCGTTACCACGCTCATCAGTTTGTCGAGATGTCCAAGACCGGCGCTGCTAGGGACTTCCCCTCAAAGCCCCTTTCGTAGCGATACGCCAGCTTGAGTACCGTCTCGTGTTACCGCGACGAGACAAGTGCATTTGGAAAGAGGAAGCGTGAGTCTCGAGTCAGTCCTTGCCCGATGAGCAAGGACTGCTGGGCTGCACTACTGGATAACCAGCAGCTCGGAGAACAGTGTGTTGGCCAGAGAGCTTCAGTCCCCCCAAATGAGCTAAGGACATCGGTGATGAAGATCGGATGGGCTCATAGGGCCAGAGAAGAGATAAAAGTCGATTTTTTTTAAGACGAGTTCTACTGATGATGTTTCTGACAACCTGAGCCCGCAGAAGAGACGAGATCCGACGTCTGTGTGAGGAGCAAAGTCTGCTGAAAGATTAGGACGATGGAAGGAGGGAGAAAGATGAGACATGCGCACGCGCCTGCTCGGCTCACGACCGTGTCGTCAATCTAAGCAAAAAAGTGTCATGGGTAAGGACTCGGCGATGGCGCCATCTCTCCGATAGATTGTAAGGTTATCGGGATCCGCATATTATGAGCCAGAAGAACGGCGGCCTGGCCCCGGCGGCGCTCGGAGGCTTGTCTGTACTGGTGTGATAAAAGTGGGGATATATTGATCGCACGTCACTGAGACTTCAAAGTTCAAATTCGCAGTCTGAGGAGCCGCTCTCCCGCCCACACTCGTAGGCAACTTCACGTCATCGTAGATCATTTCGGAGTCGTCATCTCACACATAGAACCGGAAGTTTGCGCACATCTGCTTGTATACAAAGCCACCAGTCAGGCTCCTTCGTTGTGGGATCCTGGCCGAGATCTGCGGAGACAACCGTCGAGATCCAAATACCCATCCGTAGGATATCAGACCACACACGACGCCAAGGAATCCATCGCGCCGACACATCAGCCGTCATGCCTGCCCGGATTCCGACCCCGGAGGACTTCGCCTCCATCCAGCCCGTCCTCCCCCTGTCCCTATCCTTCCCGAACCCGTCCGAGTCCACCACCGCGATTCTGATCCTCTTCCACGGCCTGGGTGACTCCGAGGCCCCCTTTGCCTCCTTCGCCAAGGCAATGTCCCTGCCCGGCGTCCTAGCCATATCTGTCCGCGGGCCTTCTCCGCTGCCACCGTCCATGCTCCCCGATGACGGCCTCTCATCGGCATCGGCCTCCGTCGGCGCCGGGGCGCGCCACTTCCACTGGGGAGATGACATTACTTTCGACCCTTCCACAGACTCCATCTCCCCTGACCCAGGATTCTCTAGGTCGCACGCCCTTGTAGTTGACCGCCTCATCCGCGAGACCCTCATTGCGCGCTGCGGCTGGGACCTCAGCGACATCATCCTCTTCGGCTTCGGCCAGGGCGGCTCCCTGGCCCTGGGCATCGCCTCGCAGCTCCGCCTCGGGCCCCAGGTAGTCGACGTGACCGACGCGCCGGCAGACAAACAGAAGAGGGGCGACAACGCTCACTTCGACGGCAACACCCTCAAGGGCGTCCTCTCCATCGGCGGGCCCTTGCCGCAGTCCATGGTTCCCACCGTCAGTGCGCGCGGCAAGTGCAAGACGAAAGCCTGCGCTGTCCAGCTCGACGACGACGCGTTCGAAGCCATTAAGGAAGAGTTCCTAGACGCAAGGCTCGTCAAGTGGAAGAGGAAGGACGTGGCCATGCCCCGTGATCGGGAGGAGATGTTTCCCCTAATGCAGTTCTTCGCGGAGTGTCTTCAGAGTGGGTGGTGAGATGGGATGGCTACCAGCTGAAATCAGACCATGAGATGCGCACAAATATCCTGGTTGTAGTTTCAGCCACTGGGAGCGCACGTCAACCGTGTTGGTATTTCTAGCCTCCGAGGACTTGATATAACGTGACATCATGACAGCTTCAACCACGACCGAGTCGTTCTAACGGCACTGCGCGCATTTCATCGCCGAGACGAAAGTTCATTATTGAGCTATGCTTTTACGAAATACTGGCAGTGGACTATAGTGTGTGGCTCTAGGAATCGCGGGGATTATAATCACAAAGCCTGTTGGATGGTTTGCTTCCTACTCATTACTTGTCCCCTCCCGCTACTTGTGCGGAAGAATCGATGCTGCCCGTTGTAGACTTGTTGTCAAGTTCTGCCGGAGCTGTTGCAGAACGCCCAATATCTCCGAGCTGGTGCCCACTCGGCCTCTTCCGGGGTGCCCTAGCCGCGGAGCTGGTCTGCATGGTATGTTGCTTCGGTTCGCCTTCGGTAGCCTTGACCTTAGAGTCATCATGGTTACTGTGAGGAGCGGCTTGCTCTGGCTGAGCCATTGTTGGATCTACGCTGAGGGAATGCGAGGCTGGCTGTCCAGGAATGCCCACTGTCTGGTCATCATGAACACTGTGAGGATTCGTTCCTGTGCTCACCGGGGCCACATGGTCTTGGCTGAGCCTATGATCGTAAACAGGATTGGAAATATTGCTGGTCTGGTCATCATGAACCGAATGTTGCTTTGGGTTTTCAGCCACCTTGGCAGTGAGGTCGCGATGGATGCTGTGAGGGGCCGTCGCTTTTGACACTGGTGCCCTGGGATCTATGGTGATTTGATGAGGAACCAGCGGGCGTGCCACTTCCATCGTAGGGTCGTCATGGACGGTATGGAGGTGAACCTCTTCGGCAATTCCGAAAAGAGGATCGTTGTGAACGGTATGGGGATATTGCTTCATTCCAACTGGCTTCTTGAGGTCTTGGCTGAGTCGATGAGGCTCCGCAAAGTCAGCCACTGTTACGCGAGAATCTTGAGGGTCCAGATTAGGACTTCGCAGGACGTCGGGAGATCTTGCAGGGGTATCGTTGCGCTTGCGATCTTTGAGAGGTGGTAACGGAGAACTGGTCTCTGGCTCAACCTTGTCCAACTCAGGGCTCGTCAATATGCTAGGGGGTTCATGCTTCCCCGTTGAGTTACTGGATTCTGGCAACTCCAGAATTCTTGGCAGGCTTTTGCTCTTCATTTGCATTTGTGACTGTGACTTGTATGGGCTGTCTGCCTGAGCCTTGAAGCGGCGGATCTCCTTTGGTGGAGGGCCCGGAGAGAAGGGATATGTTTTGAGGTCCTGGCAGATCTTTTCGCGTATAAAGACCTCGTTGTGATTGAGCATGAGAGTCCAGAAGGGGTGTGCGCAAGCGTTGATATCGTCGTCTTCAACACTGCCAGTGATGGCATAGCGATCCCGAATATCGCCACGTTGATCGCGGAGTGGCTTCTTCCAGTTACATACTGTTGCGGTCAGAAGATGATTTGAGGCTTCTTCAAAGACCCAACTTACTCGCAGAGCTCAGGCAACAAGACCAGCAGGGACTGTTGCAGGCCCCTGAAGATGGAGCCAGTGGATCTTCATCGTAGGCGACTCGTTCGAGTCTCTCCGCAGTGCGGGCGTATACGACGCAGGGGCAACATGCGGCTTCGTTGGTAATGTGTGGCTTTTGCTTGGCGAGCCACTTGTGCGAACGAACGGTGCCCAGCATACTAGGTCGTTGGTGCACCGTGTCCGTAGAGTTGCGTCTGTTAATGGCTGGCTTTTCCGTGGTAAGTGATGGCGGGGAAGACATTATGTAGAGCCTAATGGATAAAATGGACGGTACTGAAATGTATAAAGAGGCGAAGCACAGAGACAAGACCGTTGAGGATCCCCGGCAGCCGATGGGTGTGGATGACGAGGAAGAGGCCACGAAAGGCAACGGGTCTATCCGGAACCAAGATTGATAGATAGGAGGAGACCTTACACAACGAATCGCTGTTTCTGGAATCGAACGCCTAGGGGCCAAGCTTCTCACAAAACACGCAAGAAGCACTGACATTTGTTATGCACTATATGATACAGCACCTTCCGTCAAGCTGAGTGAAACCTACGTGCCAGAAAGAGCAGTGATGAGCGGAGGCAAGCGTCACAGGAGGGGACGATCCAAGCAGCGGCCGTTATACCCCAATGACCAGACATTCACACCAATGAAAGCAACCTCTTGTGAGCTCCTGCGTTGCAATAACAGTCTCAATACCCGATTATATAACACCAATCGTTCTATCCGCAACAGGCCAGACCAACCGTGGAAGAGCCAACAGGCAGCAACAGCCGCCTCGCTCCTGTATCCCAACCCAGAAATACGCCGTGACACCGTGACATGTTGATGAAGGGGGTTTATTCCGGTTCTGGCCCCTCCTCTTATCTATGCTCCACTAAGGCTGCCGGAAATTGACAGCCAGTAGAGACTCTTTCACTTCAGCGCGACTCGAGGGTCCTATTCGTCTCCAGTGCGTTCCTCTGCACTCCAACCGTTGGACGCCCGAGACGCTCCGTTATGTAATGACCTGAGAGTCGCACTTTTGCTCTTGTTCGACCAACTATGCAGTGTCAGTGAGAGTGCACTTGATGCTGATATCGCAAACTTACATTTTAACCTTGCCATCGTCACCACATGAAGCCAATATACATGGGTCTGCAGGGTTCCAGGCGACAGCGTTCGTTCGAGGCTGATGTCCTTCGAGCCTCTCAACCGCAGCTCCACTGTTCTTGTGCCAGATAAGAATGTTGCCATCTAATCCCCAGAGGTCAGTACGCTTGCCATGCAAATGACCAAAAACCGACTTACCTTCACTACCGCTCACAACGAAGCTTTCGTTGGCACCGCCGAAAGCGCTGCGAATGATGTATTCGCCTCCGGTGTGACCGAGAAACTTTTGCACCGACGTCCGGTTTACCAAATCAATCAGCTGAAGCTCTCCATCTTTCTTGTTAAGGAGCAAATGGCGCGAGTCTTCGCTGATGCTCACGCAGGTCGGCCGAGACTTGACCTCCATCTCGTACTCCAGTTCACGTGTGAAAGCGTTGTAGACATGGATCTTCTGCAAGTCGTCGACTGCAACGAGCCAATGCCCATCCGGCGAACCGCAAAGGTCTTGTACCCTGTGCTTCTTGCCCCATTCGCACAGCATCTCCCCCGACGTACTCCAAGTGCGCAAGCCGTGATCTTTGTCCAGAGACCCGGTGATGAACGTCTTGCTATCCGCCGCCCAGACACAGCCGCTGGCCGGCTCATCAAACCGCTCAAGCTTAAGGATCATGTCTCCGGTCTGTTCCGAGTCAGCGTTGCAATCTTACTTTTTCACCACGAGGAGAGCACATACCGCTGTGTCCCAAAGTCGTGCGTATTTGTCCTGCGAGCATGTGACTATCATCGAGTCGTCGGGGCTCCACGATAAGCCGCCGACACCTTGAGCATGCGGCCGGAGGACGTGAGAGACGGTGAATGAGGGCAGGTCCCAAATAACAACGGTATCGCCATCTCCGCACGCAGCGAGGCGCTGCCCATCGTGCGAGAACACCACCTGCCAGACCTCACCAGTCAAGTCTGTGAGCTCCAGCGCGGCTTCCGTGGGGAAATGACTTCGTTCACAGTAGTGGTCCGAGTACAATGACGGCGAGGACGCAGTTGTGTGCCAGAGACAGCTGTCTATCTGGCTTTGCTTCACCTGCTGCAATAGTACGGCGAGCCTGTTCTCTGGCAGCATTACCGAGGGTGATATACATTCTACGAGGGTAATGAGCACTGCATAAACATCATCAAGGGACAAGGGGTACGTACTTGATAGTTCCGATAGCAAGACCTTTCTTGACTGACCGTGAGCTCCATCCCACTCGGCCTTGGCCTTCAAATCTTCCGCAGACTGGCACATGAGAAGACTGGAGAGGAAGTGGAGCTTTTGGGTATCTTGGTAGAGCGGCGTCAGTTCGGTTCGCAGCACCATTAGTGCCCTGCCGGTGTCACGCTGCTCCAAAAGCTCGAGGAACTTTTGTTGCCGCAGCCAAAATCGCATCACATTTCGGTCAGATCCGGGTGCTAGCACTAGGTCGTTCCCAGGATGGCCTCGCTCGTCAGACGTGACGGCTCCGTACAGAAGCTCCTCGGCTTCGCCCCACCCACCGCTGATCACGGCATTACGGAAGGCGGCGACGGTTGGGCTCTCCAAGTCGTAACCACTGTCTCTGCTGACGCTCTCGGCAGCTCCGCGGTATCCCATATCGGACAAGGCCTGTATGAGTATTCGCGTAACCTCCTCTCGATCGTGTCCGAAATAGGTCGAAGGGGCGGGTGGTGGGGCATCCTTCTCGGTACGGGATGAGCCGTTCATGGCAGCGGCTTTGCGAGAACCGTTGGTGGCCGAGGCGGTCACCGGCGCCTCCGTCCTTGCGCCGTTGGAATACGTCCTGGACGTTCCGTTCGAAGCTGCTCCGTCGCCGTCCGAAATCATGGCGGAGTCTCCTCTTCTGCGTTTAGGAGGATGAGAGGCGGGTCGACGGGCGCCCGCAGACGTCACAGGAGAGTCTCCCCGATCCGAGTCGGAATCGGCTCGTTGTCTACGGCCCAAGACCTGACGGGGCGCCAAGGGAGGTTCTATCGCGCCGGGGACAGCCGAGGAGTGTCTTGGACTGGTTGGGTTGTAGGGGCTCGAAGGTGCGGTATCGTCAGGAGAGGAGGAGGGCCGGGAAGCCGCGGGGGCTGGCGGGAAAGTTGGGGTGGAAGATGGCTGAATAGTCGGCGGGGTGGATAGATGTCGGTCGGTAATGATGGGGTGGGAATTGGGAGCTGTGTTGGAGTTGGGGTCCAGGTCGGCCTTTGTTACCGCGGGAAGGACCCGCGGTCGTTCTCAGAGGTCGATATATTGGGGGTAACGGAGACGCCCAGGCACGTAGGAATGTTGTGGTGAGTGCTTTGTGGCTAGATGTTTGATTACGGTCCGGGTTCAGAGAAGCGTTGTTCGTAAGGTCGGATAGGTAACGTCGGTAGGTAGCGTACGGTAGCGCGGGCGGACGGACGTATGGGTGTTCGGTGCGGTAAGGCGAAGCAAGCGAGGTACGTGAGAATCGAAGGTCTGGGAGCAAACCAAAAGTGCGTTGATTTAGACGCAGGACGTGGAGTGGAAGGTGAAGCTTGGAGGTTTGGAGTTCGTAGGTGCAGGTTTCGGGACTGCCCGATGATAGAGGTCATACCTTGAGGTGAGGCAGGTCACCTACTTTACTCTGATAGGCACAATACCCTAGGTAGGTAGGTATCCGTACGTAGGCTATTAGGTGGCCTGGTACCTCTGGCCTTCCACGGTAGGCCGCTAACCAGGCAGCCTGCCAGGTAGGGACCCGTGGCCGGCAGCTGCACACTGCTGTGCCACTCTGACTGGGCGAGCACTGGGGCCAGCGGGCAGTAGATGACGGGATGCCGCCTGATTGGGCCCATTGCCGTCCCTCCACACGAGAGGGTGGGGACGGATGACCTTGGGGGGGCTGGAGCGCCGGTTCACTGGCGGGGGCCCTAAGACAGCGAAGCCCACTAACACACCACTACGTACCGGCCCATACGTTGCATACCTACCTACCCGGGCAGAAGGCAGGTATGCAAGGTATGCATGACGGATCCCATCGAAAGATGGATTCAGATACCTAGTGGCTAGGTACCTATGCATTGAGGGGATAGAGGTCACATGCTCCGTAACGTCTTTCCCCCCTCTGAGGGTTGGCAGTCATGAACATGACGAGCGTGGAGCAACTCAGATCAGGATTGCTCTACCTACACTATAGCTTTTCTTGACACTGAGCACTGAAACTACACCAGAGGTAATAGCTGATCAATCTGCACCTAGTTACTTGCCAAGTACCTACGCCTCTCTGCAAAGCAACAAGACAAGCTGTAATGTCGTGGAAGTATATCAAAGTGTGGATGAACATGCAGTTTGCCAGAGGTCTCGAGCGCATCGCCAGAGCTGTCTTGGTATCAGGCTCTCTGCCGGTTCATTACCGTCGCTTCGTTTGCGGCTTGGGTCCGGACTCATTTACAAACGGATCCGGTCCAAATGGCACATACTTGTTGTAGTATCTTGTACTCCGTACGTGACCGCAAGAAAGATAGATACAAAATATCGAGGATAAGCGACGTTAAGGGCCATGACTATCAGTTGAGAGCGATGGGAGGGGCGGGGGACCATCCCACTGGGCAATTAAGCTCTGGTCTCATTTCCAGTTCAGTTGACACTTTAATGCAACGAGTTGTGGTGGGACTAGTCGACAAGGCTCATCCAGTCCCTCGAAAACCATGCATCGCAACATAACTGCCAAACGAGTGATCAAACAAGACATCGTCGCCTGTGTGCTATGACGCGACCTTGTCCATACTTACGCGGTTCGAGTGACGTACGCATGTAGGCAGGCACCTGAATTCTTCATCCAGCAGCATCTCGCCCCATTCACGATGCAGTACGGAACCTGTCGGCACAAATAAGGTGCTGAAGCTGTCCCCGATACAGACTAGTCCATCACGTGAGACACCGGCGCCCAAGTGGGAGGAGGTCTCTAAGCATTCCATCAGGCTGCGCCTGAGGTGCTGTCGTCGGCAGAGTGACAGGGGCCTACGACACCGGTGGGTACCAAACGTGTGTACATCGTATGTGGCTGGTGCGTCAGGGATCCCGCACACACTCTCAGGGCAGCAACGTGTACTAGGCTCTTGACAGACCAGACTTCTGGGTGCTTGCGACATCTTCTCCCATCGTTCCCAATCCAACCAAACACTCCAAACTCGCAACCTGCTTGACAACCTCACATCTTTGCTGATATAAATACCCGTCGCCACCGACATCGCAGGGGGTACCACCACTCGAGTTCCATCAGGTCCCCCGCCCCAAGCTGCCGATCGTCCTCGCTTCGAGCCCGCACCCCCCTTTCCGGCTTCTTCCACGTATTGCGATTCAGAAGCCATCTGCGACAGGACATTTGACCACAAAGGAATACGCTCTCGACTTGATCCTCAACCCCCATCCCTTTCACGACTGCATCGCTGAAGAGCGCCGGCCGCATCGCAATAATGAGCGCGTCCCAGTCCCAGGGCGGTATCTCGGATCCCGCCTTGATCACGTACGTGATGCCCAACACTGCGTGACCCACGCGGAAGCTAACTGTGCTGCGCTTCAGGCTCGTGAACAAGCTCCAGGATGTTTTCACAACGGTCGGCGTCACCAACCCCATCGATCTCCCTCAAATAGTTGTCGTTGGCAGTCAGTCCAGCGGTAAGAGTTCCGTCTTGGAGAACATCGTAGGAAGAGACTTGTGAGTGTGGCAACCTTCCCCCTCTACCCCGCCGTCACATGTTTCCAGGTTCTTGGGGGCATCTAACAAGGTTGTGTTCTGCAGCTTGCCTCGAGGCTCTGGTATTTGCACTCGTCGACCTCTCGTCCTTCAGCTCATCAACCGCCCCGCGACTTCACAAAACGGCGTCGAGGAGGTGGAAAACAGCACCGATAAGGCAGCCAACGCCGACGAATGGGGCGAGTTCCTCCACATCCCTGGCCAGAAGTTCTACGACTTCAACAAGATTCGGGATGAGATTAGCAGGGAAACCGAGGCCAAGGTCGGCCGCAACGCAGGCATCTCGCCCGCACCTATCAACCTGAGAGTCTACTCCCCGAACGTCCTTACTCTGACCCTCGTCGATTTGCCTGGTCTGACCAGAGTGCCCGTTGGAGACCAGCCTCGAGACATCGAGCGCCAAATCCGCGACATGATTCTCAAGTACATCTCCAAGTCCAACGCCATCGTCCTCGCCGTCACTGCCGCCAACATTGATCTGGCCAACTCTGACGGTCTGAAGCTTGCACGAGAGGTCGATCCCGAGGGTCAACGAACGATCGGTGTTCTCACAAAGGTGGATCTCATGGACGAGGGTACTGACGTCGTCGATATTTTGGCTGGGCGTATCATTCCTCTGCGATTGGGATACGTCCCTGTGGTCAACCGTGGCCAGCGAGACATTGACAACAAGAAGCCAATCCAGGCGGCTTTGGAAAACGAGAAGAACTTCTTTGACAACCACAAGGCGTACAGAAACAAGAGTTCCTACTGTGGAACGCCCTATCTGGCCAGGAAACTAAACCTTATCCTGATGATGCACATCAAGCAGACACTGCCGGATATCAAGGCTCGTATCTCGAGCTCGTTGCAAAAGTATACGGCTGAACTGGAGACTTTGGGACCGAGCATGCTGGGCAACAGCGCAAACATCGTGCTCAACATTATCACCGAGTTCACCAACGAGTGGCGGACAGTGCTGGATGGTAACAACACGGAGCTTTCGAGCACTGAGTTGTCAGGTGGTGCCAGAATCAGCTTCGTGTTCCACGAGCTGTACGCCAACGGTGTGAAAGCTGTGGACCCGTTTGATGTGGTCAAGGACGTCGATATCCGCACCATACTGTACAATTCTTCCGGTTCCTCCCCCGCTCTCTTCGTCGGCACTACTGCCTTCGAGTTGATCGTGAAGCAGCAGATCAAGCGCCTCGAGGACCCTAGTTTGAAGTGTGTGTCTCTCGTTTACGACGAGCTGGTGCGCATTCTGTCGCAGCTCCTCGGCAAGGCTCTGTATCGTAGGTATCCTTCCCTCAAGGAGAAGATCCACGCCGTGGTAATCAACTTCTTCAAGAGGGCCATGGAGCCTACCAACAAGCTCGTCAGGGACCTGGTCGCCATGGAGGCATGCTACATCAACACCGGTCATCCTGACTTCTTGAACGGCCATAGAGCCATGGCCATGGTCAACGAGCGCTACAACCCCAAGCCCGTCCAGGTCGACCCCAAGACCGGCAAGCCTCTGCCGGGCGGTACTCCTAGAGCGTCTAGCCCGGTAGTGCCAGAGGACCCTTCGAACGGTGGTTTCTTTGGCAGCTTCTTTGCTGCGAAGAATAAGAAGAAGGCAGCCGCCATGGAGGCCCCTCCGCCAACACTCAAGGCTTCCGGAACGCTCTCGGAGCGAGAGAACATTGAGGTCGAAGTCATTAGTACGTCTGCAATTCGCTGGCGTGTGAGATGTTGGCTAACACAGATGTGTAGAGCTGCTCATATCCTCTTACTACAACATCGTGAGGCGTACCATGATCGACATGGTACCCAAGGCCATCATGCTTACCCTCGTCCAGTAAGTTGAATAATGATTGTAGCTGATGGGTTTCGGCGGGCTGACACGAGCCAGATTTACCAAGGACGAGATGCAGAAAGAGCTATTGGAGAACATGTACCGCACCGACACCCTGGATGACCTGCTCAAGGAGAGCGACTTCACCATCCGCAGAAGAAAGGAGTGCCAGCAAATGGTGGAGTCCCTTGGCAAGGCCAGTGAGATTGTCAGCCAGGTCCAGTAAAGACACGGTACGACACACGGAACGGCTTCCGAGAAGCACTAGAACTTTGCCCGCTGAAACGCTGGCCGCCCCATGCTTCCGGGGGCACAGAAAAGAAGGAGCGCGGCGTTTAGGCAGTGAAATCTTCCCATATATCGTCGGCGGGATCCCTGGAGGCGTGGAAGGCAGTAGACGGTTGAACAGCGGCAGTTGCGGTGATAGTCCTTTAATGAAAGTAGTACCCATTTGTTTCTGATATGAAGACTGGATCAAGATGGCCGAAGAGGCTACAGCGAGGTAGAGGCAGCTACGAAGACTCATGTTCTAGCCCCAAGACCCCCTTTCTACCAGTGTGCGTGTTTCACTTCACTTAAACATATATGATTGAAGTCCAAAGTAGCCAATCAGGGTTGCGACGTTCAACGATTTATCAGGCGTTGGGAGTTGTGCTCGGATGGCCTCTAGGCGCACATTTATCCATGACCAAGTGATCGGCGCATCTAGCTGTTGGAGAGGAGGTTCAGCGTCCAATAGCAACAAAGGTGTGCGTGTGTGTGTGATGGGACACAGCTGATTTAAGCTTCTACCAGCCCCGACACCGCGACCTGCCATGCATCGATTGACCAGTGACGTATCAACGAGAACCGTTCATGCGGGATGTTCCCGTCTCACGACAAGAAGAGAGAACACGGATACGTCTACGAAAACAGGGGTTTGGGCCATGTCGACAAAGGCAGCAGCAAAACATACAGAATGCTACAGTCATGGCCGTCGGGTCTCCAGCCCGTGTTACAAGACGCTGGAGTACGCTGCGTCCTGTGTCCCATGCTGGTGGCCAGTGCACCGTTTGCTGGAAGCCGGGTGATTGTGAAACATTTCCTGGATAGCGAAAGCATCATGGTAGCTTCCGAGCTCCATACACCCCCGCCACATTAAACGGGCCGGAAAGCTTGGGGCTCTCCTCGAATGGAGGGAAAAGAAACCCCTAGGAGGGACGGCTGGGGGAAGGCGACGAGTTTCTTTGTCGATTGATAAACTCGCCAGACCTCCCTTTCATCATCGATTCTCTTCTACCCCCCCCCCTTTTCGTTTCATACGCATGTGCATGTGGCAGCTCCCGAATCAAAGAGATACCATCAACCACCGCTAGCAATCATCCATTGCAGCAAAAAGCAGGTAGGACGACACCAAATACCTAAGTCTAACCCTGGGGACTCGCCGAAGAAAGCCGCAAACATGAATCCCGTGGACTTCTTCCGCTCACAGTTCAAGAAACTGCCCTACCCGACCGAGGACTGCGCAGGTCGTACCGTGATCGTGACGGGCTCCAACGTCGGCCTGGGCCTCGAGGCGGCGCGACACTTTGTGCGTCTTAACGCCGCCAAAGTGATCCTCGCCGTCCGCAGCACGGAAAAGGGCGAGGCGGCCAAGGCGAACATTGAGCTGACGACGGGCCGACACGGCGTCCTCGAGGTGTGGCCGCTGGACCAGTTGTCATTCGACAGCGTCAAGGATTTCGCAGCGCGCGCGGACCAGCTGCCGCGGCTGGATTACTTGTTGCTCAACGCGAGCATCGCGACCAACGAGAGGATCGAGGCCGAGGGGTGGGAGAGCTCGCTCACGGTGAACGTGCTGAGCACTTTCCTGTTGGGCTTCAAGCTGCTGCCGGTGATGCGGCGGACGGGGAAGACGCACAACGTGACGCCCAAGATTGTAATCACCGCGTCGGAGGCCAGTCAGCTGGTGAGTAGCCCCCCTAACTACTGGTACCTCTCCTTCAGGTGAGGGAAATTGGCGTTGATGTCTCATCCGGTGAAAACGCAGGCCAAGTTCCGAGAACGCAACGCCGAGAACATCTATAAGGCGCTCAATGCCAACAAGAGCCTGTTGGATCGGTACAACACAACGAAGCTGATGCAGGTGATTCTGGGGCGGCAGATGGCCATCGCGGCGGACGCGTCGGACAAGGGGAGGGTGCAGGTGACGACGCTGAACCCGGGCCTCTGCTCGACGGAGCTGTTCCGCCACCTGCCATTCCCCTTGACGATCATCCTCAATGTCATCTTGAAGCTGGTGGCCCGGTCGCCCGAGGTTGGCTCCCGGTGCCTGATGGCGTCCGCGTTCGCGGGCGAGGAGGCCCACGGGCGGTACATGAGCGACTGCGCCGTCGTCGAGTTCCCCAAGATCATGCAGGGGGAGGAAGGGGAGCAGATGCAGAAGCGACTGTGGGAGGAGACGGTGGAGATACTTGATGATGTTGACTCCGGGGTTTCGAAGAAGCTGTGAACCGGCTGCGATGATGTATGTTAATGGGGAGTGTGTTTGCGATGAGTGCGTGGTTTCCACGATTACAGTACTTCTTATCAGCAGCAAAGGAAACGCCCAAACGAATAGGAACTCAAGCTAAGAATGAGAGAATCCCATGCTTGTTGGAACTTCCTAGTTTACCTGTGCGGCTACTTTGTGTACAGTCTGGTCCGCCAGGCAGGCATGCCCGCCCGCCCGTGCCCATGTGAGCTTGTCCTGCCTGAGGTGGTGGTCTTCATCCTTTCCCCTGCCCGTCTGTTGCCTCACCAGGCAAACATTCAGCCACCGGCTTTGTCCTAAGTACATAGCCAACAAAACGTGGTCTAATTTCTGCCTTCGGGCATTTGGTCAATTTGAAACGATACAGAGAAGATGTATGTTCTATACCCCTTTTCAGAGGCTGCAAGTTCGACCCAGAGTACTGACATCTTCACAGTAGCATGGCCCCTGCACTAAGGATGACACGCTCAATCAAAGAGAAGCTACCAATTTTTTTGTCTTCTTTTTTGCCTATTTGAGTCTACTATGTATATAATTCGGCTGCAGAAACAAGGGATTTCAATAATGTGGTTTTCTGTCCCTTGCGTCCGCGTAATGAAGGTGTAAAGCTGCCTAGAAGTAGACAGAGAAAAAGAAAAAAACAAACCCCTATTAATAAGGGGCTAGGGTGTAAATCTCCAACAATAAAGGCTTATTGCTACATCTTCTTAATCTCGCTCTCACTTTTGCTTGTTTGTACTATTAAACTAGCACTAGTTCTGCGGTGGTATATAGTATCTAGGTAGGTGATTTTGCTAGAAAGTTCAACTAGGCCAATTGGGGCAACCACTTTCTGCATTCGAATCGGAGTCTCCCACATAGAAGTCGTAGATGCCTGTACTGTGGTCGCCCGGCGAGAGTCGACTCTTCTCTCTTAATGTGTTGCCGATGGCCATGGGCCTCAAACTGAAGATCTCGACCAATAATCCTTGGTCTTGCCTTTAGACGTAGCTGGTTGCCTCAACGCGCCATGCCCACAGTTGATGTATCTGATAGGGTCTCTGACACGGATGCAGCAGATGATCCAACTCAAATGGGTATGGTTAGTGAAACTTCGAGACAACTTCAGTGCAGTATGTGTTTGTTGCACCCCCCCTGGGACAGGCGTTGCCAACAGCACTTGCTCTTAGGTCGTGATGGAGCATGTGCAGCCGCCTGAGACGTCCCTTTCACATTGGCAGGGCACCCTTGCACGGAGCACGTAATGAATTGTCTGGCGTAGCACTGCAGCTGGCTTACAGCTGCCGCTGCCTTCTTAGTCATCAAAGGAAAGCCACCAAGTTACCTGCTAGTCAAAGAGAATAATATTGAGCTACTATTGTCTTGTTTTGAGTAGAATAGAAGAGCTTACAATATGAGCATCACCTACATAAGAATTGTAGCTGCCTGCTGTTGTACCGTAGCTTTGGGAGGGGCTATGTACCGCGGGTACCCACTTTCCTTGTTTGGTTGGCTTACAAGGTAAGGTAGAGTTTCTAGGTATATAGCGGATCAAATCGCGTTGGATTTCGCCTTCGGGCATTTGGTCAATTTGAAACGATACAGAGAAGATGTAAGTTACACCCTGGAGGTCGTGGGTTCGAACCACGGTAACTAACTATCTCACAGTAGCATGGCCCCTGCACTAAGGATGACACGCTCAATCAAAGAGAAGCTACCAATTTTTTTGAGCTTTTGCTCTACTCTCATAGAGCAGAAGCTGGCGGTTTGAATGCTGCCATTTTCATCCGTCAGCGACCGCGGGAAGGGATCGCAAAACAGTCCTAAAATGTGAGCAACAGGCGAACCTTGGACGCATCGCCACAATGTCGGTCATCTGGCCCTCCCTTTTGCTTGTCTGCTCCCACCTGGCGTCGCCTCGTCCGGGTCGAGGCCCACGGTCAGTCCGAATGGAGCAACCAGCTCACCGTCGGTGACCCCACACTCCTCTGATGCAGGTGGACTGACATTGGTCGGGATCCCCCCGTCTCCGTTCCCCCGCGATGCGAGGTGCATGTCTTTTTTTGGTGTTCGAGTAGCCCCGGCGCAGCACACCTCCAACACTCGCCCAGGCGCGCGCTGCCTCGGCTTTTTGGAGCGTCTCCAACCATGGCTTTTGCCGGTTACTTTCATCTCATCTACTAATTAATGAGTGCACACTCCTGGCTTTGGCGTCCTTCGTTTTCTTGTATTTCACTTCCCATGTAGATATTTTCACATTAATACATCTCGAGTTTCACTCTATCGACCCCATTATTACCCATCTTTCCCCCCTGTTGTCTAGCATCACGTTGTGAGCACGCGAAGATGGTTGGTCCCCCGCCCCTCGTAGGCATCAAAGTCCTCGAATTCGCTGGCCTCGCGCCGGGGCCCTTTGCCGGAATGCTCCTCGCCGACGCTGGCGCCTCCGTCATCCGCGTCGACCGCGCCCTTGAGGGCAGCCGCACCCCCTTGCCCACCGCCGACATGCTGGTCCGCCGCAAGGCCTCCGTCACCGTGGACCTCAAGTCGCCCGGCGGCATCGCTTTCGTGAAGCGGCTGGCCGCCGAGGCCGACGTGCTCATCGACCCGTTCCGCCCGGGCGTGCTCGAGAAGCTGGGCCTGGGCCCGGAGGTCCTGAGGCGAGCGAACCGCGGCCTGGTGTACGGCCGCATGACGGGGTTCCGGAGGGACGGGAGGTACAGAGACATGGCGGGCCATGACATTAACTACCTGGCCGTCTCGGGGGTGCTCGGCCTGCTCGGCCGCGAGGGCGAGAAGCCGCACCCTCCGTGGAACATCCTCGCGGACTTCGCAGGCGGCGGGGCCGTGCTGTTCCAGGGGATCCTGATGGCGCTGCTGGCGAGGGCGGGGAACGGCGGGACGGGGCAGGTGGTCGAGGCGAACATGGTCGACGGGTCATCGTACCTCGCGACGTTCCCGCGGTTCGCGCTCAAGAACACGTTGGGGGGCAACGGGAGGGGGAGGAACATGCTGGACGGCGGGTGTCCCTACTACGACACGTACGAGACCAAGGACGGGAAGTACGTCGCGGTTGGAGCGTTGGAGCCGCAGTTCTTTCGGGCGTTGATGAAGGGGCTGGGGCTGGCCGGTAAAGGTTGGGAAGAGAACAGGTTCGACCGGGAGAGATGGGGTGAGCTGAGGGAGATTTTCACAAACACCTTCAAAGGCCGGACGCGGAGCGAGTGGGAGGCGGTGTTCGACGGAACAGACGCGTGCTGTACACCCGTGTTGGAGTATCACGAGCTCGAGACGGGGAAGGGGAGGGAGGGCGACCAGAGGCCGGCCGTCACGTTGGTCGAGACGCCGTGTCTGGCGGTGGACGAGGGCATGGTGGGAGACGTGAGACGCGGCCAGGGGCCCGGCGTCGAAGGGGGAGGGTACGCGGGTGTTGCGCTTTCGCCGGGCGAGGGCGGAGAGGAGGCGCTCGAAGCGTGGCTCGGGTGGAAGAGGGGCAGAGAGTTTGAGGTCCGGGACGGGGCGTGGGTGCTCAACGACAAAGCAAAGTTGTGACCCTTGAGTCGGCGATGGCATTGGTATATTAATTTGGCGCACGGCGAGCATCTCTGCTGCGGCCATCTCTTCTGTGACAGGTGCCCTTTTTCTGGCACGAAGAACCGTTTCATCCTCCTACCGCAGCTGTTCTTTGTTTGCCAGAATAGGCAGAAACTGCCTTCGGGAGTGTTAAGATACTGATACTAAAGGGATAGGGATTGGTGCTCACACTCCATAGACCGAATACCTCAGGCTCCGCCGTTAACTTGGACTCGGTGGTGGGTTTGGTGGCGGCCGAGGGGAGGGAGGATCTTTCCTCGACATATTCGTCAAGGGATCCAAAGCCGTTTATGGTGCGTAACCAGATGCACAAAAGTCCTGAGGAGGGCGCCTACACACATACAATGTTAGCCCTCTTTCCTTTGCTCCCTTCTGCAGGTCTACCGACGTTGTCCCGCGCTGCGCGGTGCGTGTATGATTGCTTACCAGGGCATCACTTGGAATGCTCCTGGAAGAGAAATCCCGGCGTCTTATCATTCTATATCCAGGCTATCCAAGCTAGTCTACCGCAGGAAACCCATGTACTTATCTTGGGGGCACCGTCACCCTGCCCACCTTCGTACACTCCCTCCCGCGTCCGCTGCTGCGCTCTCCCGTCGTCTGACCGCCATTGTTGCCTCTTCTTTCCTTTTTGTTGGCGATGGCGAAATGCCGTCGGCCTGTTTTGACCGACTAACCACTCGCATGCCGGAAACCGCCAGCTACATCCCCGTCCCGCCGGATAGAGCGTCGCTCAGAGCCTGTGTGTCCTATGAGCACTCCCGATCCGTCCCAGCCCGTCGGGTCCTCACGGCTCGTGTTCCCGGGGGACGGTGAGAACCTCTCTGGCCTCGCCTATCAGGTACGGGTGTCACTCGAACGTGGGGAAAGTGGTTGGGGAGGCAGTGATTTGCAGTGGTGGCACCGTTCCTGCTTTACCGGCTCACCGCCATAGCCGTAGTTGTCGGAGGCGCGTGGGAAAAAGAAAGCTGACCCCGGCGGTTTTCAGAGGCGGCAGAAATGACAGCACATAAATGTTATTGCGTAATCCATTTTGCGAGATATTTCTTAACCGCCTTGCCATGTGAAAAGAAGGCAGAGCGCAAGATCGACTTGCTTTTCACTTTGTTTCAGGCTATTCAGCAGGGCGAAGATGGACCATACCTATCAGCGATGGCCATGCATGAGGCTTGCTTTGCTAGGCTCGGCTATTTGCGATTCAACCCCCAGGAGCTCAAGTGTGATTTCCGAGAAAGCGGACGACTTGGAGGTGCCCTTGCGTGACTCAATAATTCACTCGAGGCAGATGGCGTGTGTTGGCGCATTTTTCGGCTCAATGCTGCCTGAAGAAGGCGAACATCCGGTTTTTCAGACGACCGTCTTGAGCATACACGGCAGTCCTCGACCCGGCATAGTCCATCCTTAACCCCATCTCTGCCTCCATTGAATAGTTTGAATGAACTCGTTTTTAGACATGTATCTTCGTCCATGCCGATTCGAATCTTATAGCACCTTTTGTATCAGCTCCATCGTGTCAAAGAAGGCCTCCCTCTCGGTGTCGACCTTATTGAGTCCCAACCCGAGAACCAGTGTCCTACGATCTTCTGGGTCTCTGGTAGAGATAAGACTGGCAATCTGCGCTGCGTAGAGCTGCCCGAGAGTCTCCCTCTCATCGCCACCTCCGCCGAGAAGAGTCTTGGGTGTGAGGTGGACGGAAGGAAGCAGTCCCCCGCTACTTGACGGCAGGCTCAGGTCGACCATGCCGCCTGACGATGCTTGCAGAGGCACTTGGATCTTGCAGTAGTTAGTATCTCTGAGTATTTGAGAGCCCCATGAACAAGGTTAAGCGGGAAACATGAACTCACCCATTGTGAAAGCTTGCCGTCTTGGGAGATTGTCACCATGAACTTGTCAGAGAAGGACACGGAAGTGACTTCGGTAGGGACGCCGTTCACTGTGCCCATCTCTTGTCTGCTCCGCGCGGGGAAGGCTTCTTCTCTTATTCCTTGGGGCTCCATTTTTCGATAGAGATGGCGTCGATATCACCTCGAGTCCCAGAGTAAGTTAGGGTTGGTTTTGAGGTTAAGTACCTAAGTGACGTATGGTTCGAACTGACGGGGTGTTGTTAAGTGGGCTTCGCAGCGAGTACCTATGCTAAGTGTAGGGCGCCCGAGTGAGTACGGCTCCACAAAAGCGGCCGGTGACAGGGGAGAGGATCACCCCGCACTAGGCCAGAAACAGTCCAAAAAGCTGGCGGTCGGGGCGGCAGAACTTTTTCCACCCAAAAAAATCCAGAAGTTCGCCTGCGGATCTCATCGTCTTTTCAGTTCCAGGTGAGAGGGAGGCTGTGAGAACCGTTTCGTGCATTTCTCCCAATATTGATACCCCCCTAAAATGGAAAAATCTTTGGAAAGATTAAATTGGTGATTTTGCAAAACTTTCTTCAACCTTGATTGATCCCCGAATCTCAGGATTTTCCTGATTGAGACTGCATCACCACAACCACAGCTGTAACCGAACAATCACCATAATAATTACCAACCCAGCAAGAAACTGCAACTCAAAGGAAACAATTTTTTCAGGTCATCAAGATGCCAAAGTTTGTTCCAAGACAGAGGAAGCACAAGGTGCTCGCCCGGGAGAGGGCCAAGGAGAACGGCGTCAGCTCTCTGGACACCAACGCGGACGAAATTCTCCCCGAGGACCAGAAGCGTATGCAGGAGAAGAGAGCTCAACTCAAGGCTGAGCTGCAGGGAGATGGAGTCAAGGTCAGCGGCAAGAAGGCCAAGCGCATGGAAAAGTACATCACAAATAAGCTTCGCAAAGACGAGAACCGAGAAATCCTCGCCAAACTCGCACAGCAGAAAGTCGACACCAGTCTGTTCACAAGTATCAAGACTCTCGGCCAGGGAAAGGAGACGAAACGGCAAGCTTTGATTCGTACGCTGAGGGAGAAGAATGCCGGTTTGGAAGTCGACCCGGACGCGGAGGAGCTCCTCTATGAGAAGAGAGAGGATGCGCCAGAGCAGGATTCCGACGAGAGTGAAGCTGAGGCACCCAAGGCTATCAAGCCACCGCCCAAGACCCAAGCACCTGGGCCGGTTCGAGCGGCAGCACCGGCGGCGCCTTCATCCACATCAACATCAACATCAGCATCAGCATCGGCACCAACGCCTATCACGAAGTCGGAACCGCAACCCCCCGCTTCTGTCGGTTCGGGCTTGAAACGCCCGCTTGATTTTGATGAGTCGGGGCGGCCAGTGCTCCGGAAACGCCAAAAGAGGGGCGGTGTGGTTTCCAAGTTCTCTATCGTTGAAACCGAAAAGGCGAAGGATGCAGAGGATGAGTGGGGTGGTCTCAGCGACGACCAAGGCGAGGACCAGGAATCCGGCGACGACGAGGAAGCCTCTGAAGAGGAGTCGGAAGAGTCGAGTGAAGGATCAGAGGAATCCGAAGACGACGAAGACGACGACGATGAAGAGGAGGACGAGGGCGACTCGGGAAGCGACAGAAAGTCTGCATTCAAGGCTTGGGCACATGCTCAGAGGAATCAGGCTTTGGGCTACCAACCGGTAACACCGTCTTCCACAGCTCTCGAGATCCCCAGACCGGAGAACTTTCAGCCGCGACCTCTCGAGCAAGAGCCCCTGCCGCAGGAACTCCAGCCGACAACCAATCTGGCGCGCAAAGCATACGCCGTTCAGGTGACCAGGCCGCCGGAGATCCAAGTAGCGCGTATGAAGCTGCCGGTCGTTGCGGAGGAACAGAGGATCATGGAAATGATCCACAACAACGACATTGTGGTTGTCTGCGGTGCCACCGGTTCCGGTAAGACGACTCAAGTGCCGCAGTTCTTGTATGAAGCTGGCTACGGCTCTCCTGGTTCTGCTACCCCGGGAATGATTGGTGTCACGCAGCCCCGTCGAGTTGCCGCCGTGAGCATGTCCAAGCGTGTTGCACAGGAGTTGGGTGATCACTCGGACAGAGTTGGATACCAAATCCGATTCGAAGGCACAACGTCAGCCAAGACGGCTGTAAAGTTCATGACGGACGGTGTGTTGCTGCGAGAAATGGCGCAGGATTTCTCGCTCAAGAAATACTCGGCGATCGTCATCGACGAAGCTCATGAGAGAAGCGTCAACACCGATATCTTGGTCGGCATGCTGAGTCGTGTCAACAATATCCGTAAGGGCGACGACAAGGTCGACCCCTCGATTAAGCCGCTCAAGATCATCATCATGTCGGCAACGCTGAGAGTCGAGGACATGACCAACAACACCACACTGTTTCCCACGCCGCCACCTGTGGTCGAAGTAGAAGGACGACAGCATCCCGTCACGATTCATTTTGCTCGGCACACGCAGGCCGACTACGTTGACGAGGCCTTCCAAAAGATCATGCGTGGTCACAGGAAGCTGCCGCCAGGTGGCTTTCTGGTCTTCCTCACGGGTCAAAACGAGATTAGGCACTTGAGCAAGCGACTAACCGAAGCCTCCGGTGGCTTCACAGGAACGAGCGCCCCCAAGGTTGAGATTTCGGCCACTGATGCGCCTGTCGAAGTCGAAGATATCGACTTTGGCGAGGTGGATGATGCGGACGCTGCCGATTTCGATGACGGGCTCGATGACGATAATGACAATGAGCACGAGGACGACAAGGAATTCGAGATTGAGGGGGAGGAGGGCGAGACGGGACCCCTAAAGATGCAGGTCTTGCCCCTATACTCGCTACTGCCCACCAGGGAACAGATGAGGGTCTTTGAAGACCCCCCCGAAAACCATCGCCAAGTTATCCTGGCAACCAACGTCGCAGAAACCAGTTTGACCATCCCGGGCATCCGGTACGTCTTTGACTGCGGCCGTTCCAAGGAGCGCCAGTACGACCGCCTCAGCGGGGTGCAGACGTACGAGATCGGCTGGATCAGCAAGGCCAGCGCCAGCCAGCGAGCCGGTCGTGCCGGTCGTACGGGCCCGGGCCACTGCTACAGGCTCTACTCCTCCGCCGTCTACGAGAGAGACCTGCCCGAATTCACCGACCCCGAGATCCTGCGGATGCCCGTCGACGGGGTCGTCCTCCAGCTCAAGGCCATGAACCTCTCCAACGTCGTCAACTTCCCCTTCCCGACGCCGCCGAACCGCATGGGCCTGCACCAGGCGGAGAAGCTCCTCAGCTACCTCTCCGCCGTCACGCCGGAGGGCCAAATCACAAAGATCGGAGCGACCATGTCCATCTTCCCGCTCTCGCCCCGCTTCGCCCGCATCCTGCTCGTCGGCCACCAGCACGATTGCCTGCCGTACACCATCATGATGGTTGCGGCGCTCTCGGCGGCCGAGATCTTCGTGCCGGAGCACCAGGCGATCCCCTCGCTCGCGGCGCGTGACGAGTCCGAGTTCCGCAGCAACGCCGACGTCATCGCCGAGGACCGCCAGGCCAACATCCGACGCCTGTTCAACGCCGCGCACAAGAACTTCTGCTACCTGGACGACCGGTCGGACGCCATCAAGCTGCTCCAGGTCGTCGGCGAGTTCGCGCACGACCCGACGGAGAAGTGGTGCGAGGACCACTTTGTGCGGTTCAAGGTCATGAAGGAGATCACGCAGCTGCGCCAGCAGATCACGGAGCTCCTCCGGACCAACATCCCGGCGTTCAAGAACCTCAAGTACCAGGACCGGCTGGACGCGCCTTCGGACAAACAGGTCGCCTACCTCAAGCAGATGGTGGCCGCGGGCTTCATCGATCACATCGCCATCCGCGCCGACAAGTCCCCCGTTCCGCCCGAGCTAGCGCGCAAGCCCCGCCGCGCCATCGACGTGCCGTACGTGCCGCTCGTGCCGCTCGGCGTGGGCCACGACACGGAAAAGTTCGTATACATCCACCCGAGCTCACCGCTCTCCCACCTCAGCCCGCAAGAGTGCCCCGAGTACGTGGTGTACTCGCACCTGCAACGGGCGACGCAGGGCTCGGACCCGAACAAGGCGCCCAAGACGAGGATGCAGTCGCTGACGGACGTCACGGGCGGACAGCTGGCCAGCCTCGCCAAGGGGACGCCGCTGGTGAGCTACGGCAAGCCGGTGAAGGAAATCTCGTCGACGGCGAACACGCGCGAGGTCTGGGTTCTGCCGTACCTGAGGGCCGAGGGCGTCGGTGGCCAGGGGTGGCCGTTGCCGATGAAGAAGGTCACACAGCGCAAGGTTGCTGGGAAGGGATGGGTGGTCGAATAAAAGGTGTGGGAAATGAAAAGTCCATTGTAGGCATATCCGGGTCTAGAGAAAGAATAGAGGCAAGGCGTTCTGTTCCACCACTTGTGCCGTCCAACATGCCCCCTCTCCTCACCAGAGTGTGGTGATCTTTCCAACGGTCATAGCAAGGGATAGGGTAAAGCCCGTGTCACGATAATACTGACTGACCAAGCACTACATGCGTCGGTACGGATGCGACATCTTCTCAGTCAAGGGGACCGACACCGCACAGACTCGCCAGAACAAAGACGTATCGTATCGTCTTCTCTCAGCGAATCGCATCTTGTCGATGCCACGTTTGCAGCAGTTCGAACCAACCGCGCAAACGCTTTCAAGGAAGAAGGGGAAAAAAACATAAGTCCAAACCAACGCAGACTACACACATGGCAGGCGGCGCTGTTCGGCCCAACCTCGAAATATGGCGAGATCTTCTTGCTCGAACTGTACATAGGACGGACCATGCACCTGATCTCTTTTCCGTTTCCCTACCTGCTTCGCCAATTAGTTCGCTGAGGAAAAGCCCGTGAGCCAGGCCGTCGTTTTTTGGCTAATGCGCGGCGCTAATAAGTGGGACAAACGACATCGGACGAGATGATGCACGTCTGCGGCCACGAGCCCCGAATGAAACTTCCGCGTGCTCTTGGCTTCACCTTTCGCAACGGTGTTTTCCTAATCCGGCATACCTCCCCTCTTTCCGCTGTTCTTACCCGTTGAAGGGTCTGACCCGGGGGGGGAGAGGACGCAAAGGATAAATGTTTAAAAAGTTTGGGGCGAGCTATCGCCAAGCTTCACTCACACACCCCAAACTCTCTCCCGTCTTCTGCTGAGCCGCACAGCCCGGGGTTACTAACGGCGCTTGCTTACGATATCGGCCAATGCAACGGCACATAAGATCGGCATTCCTGCAGAGACCCCCCGAGCCAGGTCCCACCTGCGGCGCTGGCTGGGATATCCGATGACACTACAACAGCCAAGGTCCTTTTCGGGTATCAACGAAGCTCTCATTGAAGACTGTCTAAGAGCGTTGCGTGCCATCGAAATGAGAATGTCTCTCTTCTCTGGCGTTGCTGTCGTCACAGGCGGCGCTTCCGGTGAGAAAGCCTCCCTCATCCCCATCATCCCCAGATGTCCAAAGGCCAACCTGGGTCTTGGGATATGTATGGAAAATGTGAACAGAAATGATTGACACCTACAGGTATCGGCCGTCAGGTCGCCATCTCCTTCGCCCGCGAGGGGTGCAAGCGCATCGCCCTCCTTGATAGGGACGAGGATGGTGCCCTCGAGACCGCCCGCATGTGCCGGGAGGCCAACGGCGAGACGCGCACCTATGTCATGGAGGTCGACAACCGTAACGAGGAGGAAGTATCGGCGTGCATGGACAATGTTGTGGAGGAATGGGGGCGCATCGATTACGCTGTCAACTGTGCTGGTGAGTGGCCTTTTGTCAACCACCATGGGGACTCAAGGAAGTGGGTCAGGTGTCAGTAAGAAAACGGCTTACAGCTCACAATAGGAATGTTCGGTCCACTGGCGCCATCGCATCTCTTGACGGCAGCAGAGTTCGACGAGATCACTACGATCAACTACCGCGGGACTTGGCTATGCTCCCGCGCCGAGCTGACGCACATGATCAAGCAGGAGCCGATGACGACGCACGACGGCAGGCCAGGGAACAGAGGCGTCATTGTCAACGTTGCGAGCAACCTAAGCTTGGTCAGCCGGTCGGAAACCCGTAAGTGGACAGCAGCCCCTGTCTTCAAGAATACTCCAGACTGAAGCCCCTTTTAGCGGCCTACAGTGCTTCTAAAGCAGCTGTGCTGAGCATGACGAGAAGCGATGCTGTTGATGTGAGTGAGCCCGGGCCCGTAAATAGACCGCCGAGCATGGCCCTGACAACGAGCAGTATGCAAAGTACAACATCCGTGTCAACTGCGTCTGCCCGGGGATCATTGAGTGAGTCTCTGCATCAGCTGCCAGGAGATCCCAAAGCTGACCGGCAGTCCAGCACTCCGATGACCAGCGGGGTCACTCCAGACGACCCCATCATCGCCGTGGCGCCGATGAAGAGGAAGGGGACGCCGCAAGAAGTTGCCGACGCTGTCTTGTTCCTCTGCAGCTCCAAGGCAACCTTCATCCAGGGTGCCTCGCTGTGCGTCGACGGAGGGTACGTGATCAACTAGGTCCACTGGGCTCGTTTGTGATATGAGGGAAGTACGTCCAAGAGGGAATGGAAACCTAAACAGGTTTGGATGGGAGAAGGTCATTCGCGTTACAAAAGCATGGGGAGGGCGGGGGCTTTCATCAGAAGCTGCGTTCGCTGTTTCCGGAGCGACCTGGAAGCTAATGTTTTTATGAAGAGGGCTATTACGAAATGAGGCATGAAGCGTGGATTTCTAAGCGAATATGTCTTTGCTTGAAACTTGAACAGCACCACTTCACTTGGTATCATGGTTGGATGGGTGCGAAGCGAGCGTCTCTGTGTCCAGATATGCGATGTGCCATTCATCATCTGCGAGACAAACCTTCAAGTCCATCACCATACACAATACAGTGGGTCGAATCAGGAAACAGACGGCATGTTGTATAGTCTCAATGATCTCGTCCACGCAGAGTACAACTGGCGGTGTAAGTCACTCGCATTATGAATGCTACATAATCAGCTCACAAAAGTATTCAAAAGTCTCCATGGTCCATCCACCTTGCTCCAAGACTGTACTGAAGAATATGCCCCCCCCTGAACGTTACAGGAGATGGAGACGATGTTGCAGACCCGGGAGACGTGGCCGAGAGAGAGTGGCAGATGGGCGGCGTGAAAGGGCAACGAGGGCAACGACTGACGACGAACAGATGGGACAGTGCCGGACAGATTCACAACTAATAGAAGTGAGTACACATTCACCAAGCGTCAAAGACCAACGGCAGGAATGTATAGCGCACGGGTCTCCTAAGCCGAAAAAAAAGGGGGTATCATTTTGAAATCAAACGCCATGAGGCCAGATCTAAGCCGGCTCTTGTTCACATGTATCCGGCCCCTCCCTCAAGAAGACGGCCCCGGGGTGGTCCCCGGCGTCGCGACCTTGCTCTTCTTCCTCTTGAGCTTCGGCACGGTAGGCGTCTTGGGACTCTTGCTCTCCTTCCCGTCCTTCTTCGTCTCCTCCGCCAGCTTCGTGTTGAGAACCGGCTTCGGCGGCGGCGGCGCGATCTTGTCCTTGCGCCCCGTGCTCGCGAAGTGGAAGTCGCCGGGCCGGCCTGTGATAGGGTTCTCGTCAAAGTAGTCGCCGCCGTGGCGCATGTGGATCAGGAACGACTCCTCCGCGAGCCGGTCGAGAGCGTTCTTTGTCGAGTCCTTCTTGGCTGCAATGGCAGACTTCGCGGCGGCCGTGGCGTTGGCGTTCGCAGCGGTGCCGTCGGGCATGGGGGTTTCGCCGCCATCCTTGGAAGCGGTCACGCGAGAGAGGGCGGAGGGGGGAGTAGGCTGGGTGTAGACGTGGCCCAGGGAGGGCGTCCACTTGCGCACACTTTCTGTTGCGGGGAGGACCTTACGCATCGCCTCGGCAATGGACTCCTAGTTTCCCATTAGCCGGTGTCCAGTTTCCGAGGGTATTCCCTCCTTCACGGGGAGGGGTTATCGTGAACCTACAATTCTCGAGCTAAGAATGTCACCCAGCGTCGGCGCCTGGTAGATGTTTTCCCCAACCACAAAATAATACGCCAGAGGCCTCGTCTCCATCCTGTTCCGGTCGAGGTTCTTCTGCCTCGTTTGCTTGACGATCGTCCACACGCCCGTGCCGGTAACCATGTCGGCCGGCGCGTGCAGCACGCGGAACTCGAGGCCGCTCATCTTGTCAAGCTCGCCCTCAAAGGCCTCACGTGTCGCCAGGTTCTTAAGCAGCGCCGGGTTGAACATAGCTTGGTTTGTGATGACGGCGTTGTTGGACTGGCGGTCGAAGAATGGTGACTCGGCAAAGTAGAAGAGCACGCTGTTGGAGTGGATGCCCTGCATCGAAGCCGCGATCTCGGGCGCGCGCCATTGGATCTCGTCCAGGGGTGGCTCGTTCGGATTAGCCATTTTATGGGTTGAGGCGGTTGTGGGATGGTTCCGTGGAGGGGCTATTGAGGGTTGCGGGCGTTTCGTCCGGGTGTGGTTGATGTTGCTAAGGCGGTTTGCGGAGCTTTACTGAGCCGCAAGTGAACCGAGGAGCTCTGCTGTACCGTGGGGCCGGAGCTTGTTTAAACTACAGGGAGTCTCGGGTGGCTGACAGGGGTACTCTGTGGATACCCGATGGAGTCACGTGATTCCATGGACAGGCGAACTAACCTCCCATCTTGCGCTACGAAACAGACATTAGCAGGATCAATCACAACGAACACAAAACATCGCTATACCCAAGCCAGAAGAAACAAACCTTACTACCGAAAAACAAAAAAACCACCGAGCGAACAAGGAGGGAAAAAGAGGAAAGAAAGAACAATAGCCTACAATCCCCACAATGGACCTCCTTTCGAGCGTCCGCAAATCCGGCTCCCGCGGCGGCGTTAACTTCAGCTGGGACGAGGTCGCCAACTCGTCGCACCGTGAGAATTACCTCGGACACAGTCTCAAGGCCCCTGTCGGTCGCTGGCAAAAGGGTCGCGACCTCAACTGGTACGCCAAGGGGGACGACGGCGCCGGCGCGCGGGAGGGCGAGACGGACCAGGAGCGGCAGGAGCGCGAGCGTAAGGAGGAGCTGCGCAAGATCAAGGAGGCCGAGGAGGACGCGATCGCGCGCGCTCTGGGGCTGCCGGTACCGCAGCGGGATACCTCGGGCGCAAATGCCGTGGAGGTTAGCGGCGTCAGGGGCATCGGGCCTGCAACTGAAGGGGACGCAAGGCCCGTGGAGGAGGAGAGGGGTGGGCTCGTCGTTTCTGAAAAGAGGGAGCGTAGGGATCGCGACGAGGAGAGGAGAAGGAGACACAGGAGCCGCAGCCGCAGTCCGAGACGGGAGAGGAGGCGGGATGGGGACAGAAGACGGAGTCGCGAGAGGGAGCACGGCGGGGAGGACAGGCGGAGGAGGGGCGAGGTACGGGAGCACGACCGCGCACGCGGGGGTCGCGAGGAGGGGCGGGAGAGGCGGCATTACCGCCGGGCGAGGAGCCGCAGTCACGAGCGTGAGCCGAGGGAGCATCGTCGGCGGAGTAGGAGTCGCGAGGGACATGGGCCGCGGCCCAAGGACCGTCGGCGTAGCCCTGACGAGCGCCGCAGATGAGTGCTGTAGAGTTGAACGAATGATATAATGATACCCAAGGCCTGTCTGGTGCGCCATTTGAATAATATCAAAAAGACCTACAGAATCACAACCCTGGGACTGGGCCAAGAAAGTGAACGAGTACAAGGTGGGATGTGATGGTCTTGTTTCAGAAAGCAAGGGCGTCCGTCACACAGGAATGGGAAAGCAAGAAGCTCAGAACCAGTGAAAAAAACGAAAACAGAAAACAAAAGCTCAGGTGCGGGTTCGAACCCGCACCCTACGAAACCCTCCATCAGCAAACTTCTTTGGATTTCATCACCAAGTTCACACTAACGATCCAGGGCGTTATACCTCTAGGCCAATAGGCCTTTCATCGGGCTTGGTTGGAAGGAGATGAGGGGAGGTTGGATATATAGCTACTGGTGCCGGGCGGATTTGAACATCTGACGTCATTGTAACTTCGCATGATACTCAGGATGAAATGAGACTACCACACCATGTACTACTACTCCTTGCCTGTTTGCAGCAGTATGCTTTCCCACAACAATAGCAAGTCTATCCTAGCATGTAGGTCTCAAGCAAACAATGGTCTTTCTCCTTATGCAGCCCCCATTTCTTTTTCTGAACGCCGAGCCCAAACTCCGATGCCCTCTAAGTACGGTCCAAACTCTTGAATACAGCTCACGCACTAAAAGATGTCACATAATACTGTTGGTCGTTAGCATGTTCTCCAGAATCGGTGTTGGTTGCAGTCCTACAGTAAGAACGGCATCATCTGCCGACGCGTCATCGTACTGGGGCACATAAACATATAGAATCAAGGCGTGGTCATCAGCAAAAGCCGCGACAACTCTCCCTTCTAATCTCCCCACGCTCAGCACTCGGCTCCAGTCTTTACCGTCGACCCTTACTGTTGCCCACTTGTCCGGTCCTGCCTCCTTGAACTTCACGCTCGGATGCTCCTCGACCGGCATCTCCAGCTGCGTCGGATCCAGCTCTGGGTTCACCAGCCCTGACCATGTGCTCGAGACGTCGACAGCCTCCGTAGCGATACGGAGCTTCAGGTTTCCAAACATGTTCGCGCTGAGCTCCAGTTTGGGACTCATGCGGGAGTTCGTGCCGGACGACAGCGCGAGCTTGGTAAAGCGGTCGGAAATGGCCTTTAGCTGGAGCAGGGGCGGCATCGTGATGTGCACGTCCGTCTCGCGCACCGTGGGCTGCATGATGGTCTCCACCGTCTCTGGGTGCAGTACACGCACAGGAATATCCTGGGTGATAATCTTCTCGCGCTCGCGGCGCAGGGAAGTCTCCAGGTGCTCCGCGGTGAAGCCCTGGTCATCGTCGTCGAAGGGATCGTTCTCGAGGCCAACGTAAGCGGCGTTGCCGCGGCCCGGCAGCCCGGAGCCTGCGGAGGCGTTGGTCGTCGTTGTGATGGTCATGGAGAGCACGGGGATCCCATCCTTCTTGGTAAGACGCAGAGAGGCCGAGGTGCTGTTGAGTGCGGAGCGGAGGGCGCGCTGGAGCGGTTGCAGGGGCAGCTCTAGGTTGATGGTGTTGTGCTCCTCTGCAGACTGGATGTGATAACTGTCGAAGATGAAGTCCATCGGCAGTGAACTAGCATTATTCAGCCGCTCTGCTCTGCGCAAAATGTAGAAGGGGTCATCTCACGACCAGACCTGGGACCCCGTATCGGGGATGACGGTGAAGCGCGCCGTTTCATCATCAAGGCGAACCCAAGCGATCTTCTCAAGCGAGTTAAGAGCGGCGGTAAGCTCTGCGGGCAGAATAATGACAGCAGTTAGTGGTGAGAAGCGGCTACGAAGTGTGGAAAAGCAGGAAGTGAGTGGATAAGATAGATACGTACTGGAGAATGTACGAATGTTTTTGAGTTCGGTCTTGAATCGCATCTTGAGGTCTTAATCACGAGGAACTCGGGATGTTGAATTTGGTGGTAGCTATGGATGGATGGGTAGCTAATTGCCTCTTTCGGTGTAGACGCGTAAAGTGGGAAGAGAAGCGGGCGTTGTATGTGTAGCTACTGCGTGCGCGAACATGGCAAGAAACTGTGTGGTGCCGCTGGCAAGGGCGACCTGAACAAGAGGGTGGACGGATGGGATGCCTGTCTGCCACGCTACGATGCCACCTACGCACGTAGGCGGCAGCTCTTTAGCGCGGGGTATCCCCCTGTTTAGCGTGCCCAGTTGAGAAACCTCACCTCATTCGCAGTTCACACGTACCCCGCAATCACCGCAGGCGCGTTGGAAAATGGAAAAGGGCCTGAACGCTCACGATCTTATGATACCGAGCGGCTTCACATCGCCCCCTCCTAACCTTTGGCGAGCTCCGGGGTCCGTTTGTGATAGTACAGAAGACGCTGATCAGGGAGTCATCGGCGGGTGTGGAGAGGGGATGGTCTGGATATTGCTATGGCATGGTCAGTCTAACACGGATGGATAATCTTCCTACGAGGCGGCTCCTCAGACGTACGTCCGTGATACCGAGGGGCCAATAGATAGGAGACCACAGAAATGAAGAGGATGGAAGCTTTTCCACAACAGCAAAAGATTCAAGTAGTTGTGATCAGGGGTAAATGGAATCTGTCAGCTATACCATCTGCCGTGCGTCATAACCTCGAGGGGCTTCGCCAAAATGCCACTATGTTCCTGTCCAAATCCCCCCGTCTTCTGACCAGCTCTGTTTGTCTGCTTTTGTGAGAGGCGACCGACGAAAAGCCACCCAGACCCTGCGTGTCATAATGCCAACTTGTTCATCCGCTGAAATGCTGTGTCCCTTTCCACAGAACCGACTTTGTCAAAGTAGGTAGGCGCGACTGAGTCTTCGATTCCGGAGGATCCCTTTTGTCGTCCCGTGCAAGCGCCCCCGTCGTCGTGGCATGTGGTTGTTACTATTTCCTGGGCGACTTCGACGCAGAAGCCTTCCGGTCTTCTTGCAGAAAGTGCTCTACCCACTTCTTCCTCCATACCTCGCGGTCCTCCCACGGTTCCTTCCCCGGCGCCTCCTCCTGTTCCTTGGGCACCTCTGCCGGGATGGAAGCCATGTTGTGGTCGAGAGAGTGGATGAGGGAGTTGAGCCGCGGCAAGAGCTGGCCGCGCAAATACTTTGACGTCTTGCGTGACCGCTGGAGTTGGGTGTGGCATATTTCGCACGGCATCCAGCCCCAGTACATGTAGTTGCGCGCCGGCTTCATCGTTGGCACCACGGGATGCCCGCAGTCGCACCGCATGCTCGCCCGGCACCACGGACAGTGTGGCTCCTCGACGCTGGCGACGCCGAGCCAGTGTTGTATGCAGTCCCCACCGAAGCGGTGGCCGCAGGGGAGGTATCGCCAGACCTCTCGGTCGCCCTCCTCCTTCACTTCGCCGACCTTTTCGTAACATATCGCGCAACAAGTGTCGTCGGCAGCGGGGTTGGACGCCATCTCATGCTTACGCATAACAGTCTTAAGAATGTTCATGGTCGCCAGCGCCAAAGAGGGACACTGAACTCGTTATATGAACAAGGCGTCAAAGATCTCTGGGGTGACGAGTCCGCCGACTTGGATCGAGTCCTTTCCTTTGTTCCTGCTGGACAAACGACAGGGGAGCGGTGGTGAACAAAGAGAGTGGGGACCTTGGCAAAGAGGAAAATGGCAGCAGCCAAGAAGGGAATATACACAAGCTTTAGCAAAGCTAATCGTGCCCTGCAGATGGCACAACATTGACCTCACCGTTGGGCCGTTCCGAATCCTCGACCGGGAAGGCCATGCGCCTTTTCAGAAAGGCATGGCGCACGGAGGCATACCTTGAGGAAAATGTGTGCACCCTTCTTGCTGGGCTATGCCTGACATGTGCGCTGGCAGTGGTTAATCAGTCTGACCTTCAGGAGCGTTGAGCATCGGCTAGTGGTGTGACGCTTGTCAGAAGGAATGCAGACCGCTTTAAAAAGAGACCTGTTTCCGAACTGCTGACCTCCATCATCCCCTCATCCCGCTTGCTATCTTGTCTCGGAGAGCGGCATATAAGGAGTCTCGTTGAGTGTAGGAAGGCGGGCGATGCCATCCATGATGGCAAAAGCGAAGAAACCCGAACAGCCTAGCGAGACAAAGTGTATGGACATGCAGGACGGAAACACAAGCGCCTGAGCGGTAGCTGTTTCGGACATGCGGTTGCGCCTGCCCTGGAGGGGGCACGCGAGAAAAGTGAGGCAGCGTGGGAGGCGGCATAAGGTTTGGCTGATGTTGATACAAGCATAGAGTTGTATGCAACTCTTGGCTATCCTCATCATTTACCGACACTTTCCCCAGAAAACTGACCAGCGATAGAGGGGAGAGAAGAAGTTGGAGGGACAAACCCTTCAGGTCGCCGTCGTAGAGGCTTCCCTGGGTCCGGGCTGCGGACGCCGAACGGCCTGTGAGGGCGACGCCTAAGTGGATTGGCCAATGCAGCTGCAAAACAGCCTGTCGGTATGGGAACACTGCATCGCATAGAAGGCGGGAGAAATGGGCTCTGTGCAGCAACGTGTAACTGACGCGAGATTCAGCCGAATGTCTCATCGACTGGCAAGAGACCAAGGTAGGCATCCGACACAAAGGAAGACGAGGCTGAGGTGAGTATTAAGATTGATGCTACCGCCTATTACCAGCTCCATCGTCGTCATCGTCACTGTCGTCTCTGAAGCCCTCTTCCAGGCTAGCACGGGAGAATGTGTTAGCTCCAAGACCACATGATAGGTGACAGACAGGTGGGTAGGGTTCAAGCTAGACTCACTCTCTACTCAACCGTCTCGTGCTGTCATGCCTGCCTTGCCGGGCATCATCTGCGAGGGCTCTTCGGGCATCTTCCCCCACTTCCCCAAGCTCTTCTCCGTCTTCTGACATGAAGCCATCTTCGGACGCATCGGTTGCAATAACGAGACGTTCATGAGCATTCCGCCTCCAGGTGCTGGGCACCATCAGCCTTGCAATGCCGTTCTGCAAGCGATGCCGTAATGATAGACTCGAGGTGGTTATGGAGTCGATAGGTAGGTATTGGCTATAGCGATTGCGCCATCTGCGCCATAGCGGTGCGAGAAGATAGGTCGATACGAGGAACAGGATGAGCGAGATGATGGCCGGCACGATCAAGGTCTGTATCGTGGAGAGGGCCTGGTCAGCTCACGGAACGTCACGGCAATTGGGAGGGGCAAGACGCGCAGACGGAAACGGAAGGCGCACCTTGACGACCGACACCGTGGCGCCCATGATGGGCGGTGGTGGTGATGTTGAGAAAATGAATTATCGAATTTCCAATTCGTAGATGGGTTCGGCTCTCCGGTAAACCAAAATTTGGTTCATACTGAACAGAGGCGGCGCGACGACTATCGGCGGGCTTACCTACCTACGTAGCTGTAGGCCGCTGTCGCCAAGCGCGGGCAAAGCTGACCAATGAGTTGTGCGGCCTTGCCAAGCCAGGCGTGGGCGTGGGCGACCAGGCGGACGGCTTGACATGACAGGGAGCAAAACCGACATGGGCCCAAGGGCACGCACACGCAATCTCAGGGCCACTTGGCCCCGGCCGGTGCCGGGCTGGATAGACACCTCCGAGACACCTTACATTGACGCTGGGCCTTTACTCCGTAACGTGCTAACGTACCTGGATTGGCCCACTAGACAAGCTGTCGATTGCGTACCTACCTCTATCCATTGTGGTTCGTGATCGACAGCGGTCAGCTTGCTCACAGAATGCTTCCCCCCGTTGGATCGAAAGTTGCCAAGACATTGCAATAAGCTCCCGGGGAATGCAAGCGGGCTAAGCTACGGCTGGACACGTTTCTTGCCTTGCTCTTTCAGTATCCAGAACAACCCCCTCTACACTCCATCCTTTTTTTACAAGCGTTCGAGAGGGTATGTGGAACCTGACCGATCACGACAGCGCAAGTTCCTGAGCTATTTCTACCATGTATGGGCGAGGCCCCGTAGACAAGATGACGGCTTGGGAACCTTGCTCAAAGATTTGCCGAGTCGGGCGTGCTAACGTAAGCTAATATACCAAGGCATCGGCCTGTACTCCGTTCGTACCTGGCGACCCAGTAATTATTCATTGCTTTTGCGGTGACCGCTGCACAGAAAACTCTGTCTCATACGATACGAGCAGCGAAACAAGCAAGCGGCCCACGGAGTAGTCGGTAGTTCGTTATACATAGTATTGGCCAACTTTTGGCTACCTACATTGTACAAAATTAAATAAGCATCAATATCGCTTAGCTGGGCCTGCAACAATGGTGGACACCCCGGATGCCATTGATGCCAAACATAACTCAGGTACCCCACCACCACATTTCCAGGTGGAGGTACATGGTTCCAGACCCCTCTCAGAAGCTCGAAAGGGAAGGCCATCACAAGCATTGTAATTGGCCCAAAGGATGGGTTCTCATCACTTAGGTCGTTTAGCCCTGCATCACACGCCCAAAGGGTCATAGCCTGATAGGGGTCTGCTTCGTATAAGTACAAGGTACCTACACATACCTACAGCGAGTAAGATACGGTACGGTACGGTAGGTATCGTATCTATCTAATGGGGGTAGGGACCAGCAGCTGAACCGTCCGCCAGATGCCAGAACGCGGTCAGGATCCTCGCAAAGGAGAGCAAAAGTGCTCGAAGGCACGTACCTACCTAGGTACACTAGGTAGTTGGCTAGAAAGTATTATGTAAGTTTCTGCATTGGGCCGTGGCAGATGGACAAATGCGAAAGTGGTTTGGGGTGATATGAAGAATCACATCTGATTGACGCACACGCAACACCGCTTGGCCCCGGCCGGCGCCAAACTGGCTCAGCACCCTTTTTGAGTTCTTGCTAATTCATTTGGTGCTCGTCAATCTTGGTTGGCCAATACGGCGCCAAACCTGTACTACCGGTACGGGATTAGTCGTGTAAGAGCACAGATGCCGATGGCGATCTTGAGCGCTTTGGATAATAGTTCACAGACGCCCAAGGACTTGGGTTCCTTTTTATGCTCTTTCGCGCCTTCTTGGACCGCAGCCCGTGTCCACATCCACATCTAGGTCCAGGTTCAGGCCCATGCCCACGTTCTCACCCCCTGAGCGATGCAGCAGCGCCCCGTAGCATCGCATGCCAATACTAATATCCGTCCGTACGTACATTACCAAGGTATGTACTATACACAGCGTAGCAGTCACGGGAAGATCTAGTCTTCAGCCCTTCCATAGTTCTGCCAAATAGGTACATTGCGGGTTATCATTTGCAATCCCATCACACCACCACACTGGACCTCAACGGAGAGTGCTGCCAAGTTCGCCAACGAACATCCCCACTCCAAGCGCCGGATCCGTTAGACTCTCTTCTTCCTTCCCCTACCTACGCCACCTCTGCTGGCGCCCTTCGTTGGCCTCCTCGTCTGTCTTCCTCCAGTCTCTCCTATCTCACTTTGCCTTGGTTTTCGTCATTCTGCGCCGCACATTTCAGTCCAGCTGTCACCACTACAACCCACTAAGCCACCAGGAGGCCCAGGCTTTGGAGACTTCGCGCCGTCGCTACCTACCTACGCTACTATCTAACCTAGGTACCTAGCTAGTACCTGGCCGCCCCCCCCCCGGAGAACGCTCAGGCAGTTTCCGCAGAGGAACTCGCACATCTGCTGCCCCTGAAGTGTCAAGTCAATCGCGGCCCCTTGTCGAGCCCCGTTTCATCAGTGGACTCCGCACTTGCAACGTCGTCCTCGCCAGCGACAAGACCACGCAGAAACCACACGGCCCTTTTTCCATGCCCTTCGAGTTCGCCGCCCTGATCGACGCTGCGAGGCACCAGACAAACTTTGCTCACAAGTTGTTCAATATCACCATCGGCTATTCATATCCAGGTGGTACCAGTTGGAGCGGCGACCTCGTCGACGGAACACGCGAGCGAGCATCCGACTGCCTGTTTCCTGGTCCCTCCCCCTCCTCACATGGGGATCCTGGGCCGCAACCCACAGACAAAACACACGCACTTGCCCAGGCCCATCATCACCAGCCCTGCAGTTCCTCAGCTTGCGAACCAGTTGTGCGGCACATTCCAGATACTCAATCCGGCTTTGCCTTTGCCTTGGATACCCGACAGCCCACACACTCTCTTTCGTGACACACCATCATTTTCCCGCGATTCGATCGTCCTCCCAATTTCAATCAATCCTGGTTGGTCTGTTTCTACGTCACCGCGCAGCCATTTCTGCCCTTGCCCAGCGACATACCCTTCCAAGTCGGACAAATTGAACTGGCGGACGTATCCCAGCGCCCCTCGACTAGCAAATTGTCGCATTTCAGGGTGACCAAAGGTGCGTCTTCCCAGGGTGCCCCCCTCCCTAGGTCCCCGGTCCCAAGCCCAAACCTCTACTTGCTTTGAACCAAACTTGTACAGAAGGCATGCTAAAACATAACCGATTCATGCGGACAGAGATTCAACACGGCTCGATACCGACCAAGGGCTCCACGTAGGCGGCTAGAGAGAGCTTCAATCATGCGACCGGCCCTGGCCACCTTGCTCGCCCGAACAATTATCCAGACCCGTCAATTCTGATAATCCGAAGACGTGCCATACCGATCGAGCTTTACGTGAGAGGGCCAGGTGTTTCACCTGCCTCCCATTCCTGCGCCCACAATGTCTTCTACCGACAAGTCGAGGCAGTCGTCAGGAGGCAAATCGTTTTTCTCGCGCAATAGGAAAGACAAACGTAACACGAGCGACGAAGGCCGCTACCTGGCTGGAGCCGACTACTCCGACACGGCCAGCACACACTCGCGCGGTTCTCGTCATCACCGCGACTCGTCCGTTGTATCCATCGACGAATATCCTGAATCGGGCCTGTCGGCCGGCCCCATGACGAGCATCCCATACGATACCTACCACGATTCCAGGTCGCCGGTCCCAACCGAATACCTACCCAGGGGTGATCAGCTTGGGGTCCTACGCCAGAGCCCTTTGCCGCATCACCTAAACAAAGTAACGAGCGACTTTCACCAATATCCCAGCTTCGATCCGTCCACCATGGCGGGCGGTGCCGGCTCACATGCGTCCGCGCAGCGTGTTCCGCAGTCAAATATCACAATGGCCACAACCGGACGTCAGACGCAATACCAACAGTGGGGACCTGGGCCTAGTCGCGGAAGTACAGCGAGCACAATCAACGGGTCCCACAACCCCAGATACGATTCGTATATGACATCGGCGGGTCGTAGCTCTGCTGACCAAGCTAGCATATTCTCATCAGGTAATGGAGGCACCTATGACATGACCGCAAATCGCTCATCAAGACTAGCATTACCCAGTGCTTCTTCACAGAGTTCCTATTCCTCGCACTTGTCCTACCGGGACTCCTCGCACCCTCCCTCCTCCTCACACCGACTGACAAAATTTCCCGGCATGCCACCCACTGGACACGATGGCTTCCATTTCCCCCGGCCGGACAACGACGAGGTCATCAACCAGATGTTTCTGGCGCTGATGCAAAAACGAGGATGGCACAACCTACCCGAACAGGCCCGTCGGCAGATGGTCGCGTACGCGCCGGACAAGAAGTGGACGTTGCTATACCAGGACCGATTGACCGAGTATCAAGGGGAACAAAAGAGGAGACAAACAGCGAAACCGAACCAATATGCGGCACCCGAGATTCTCGTCAACTCGGACGAGGAGGGCTCGCCAGAATGGTACGTCCGACGTGTGATGGACAACAGCTTGGACACGAAAGGACTTGGGAGTTTGGAAGTCAACCTCCGTACGCAGCAGATCGGCTGGGTGAAGCGCTTCATCGAGTGCCAAGGTCAGGTCGCGTTGACCAACGTCTTGATGAAGCTCAACCGCAAGACCGCAATAGGCCCAGTTCCGGATGGGAAATCCGACAGGAATTCTGATCGCGAGTACGATATTATCAAGTGCCTAAAGGCCTTGATGAACAACAAGTTTGGCGCCGACGATGCTCTCGCACACCAACAAGTCATCATTGCACTGGCCACCTCTCTCACCTCTCAACGCTTGACGACCCGAAAGCTGGTCAGCGAAGTCCTCACGTTTCTGTGCCACTGGGGCGACGGCGAAGGCCACTTGAAGGTCATCCAGGCCCTGGACTCGGTCAAAACGCAACAAGGAGAAAATGGCCGCTTTGATGCCTGGATGCGGCTCGTTGAGGTCACGGTGGATGGCCGAGGAAAGATGGGCAGCATGGTAGGAGCCAGCGACGAGGTCCGAAGCGGTGGTATCGGCATGGAGAACCTGTTGATGGAATACGCGGTTGCGACCCTGATTCTCATCAACATGATTGTGGATGCGCCAGAGAAGGATTTGCAGCTCCGGATGCATATTCGCGCCCAGTTCACAGCATGCGGCATCAGACGTATCCTGTCCAAAATGGATTCGTTCCAGTACGACCTCATCGACAAGCAGGTTGAGCACTTCCGGACAAATGAGGCCATCGACTACGAGGACATGTTGGAGAAGGAGAACAACAGCGTCAAAGACAGCATTGAAGGGGAGGTTAAGGACCTCAACGACCCTGTTCAAATTGTCGACGCTATCCAGCAACGTTTGCGTGGGAGCAAGACACAGGACTACTTCATCTCAGCTCTGCAACATCTGCTCCTCATTCGTGATAATGATGGCGAAGAGCGACTGCGAATGTTTCAGCTGGTGGACTCTATGCTCAGCTATGTGGCCATGGATAGGCGCTTGCCGAACATGGACCTGAAGCAGAGCCTCAACTTTACCGTTCAGAGTCTGCTGGACAAGCTCCATACGGACTCTGAAGCCAGACAAGCCTTGGACGAGGCGCTGGAGGCCAGACAGGTCGCCGACGCCGCCATGGCTGAGCGAGACGAAATGAGAGAGAGGTTGGAACTGGGCGCTGATGGCCTCGTGGCGAAACTCCAGAAGCAGCTGGATGAGCAGGCAAGGTTCATTGAAGCTCAGCGACGGCAGGCCGATGGCCTCAAAGCCGAGCTGGAGAACATCCAGACATTGCGCCAGAAGGAAGCGCAGCGCTATGAGCTCGAGACCAGAGAACTATACCTTATGCTTAGGGACGCACAGGATGTTGCTGCGTCCAGCGCTGCTAAGGGCAGTAAGCTCGGAGAAGAAGACCCAGCTCGGATGCAAGGTATTCTCGATCGCGATCGACTCATGGAGCGTCTGCAGATGCAGATCGAACGCCAGAAGACGCAGTTCAAGCTGGAGGGCAGAGTATGGGGAGAAGCTGTGGGACCGTCGGATCGCCTTCGCGCTCTTCGCGAGGAAATGGACGATGCTGCCATGGGATCAGGAGGATCAGGACCGGGTACACCGCCAAGAGACTTCACCAACAGCATGCTCGGAAGCGTCAACCGCAACACAAAGATTCCACGGAAGCCTGTCAACGGACGCGGTGAATACATCGAAGGCGATTTCCCTGACGTCGAGGAAGGCGAAGAAGACGACGAGGATGAGGAGGGAGTCGTCTACGAAAAGCCCAGAGTCGTTGAAATTCGCCGCCCCGTCATGGACCCCAGCCAAAAAGCTGGTCTCTTTGGCGAGATGGCTGGCAAGGTGAAGAGATACGAAGGAAGTGACTCTGAAGACGTCGAGGGCGCAACAACGGGCCCGTCACATCCGAGCCTCGAGTCCGGCTCTCCTATCACTCCCGCCGAGGGCGAGCCTCCCAAGATCCAAATCACCGATGCCGCCGCGCCCCCGCCTCCGCCACCTCCAATGCCCGGTCAAACCGGTGCTCCCCCTCCACCTCCGCCGCCCCCCATGCCTGGTCAAGCCGGCGCCCCCCCTCCACCTCCGCGCCCCCCAATGCCCGGCCAAGCCGGTGCTCCCCCACCACCTCCGCCGCCCCCAATGCCCGGCCAAGCCGGTGCTCCCCCACCACCGCCACCTCCCCCTCCCATGCCGGGGATGCTCTCGCCAACCGGTGCTGCCCCGCCGCCACCGCCGCCGCCGCCCCCACCACCAATGGGTGGTGCGCCTGGAATGCCGCCGCCACCGCCTCCTCCATTGCCTGGTGCCATTTCTGGACATTTCCTCTCACAGGCTACGCCTTTTGCCAGCGGACCCTCCTTCGGCCTTCCTGTCGTTCGCCCGAAGAAGAAGCTCAAGGCTCTCCATTGGGACAAGGTCGATTCTCCTATGACCACCCATTGGGCCGCACATGCCCCCTCGGCTGAGGAGCGGGAAGAGAAATATCTTGAACTTAGCCGCAAGGGTATCTTGGACGAGGTCGAAAAGCTCTTTATGGCCAAAGAAATCAAGAGGCTTGGCATTGGCGGAGGTGCGAAGAAGGATGACAAAAAGCAGATCATCTCGGGAGACCTTCGCAAAGCCTTCGGTATGGTTTGCCTCCTGGAAATATAATGTGATGTGACTGACTCTCGTACCTAGAAATTGCGTTTGCCAAGTTTTCTCAAGTCTCTGTTGAGAAGATTGTGCAGATGATCATTCATTGCGATAAGGATATCTTGGATAATGGCGTTGTCATGGATTTCTTGCGTAAAGACGATCTCTGCAACATCCCTGACAACACAGCCAAGCAAATGGCTCCGTACAGCAAGGACTGGACGGGCGCTAACCCTGATAAGGCGGACCGCGAACAGGATCCAGCCGAGCTCACCAGGCAGGATCAAATCTACCTGTTCACGGCCTTCGAGTTACATCACTACTGGAAGGCTAGAATGCGCGCTCTCGCGCTTACCAGGAGCTTCGAGCCCGACTTTGACGAGATTACCGAGAAGATGCGCCAAGTTGCCCAGGTATCTGAGTCTTTGAGAGACTCCGTTTCCCTGATGAACGTCCTCGGTCTCATTCTCGACATCGGAAACTACATGAACGATGCCAATAAGCAAGCCCGCGGTTTCAAGCTGAGCTCCCTTGCCCGTCTCGGCATGGTCAAGGATGACAAGAACGAATCCACACTGGCCGATCTGGTCGAGCGCATCGTCCGCAACCAGTACCCCGAATGGGAAGACTTCGCAAACGACATTTCGGGCGTGATGATGGCGCAGAAGATCAACATCGAGCAACTTCAGTCGGACGCCAAACAGTACATTGACACGGTCAAGAATGTGCAGATGTCGCTCGACGCCGGTAACCTTAGCGACTCCAAGAAGTTCCATCCCCAAGATCGCGTCAGCCAGGTCGTCCAGAGGATCATGAAGGATGCAAGACGAAAGGCAGAGGAGATGCAGCTATACTTGGAGGAGATGATGAAGAGCTACAACGACATCATGGTGTTCTACGGCGAAGACCCCACCGACGAAAACGCCCGCAGGGACTTCTTTGCTAAGCTTGCCGTTTTCATCTCGGAGTGGAAGAAGTCCAGGGAGAAGAACATGCAGTTGGAGGAGACGCGCAAGCGAAACGAGGCCTCCATGAAGCGGAAGCACGCGCAACTCCAAGCATCGAGTGTTAAGGCGGAAGGGCAACCACCCTCGCCATCAAGCGCAGGTGCCATGGACTCTTTACTGGAGAAATTGCGTGCTGCCGCACCCCAGACGCGGGACCAGAGAGATCGACGTCGTAGGGCGAGGCTCAAGGATCGTCACCAAGTGCGGATAGCATCCGGTCAAAAGATTCCTGATCCGAACGAAATCCCCGAGGTCGAAGCCACCTTGCAGCAGTCGCCCAGGGAGGCGCCCATTGACGAAGAAGGCAACCTCATCAGTCCAGGACTGTCGTCGCCCAGGGAAGCTGGCGAAGACGATGTCGCTGATCGCGCGGCGATGCTACTCCAGGGTATTCGTGGAGACGGGGCCGACGATGCCGACCCGGAGAAGATGGAGAGCCTACGGCGCTCGAGGAGGCAAACGGCCGAGGAAGAGAGACGTATGAGAAGACGCAGGCGGGAAAAGGCGACTTCCACCAACACTGCCGTCAGTGAAGGAGACACGACTGTGACGGATGCGAAGGAGGAGGAGATACCCCCGACACCTTCGGTTGAGAACACGCCTGTAGAACCATGAGCTTGGATCTCATATATGGAGTCTCCAGCCGAGTCCATATATACACAAACTACATAATGTTTACTACCTTCGAGGAACACCAGCTTGAAGGGATATGCCCATCCCTCGTACAGCTCGAAAACATCACACACAACTGCGATCTGGGAAGAGAAGACAAGAAAGAAATAGGCTCAGCCCTGGAGGAGACGAATCCGGTTTACCGCTTGGTCTTTCTACACCTTTGTGACTTATTATTTTGCACACTATATAAGGGGACTGGATGGAGTCGGGCACTGCCAAGAGCAGGCATCATCGCATTGTCGCTGCGTTGTTCTCTTTGTTTCGATCGCCGCCTTCCCTCGTCTTCTACGTGGCAGAGAAATGCATAAGTAGTAAGAGAATGAACGGGCTTGCTGGGCTCTCCCGGCTGGTCTGTGGGTTTGGTCTTTTGTCATGTCGGCGGTTTTGGTTGTTCGTTGCATGGTGGACGGATGGTGCGGTTATTCCATGAGAGAAAGAGGTAGGCCAAGGTATGCAGGAGGGATGGTTGGGAAGAGGTGGTGTAGACGGCTGTTGTTGATATTGAGATTACACAACACCACAACATTCACAAAGTTGACTTGTCCGCCTGCCTATGTGGCTTGTGATTGGTATGAAGATGACAGTTCTTTGTCACTGCCTAGCCTTCATCATATGAGGAGCAGGCTGAGGAGCTTTTTCTGGCCAGCGTCCACAGCCGTTGAAATGTTATACTCACTTCGAAGTTACAGCACAGACGGCATGCCGTGACTGCCTCTGAAGAGCAATGCGTTTGTCCGCCTCTCGATTTATTATCTGTCACCCGTGCAGCATGGATACCACGGAGGTAACGTCGAGCCCGGGTGATGCCGGCTGAATCGCGCAGCTATAAGGGCCTCTGCCGGCTTGCGTACCTGTAATATTTTCCATTTTCAGCGTCAGCTAGTGAAATTGTTTCTCTTCAATGGAAGATATTTTACCACGTCTTTGTTGGCGAGTTAGGCAAAAGAGGTTTCTCATATGCGCCATTTGCCGAAGTTTCCTGGCCATGTTCCCCACGGACCAGACAGGCAGGGGTATGTATGTTAAGGTCAACCATACGTGAACAAATACCATGATGATACAGGTTGGTAAAAAGAGGAAAGAGGTAAAAATCAAATTTGAAAGGGACGAGACTCGAACTCGCGCGGGTTGCCCCACCAGGAAACAGATGTTAAGCTGACCTTAACCTGGCGCCATAACCAACTCGGCCACCCTTCCGGATGTTGTTGAAACACCTTGCGAGTTTTGACATTATGTTCCGCGATGGGCCACACTGAGTGGAGAGTCTCATTGGGCATGAGGCCCGGAAAAGAGCACCGGCATGGCGACTTCAAGCCGGAAATGCGGGTTGTGCAGCGTTTCCATCCGTTGGGTTTCCTCTCTGCAAGTATGGAATCAGACCAGGATAATTCCCTGGAATGACAACATATGCATGCACCGCCCGGTCTTTAGCAGCGGCTCCTTTCGCATGCTTAGCATGCCGAACATTCACCCGCGCCGGTATGGCTGGACGGACGGGATGATCGCTGAGGTGGTTCGTCTACCATTTCCCTCCATTTCCCATTTAGCCGCAGCGCAGCTTCCCCTCCCTCCACCCCCACCATACCCCAACATTGACCGGCGGGGGGGCCCTCCATCCATCCAGCGAGCTCCTTGGTGATCTTGTCCGTCCTTGTCCTGAATGTGGGATGACACTGGGTAGAGCTCCCCCGAAGTCGCCCCGCTACCCGACCATCCCGCAACCGACCCGGCGTCTGCGTGGCATGGCGAAGTCACCAATGTTGTGGGTTCAAGGTTGCCCGGAGTAATTCTACAGCGAGATGTTCTGTAGCCGCTGGTTATGACCTTGATGCTCCCCCTTCCCGCCTAACCTTTGTCTGTTTTGCACTCCCTCCCTCTTGCTGGTTTTCTTGCCAAACCTCCCTTGTCTAACCGTTATATTTGGAAAGAGACTACTGTTGACAGTCATTCCGCAATATGGAGGAACCCAACATCGGCCTCAACCTGGGCTACAATGGTGCCCACCCCTTTTCCAAAGTGAAGCTTACCGACAGGGCGTCTGTCCAGGAGCTCCTACAAACCCTCCTCGACCCTCTCGAGCCCTTCTTTTCTCCCCAGAAGGCCCGCGTCAAGTGTCCTGGCGGCACGGCCGTGCGATTCGACCAGGCCGCCTCCGAAGTCGAAGGTCTCTTGCGCCCCATCTGGGGTCTGGCCGCTCTCCTGGCCGGTGGCGGGGAGTATCGCGGCACTGAATGGTGGATTCAGGGGATCAAGTCCGGCACCGACCCTGAGAACCCCGAGTATTGGGGCTTCCCGAGGGACAATGACCAGCGCATGGTTGAGATGTGCCCTCTCGGTATGGCTAAACGCTCTCGTGCGGTCGACTCCGGCTGACCACATCATCAGGCTTCTCCCTTGCCGTTGCGCCCACGATCTGGGAAAACCTCTCGGCAAAGGAGCGTATTAACGTTGAGAATTGGCTGGGCAACTCCATCAACGAGAAGAAGTGGGCAAAACATAAACCCCTCACAGTACCGGGACCCAAACACTGACAGCGCCGCCTAGCATGCCCAATACCAACTGGCTTTGGTTCCGCGTCTTCGCGAACCTAGGCCTGAAGAAGAACGGTGGCAAGTTCTCGCAGGAACGACTCGATGCGGACATCAAACACCTCGACACGTTTTACCGGGGCGGCGGCTGGTCCAACGACGGGCCAGAGGGCATCCACCAGATGGACTATTACTCGTCCAGCTTCGCTATCCAGTTCCTCCAGCTCCTCTATGTGAAGCTGGCCGGCAACGACGAGCCTGAGCGGGCCGAGGAGTTCCGCAAGCGGGCCCAGATGGTCGCGCTCGATCTGGTGCACTACTTCGACGAGCAAGGCCGGGCCATCCCCTTTGGTCGCAGCGTCGGCTACCGCTTCGCGATGGTGTCTTTCTGGGGCGCCCTCGCCTACGCCGGTGTCGAGCTTCCGGCGCCCTTGACATGGGGTATGGTGAAGGGCATCGTGATGCGTCATCTGCGGTGGTGGCAAACGCAGCATGGCATGTGGAGCCCCAGCGGAACGTTGACGCTGGGCTATTCTTACCCCAACATGTACATGACGGAGAACTACAACAGTCCCGGAAGCCCGGTAAGCATGTCTACCAGACGAGCGCAATCCAACCCGCTAACACCACCCTCCCACAGTACTGGGCTTGCCTCGCCTTCATCTGTCTTGCGGTCCCCGAAGACCACCCCTTCTGGACCTCGGAGGAGGAGCAGGCTTGGAGCGTCATCCCCAGGATCAAGGCCCTCGAACAGCCGGGCCACATAATGAGCAACATTGGCGGTCATTGCATGCTCTTATCGTCCGGCCAGGCTTGCAGCTACCCGATGAAGGGCACCCACGCCAAGTACGGCGGGTTCGCCTACTCGAGCGCGTACGGCTACTCAGTGCCTCCTGGCCTGTTTTCCCTCGAGCAGTACGCACTGGCCTCGCAGCTGGGCCTCTCGGACGACGGCGGAGAGTACTGGAAGACCCGGCGACTCTCGCAGTACGCCGCCATCGAAACCAGAGACGGCAAGCCGGTGCTCGTATCGGTGTGGAAGCCGTTCACGGACGTCGAGATCAAGACCATCCTCGTCCCCCCCGAGGAGTCCACGCCCAACTGGCACCTCCGGATCCACCACATCCAGGCGGGCCGCGAGGTCATAACCGCGGACGGGTCGTTTGCCATTGCCAACGAGAGCTCAGCAAACGGGCGGTACCTCGACCTTTTCGACGCGGAGAAGGTCGAGGGGACATCACCCAAGATCATCGGCAACTACGACACCAACACGCCCGAGGGGCTAGCAAAGGGCAGCGAGGGTTCCTTCGCCGTGTCCAAGGGCGCTGTAGGCATCAAGGCCCTGGAGAGCTCGATCGAGCGGACGGCCAACCTCGTCAACGCCGATCCCAACTCGAACCTGGTCGAGAGCCGCACGACCATCCCGACGCTCCAGCACACGATCAAGAAGGGCGAGTCGGTCTGGTACATCACGGGCATCTACGCCAAACCGAATGGCGAGGGCGTCCCTAAGCAGAGCTACCTGGACGGCTGGGCGAGACCGCCCGCGGTTCCTTCCTGGCTCGAGGCGGAAATGAGTGCCTCTTGAGGAGTTCTTGCTGCCGGACCGGTCTGCGCCGCCGCCACGGTGGCCTTAGGGGTGACCAAGTGAGTTGAAGATTTTCCACAAATACGACAGGGAGGCCTGGCAGGCCCTCGTTGTGGTCCCCTGAGCTTTGTATCTGGGGGTAGCTCTTCATGACCGACACTAAGAGTATATGTATTTCAATTATATACAGGCTGTTTTCTAAGTTTGAGGATCAGTCTAAAATTGGTACAGAGGACAATTGGGAAGTAGATATGATGCATGTAACGTTCAAGCCAATGAGACCATGGACCATCACTAGTAGCGTCGCAAATAACCCTGATGAATGGCTATACCGAGAGATTCCCTCATGCTCCGCCGGTCTCATACTCCATCGGCAATGCCGGGCCCCAAGCCAGTTGGCATCGGTGCCGGGTCCGGTCGGCTCACGATAAGCTCGACGCTACTATGACCAACTAGCACCCATCCCCTGCATTCCGGTCAAACGTGGACAGTTCTCAGTGGTTAGAACGTCGGGTTTTCGTATGGTCCGGTGTTTGAGCATATTTTGCGCGGCTGAGGCAGTAGTGATGTGGCATTCGTAACGCAAGTCCCCTCATTTCGGTAAGCTTGAACGCACGCGATGCCATATTTGAAGCAACGCTGATTCCCCGCTAGAAACTGCCGTCAACACTAGTGTCTCTACACAGGACCATCTGACTTCGGGATCGGGTTTGTAGCTGAACTGTGGTGTGCCACGCTGCCAATACAGGTTCTATTTCATGAACAACACGGATAAAGGTAACCTTATGGCTTGGTAAGATCATGACGTTCAGCTGTGATGGCCCATCCCTCAAGATAGTTGGCCTCACGCGTGCCATTCAAGGCTAATGTCATGAAGATACATTCAATACTACTACCACCTAAATGCTCTGTACAGAAATTCAAAAGTAAAAAAGAACCGGGGAGGAGGATCTGCATGTATATCCTGCAGTGGGAGACTCGAAAACACACAACGTTCCAATCCAATGTGCGTCCCTCAACATGACGAACAACTTTGAGGGAAACATGAAATCAGCTGAAAACGACAACCTATATCTCTCGCCACAAAATAGCTGAAACGAAGAGGAAAAAATGCAAAAGTCAAGGCATCCCGCCCTCGGCATGTTCAGAATGCGCTCTCATCTCCTCTTTCTCTCTCTCTCTCTCTCTCTCTCCCTGGTTCGCTAACAGCGACTCAGCAGTAGTACCGCTTCACGATCTTCTTCTCAAAAGCAAGCCTCTTCGGGCACGGCCGGCACAGCGCTGGCCTCCCGCACCGGTCCCTGCAGATACTGATGTTTCCACGGCACCCGCAGTCCCCCGAATACCTAACGCGTTCGCAGTAGGAGCACCGACAGCAGCCGTGACCGTGGCCGTAACCGTGACCGTAACCGTGACCGTAACCGTTTCCGTGTCCATAACCGTGTCCGTACCCACGGTCGTAGCCGTGGCCGTAGCCGTACCCGGAGCCGTAGCTGATGCTGGAGCGGTCGTCGAAGTAGCCGCCGCGGTAGCCGACGGCATTGCGGCAGCGGTAGCAGACGGTCTCGGAGAAGGATGTATGCCAGTCTGTGAGAGGTGTTAGAGGCCAGCGTCGACATGGGAAGCGTGTCCCGTACAAACAAGTTGTCCAAGGGGGGGAGCAAGGCATGGAATACGGTGACTCACAACGGCGGCACTGAGTGCAAAGTTGATAACCCATCGGTCCGTATCCAGGGTTGAACCCGTATCCGGGGTTGAACCCGTCGATCAGGGCCCCGCTGGCTAGGGCGATTTGGTTCGGTCGGTCCCCAACGAAGATATCGTTCCGGCCGGGCTGGTTGATGACTTCTTTTACGACGGATGCGCGGGCTTCTTCTTCAATAACTTCACCACCTCCCGGGGACATTATTGCGAGATTTCTCTTGAGGGGGAAGAGAGAAGGTCTTTTTCTTCGTGGGGTTCGGGGGGGTCTCGAGGGGGTATTATATCCCTAGTCACCTTTGCTTGCCTTTGCCTGTTCCGGTTGCTTTAGGCAGCTTATGTGAGATACCAGTCGGCAGTGAGCGGTGATATTTGCTCAGGGGTGCTGTCGTGTAAGTCAAAGGTTGCTGTGAAGTCGTGTGATGTCTTCCCAGAGAAAGGGGGGGCGGTGTTGACCGCCGTTGTGGCCCCTTGGCTTACCTATTATATACCATCACTCAGCCCTCAGAAACGCCGACCTGTGGCAGGCCTTCAGTTATAGTCTGATTACGTCTTGCCTGAGCCCTAACCCCTTGAACCGACCTTAGGCAGACGCAGTTATCATACTTTCATCTCTTCATCTCACGTAGTGCTGCCCGGGTGACCACCCTAGCCCCCTTTCTCCGCGCATGATGTCGATACTTAAGATGCGCTGTGAGGTCACAGGTTGCATTGTAAACAAGGGGGAAGGGGACACGATGCTAGCTCCGGAGCCAAAGGGGGGGAGCAGCCAATCCCAAAATCTGACCGCATCGTTGCCAAAACCGACTAGACACGCATCTAGAGCTTTAGATCAAGAGCCGGCGTGTGGAAGAGCGACAGGGCCCAACAGTCGGCTGCCTTGACGGCTCAACAGTAGACTTGTACCGAGTACGGGTGTCCCTGACAGGAAGATGCATCCGGGGACAGAGCAGGGTCTCCGCGCCCCCTTGTCCTTCTGGCGTCACCCGTAGGATATTCCACCCCATCTTTTTTATGCCGGACGTATAAGAGTCACCGATGGGTCTTCTAGGCCTTGGAAAGCCGATGAAGGGCGAGGCTTTTCTTGAGGGTTGCATCATACACGTTGTCGCGTGTTTGTTTTCTTCCAAATAACTATTTAGAAAGACACCTAGACGCCCGCCCTTATTATCCCCAAATGCGTACCAACACGTTTTCGTTCCTAAGCTTCGTAAAGCCAAACCTTTCATCCGTTTTGTCGTGATTGTTGTGCTAGTCATGATCTCCCTGGGCCGTCCCCCTTCTTCGCTACCTCCTTGCGTGGAAGTACTACAACCTTGCGGCTGACCAGCTCTCTCAATTCTGGTGTGATGATCTTCTTCACCTGCGGCCCCTCAGGCGCCTTGCCCGTATCTTTGCGTGGGGACGCTGGTCCGGCACTGCTCTGGCCTTGCTTCGGGTCCTTGTCGGCCTGGTCGGATGATGACGATTTGGAGGGAGAGCCGGGATCTCGGAGTCGTGGCCCAGGAAAGTTACCCTTCTTATCAACTGCTTCCACCAGCCGCTGGAAACGGCGGAATAGCGCTTCGGCGCGAATCAAAGTTGAGTCAAGGTCCATTGTGTTGGAAAGTTCGTTGACTGTGCATTGTCAGCGTCTGTAGCTGTAAGCCAAAGTGCCGAGAAACATACCATATTTGAGAACCTCATCGAAATGCTGCAGGTGGGTCATGATGACGTCCCGGTGCTTCTCTAGGATTGCTAATGCGACAAACAAGTGGAAGCTGCTGCTCAAATAGTCCGTCCAGAGAATCTCCCAAAGGCGCAAGACGTCCATCCACTCGAACTCTCGCTTGTACCAGACGAGTAGCATGCGGAAGAAGAAGAAAAAGTTGGTGCTGTCCGCGGACTGCAGGTGCGCGTAAAGCTTCGGGTCCATGAACTGGACGAGGTGATCAAGGGTGAGCAGTTGTGACCGCATTCCTGACTGGTCGCGCAAGAAGTTGCGCTCCATACGGTCCATGAAGTGCTGGAAGCCCCAGAAGGCGATTGCATCGTCCTGCATAACGGCGTAGATGGGGGCCAGGAGATCGGACATGCCCTGCACGTAGCCGAGATCCTTGTTGTACTCGTTGTACGTAAGAAGCATGTCCTTCATCTGCTCCAGGTGGACATTGGTGCCAACCTCGGAAAAGGGAGATTCGGGGTCTGGATGCGGAATGTCTTCTCCAGAAAAGATAGGAACATTTCTGTCTGTTCGATGAACGTCTTTCTCTGCAACAGTATTAGCACAAAATCATCATCAAGTCGTTCGTCGGAAAACCTACCAATACGGCCACGTTGTTCACGCCACCACTCTCCCTGCTCGCCTTCACCACCAAGGTCTACAAGCCTCTCCCACCATGCCCCCTTCAACTTGACATACTCGTTCCTAAGTGACGCAATCTGAGCCTTCCGCTCCTCGGATGTGCTGTACCAGTCATGGACCCCGAGCAGAAACAACCATGCCTCCTTTCGCACTCCATCGTCTGGGTCAAGGCCGCCGTGAAAGACCCTTTCCTTGACCTCATCCACAGTGACTGAGAGTCGTCCGGTCCGCTGATCAAAGAAGGTATTCCACTCTTTCAGCGTCACTGGTTTCCTCCTGTCCTCCAATGACATGGTGCTGCTCCCGTCCAAGAGCTCGAACTCTCCGACATCGGTATCCTCGAGCTCTAGGACCTCCCTAGCCGTCCATATTCTCTGACTCCGATCCCGCTCGCTCTGCTCAGCGATTCCCATGGCCCAGCGCGCGAGATATATCCTCGCACTGTCGAATTCATCCTGAAGCGTCTGCACCTCGGGGTTGCGCAGGAGCCTCCTGACTTGCGGGGGGACATTCGGGTTTTGCATAACATCTTGCGCGGCCCGTCGTGTGAAGGTGGTCACCTTGCTGAATTTCTCCATAATGTTCCAACCCGTCTCCTTCACAAACTTCACAAAAGGATCCATCTGCGCGTCGCCACTGGGGCCGGCGCCGCCAGCGCGAGTCCCCGTTCCATCTTTCAAGCCAACCTGGGCCGTACTGGAAGTAAGCTTGCCGCTGAAGGCCTCGCTGTCCTCCTTTGACGGGTCTACCAGATAGATGTTGGGTTCCGCTCCGGATCTCTCAATAGGGACGTAGCGCCGCAACCAGCGTAAGACTTCGTCGCCGCCCCAGAACATCTCCCCTCGATCGCCGAACGGGTCAAAGTTGTCCCTGGTCCGCCTCTTCCTCTTCAGGATTGTGCTTTGACATTCATTGTCGTGGAAGAACAGTGCAGGGAAGCTGTCGCCCGCCCTCGAGTTGATAATCAAAGAGCCAAACCACCAGCCAAGACTCGGCGGTCTTACGAGAAGCGAGTAGATTGCGCTGACTGGGATGGCGAACGCATAAGTGCCGACAGAGCCGCGGTGAGATGTGACGGTCGGTGGGGGTGGTACAAGATATGATTGCTTCGGAGGCGACTCCGCTTCGCTAAGGTCGACCTTGACGTAGATGCTCTCGGATTCGCCTAGGGACGACTCGGGGAGCCATGCCAGGAGCAGATCGGAGGCGCTTGGGTTCTGCGAGTCTACTGACGAAGGGGAGGCCGGACGACCATTATGGCCTGCTTTTTGTTGGAGAAGAGCGATGTAACCGGGGATATTATCTTTCGCCGAAGGCGTGGGATGCACGTAAACCTGCGCAGTGAAGCCCCGTCAGTTCCCAAATCTAATGGGGGTGGCGACAGTAGTTTTCGCGGCTCACCTTGCTCTTGGAAAAAAGGAGTTTAACGCCCCGACCGGTATCTGTGTGTGTGATCGTGTCGTAGTCCCCTTCCTCGTCGTCGCTCAGGGCGTAAAAGCTGCCCGAGGGTGAACGAGGTCGTGCTGGCAGTGGAGCGCTCGCCGATGGCGGGGGATCCGAGTCTGAGGTCATCGTGCAGTGCCTCGGTGATGATGTAAGGCAGAGCGTAGGGGTAATGTAGGTAGGGGGAGGGCAAGGCTCCCAGGCCTGTTGTCTTTGATGAGTCTATTCAGAGAAACAAACAATATCGGATGCGGCCCGACAGAGTTTCTTGTAAAGATGCAGTTGCAGAGGGAAACACAAAAGGTTCTGGGGAGGTGGGATGTGAGCGAACTGTGGCTAGGTATCATGGGATGTCGGAGGGGGGGGGCAAGGTGCTACGCGGTCATCAACGCCTCCCGAGGGGGGCGTGGCCACCCCGCTACGAAAGCTTGCACCCTTGTATCGGAGGGGGGTCCTGTATCTGTACCATTCGTTAGGCATCCTTTGGCGCTTATTAGCGGTACAGCTACCCGGAGCTTCGAGACGAACCATGTCATCTGCAGCATGCATGCGTCGTCATTCACGCCTGCGGCTAACCATCCGGAGGCTGTTGCGCGTTCGCACGCGCAAGCAACTCGCTTCATCGCCAAAACTCGACATTCGGTCTTCGGAAACGTAGCAGACTACTGGTGGGGTTTCTGGGTTACAGTGACTTGTTGTTTATATACTATCCTGCTGAATCAGACATACTTGTTCATCAGATAATGGAAAATAAAAGCCGTGTCCGACTTGTTAACTTGCTACCTGCGCTGGAGGTGAACACAGCCCGTCATCACCTGGGTACGTATTAAGTCGCAAATGCGTGGCTATTAGGTGTTATCTCCCTATGGACCTTCCGAACGACATATATTTCGGCATCATCCGTATCCGCGTCCCTGGATGGCGAGGTATGGCCTGCAGATCCTCGCACGAGCTTGATGGTTTGCGTTTGGTCCCGCCAAGCACCTGGTCGCACATGTCCGCATCGCAAAGGTGAGCTCCCGAGCAGCTCCACGGCGTCACCGATATGCCCCTCTCCCGTCTTTCGCACACAAGTATCCATAACCCTTCTCGTGTATCACCTCATCTCATCCGAGGACCGCTCGGGAGACCTTGCCGCCGCGGCCCGTTAGGCAGCCCTGGTCGCCCACCACCGCCACCACCACCACCACTGCCATAATCATTTCCTCCATCGTACATCCCGCCAGGAGCAAATCGGTCCTCGTAATCACCACTGCCGCCGCCTCCGCCTCCTCCTCTGCCTGACGGTGGTTGGAATGGCCCTTGGCCTCCTGCCCCTGACGCTGGACTGGCTGTCCTCGCACCTCCCCAAAGTCGCTGCTTAAGTCGATCCTGTGCTGATCCGCCTGCCGAGCTGCCCGGCGGTGTGCTCGTCGTGTCTCTTCCATAAGCCGCACTTTGTTGGTAGCTACCCGCTCGCTGGCTGGGGAGAGGCCGAGCCTGCACCTCCTCTCGTCCAGAGTCGCCAGCGCGTGCAAAGGGGCTCAATCGCGTGGGCTGCTGCTCTCCACCTCGCATCGGCGGCGGGGCTCCGCGACCCTGTCGCAGGCTCATGGAATCTTGTCTAGGCTGTGCAGCCGCGTTGTTATCCCAGAGCGAACTCAACCCCGTGGTAGGGCCGGCTTGCTGTGGTTGTTGTAGACCGCCATAACGCGAACCGACTTGCTGAGCTGGCTGAGCATAGACCGGAGTTACTGGGGGCGGTGCCTTTGGGTCGGGCGGAAGCCAGCCTGGGAAGGGCCGGCCTTTCTCTGTGTAGTAACCTCTCAGGACTCTGCAGACGTGGGTGTCGTCATCCGTGTCGCCGTCGTTTTCGCTCTGCAACAATCGACTCTGCAGGTTCGAGATCTGAGAGGTGGTGTTGGTGAGGATCCTCGAGTACCAAGATGACATTGTGCTTTGCTCCTTGTCGCGAGGATCCTGCGGGGCAGAGGTGGTCTCCGACGGTGTCTGTCGAACGGGTTGGGTTGGGGCAAAGAGCTCTGCTCCGGTCGGGCGCGAAAGCTTCTAGTCGGGAGTTCGTGGGATAAAGTCGGCCGCTTGCTGGCAGGTGGGTTTTTTCTTTCTTTTCTTTTTGTAGTAATAGGACGGAAAAGGAGTAGATTGAACCCAAGAATCGATTCCGTCGGGCTGCTTTAATTCTGGAGGGTTATTTGGAGTGGTCCGTTTCACATAAGACGGTCTTGGATAATGAGAATGAAAGCGGCCTGGGTCCGACACTTGTGGCCCAGCGGAACAATGCATGGCGGTGGGGGGGGGGGGGGGGGGGTGGGCCTACCCGCATTGTTCTAAAAGGACTTGCACTAATAGAGGTGCCACGGCTTCTTCACCGACGCCCCCCGGCCCTAGCAACTTTTCGGTGTGAGCATGGATCATGGCCGCTTCGGGAAGCGCAAACCTTGCCTTTCAACCTCCGGTTGTAGATGACCACCAGAGACACCATGTGTTCTGGGTGGGGATGGAGTTGGTTTTCCATGGTCCCGGAACAGATATCACCAACGAATCATTAGGCGCCCGCAAAAGTATATAGACACATGAAAATGAAATTCGCATGCAAACAGTATTTCGGCAACATTGAAAGCTTTTGATAGTATATCACAACATGCAGTGGTATGCGCGATGCCCCCAAGTTTCGATTTTCCGTTCCGTAGCCAGCCGTGAAGGTACCCGCGCCAGACGCCTGTAGGAATTCATCCGAGCCTTTCTATTACCAGGTCAACTCCTCCGCGATCTTGGGCCGCTCCTCGGTCTGCTTCTGCTTGAGCCTCTTCTGGTTCATCTTGACCGCGCGGCCGCGCTTCCGCTTGTCGCCAGCCTTGCGGGCAGCCTCCTCATCGCTGTCCTCGGAATCTTCCTCCTCGTCATCGTCCTCGGCCTCGTCATCGTCGCTCTCGAGCCAGTCTTCAATGTCTTCGAGCTCCTCGTCGCTCTCCTCGATGTCGGACACGTACTCGACCTCCTTCTCCAGGTCGTCCTCGTCTTCTTCCTCCTCCTCGCCCTCCTCTTCCGAATCGATGCCCGTGTCCATGTCCTTGTCGCGCTTGCCCTCGCCCTCCTTCTCCATGGAGTTGAGAACCTTTCTCCAGATCGACTCGCTGACGTTGAGGGGTTGGTCGCCGTAGGCGCCGGAACGTAATCTCTCAACAAGCTCACGCTCAATGGTGCGCTCCAACTTCGCTGCAGCCTCTGCCTTACGCTCTCTGGCCTCCTCACGGCGCCGGATCTTAGGCGCCATCTTCGGTACCAGCTTTTCGCCCATGCGCTCCTCCTCGGCGGCGATCTTTCGCATGCGAATGTTGACTTGCGTCAGACGGGTGAGACGCTGCTTGCACTTGTGGATGAGGAACTTGGGCCAGTAGATGAGCTTCTCGTCCAACATCTCCAGAGCCTTGGCATAGTTGTTCGGCAGCTTGATGCGCTCCCATAGCTTCGAGGGCATGTGTGCGCGCTCAACCGTCTTCATGTAGAGGTACAGCGTGTCCTTGTTCGGGGCTCGTCGAACGGTGGCATAGCGGGAGTTTGCCAGCGGGCACGACTGTCGATTGCAGAGACCCGTGACATTGTTTTCGTTTCTGCAAAACGTCTGCTTCTTGGTTGTGGAGAGTTTGAAGCTGCAGAACTGCTGGTTGATAATTTGCCTGATCATGTTAGCACTGACGCTGATTTGAGTGGCGGAAGGACAATTTCTCACCAGATAATCTCGTCGGATGCCATTGTGACGGTAATGGCGAAATTTGGGACGAGATGTAAGTTGTAAAAAGGCCCTGCCGCAATCGAGTACTATGAGCTCGAGAGGAAAATGTGAGGCGGCGGGGCGCTGGTTTTCCTTTCTAGCAGTCCAAAATCTTTTTTTTTCTTCCTTCATAGGCTGCAGGGGTCTTATCGCGATAAGATCGGGTGCAAAGCGGTCCGACTGGCCAATAGCATGCCATGGATTCCAAACTGGATCACGACTTTCTCATCCCCTTCACTAACCTCTTTACATTTCAACCCAGTCATCGCCACTCATGTAAAACCCATCATTACTATGGGCACTGTAGCTTTGCAAGTTTCATCTGGAGCCTTCTCTTCTTGTTTTGTCATCTGTCTTACTAGTCCATGCCTGCCCTTGTTCGGTTGATGAGGAGCCTCGGCCGAAACGTCTCCTTACAAGCTGCAAGATGTGTTAGTGGTCGAAGTCGCTATCTTGTCAGAACGGGGCCGCTGTCGTGGGGATCGACCACTGCATACCACTTACACCAACAGCATCCAACGCATCTGGATGGCCTACGGACTCAGTCAAGATACATCGCATCCACCCCTGAAGTTGTTTTTGAAGAAGACAGCATATATGCATTGTCAACAGCACAAGGCCGGGCCGGAATTGCGGTGATACGCGTATCCGGCCCTGGGTGTGCAGATGTAAGCAATTAACTACTAATAATAACAAAGTCAAAACAACTAAAACAAGCCCAGGTTTACAAAGGGCTTTGTCCGAATAAACCACTCCCCAAACCTCGCTATGCGGCTGTCCGGACACTCGTGGACGCCCAGGCCGGTGACGACGGCCCAATCCTAGACTCAAATGCCCTGGTCCTCTACTTCCCCGGCTCTAGAACGGTTACCGGAGAAGACGTCCTGGAACTGCACGTTCACGGCGGCCCCGCAACTGTCAAGGCGGTCCTCGCAGCGATCCCGAAGTGTCCGTCCGACAGCCTGATTCGGTACGCCGAGCCCGGCGAGTTCACCAAGCGCGCCTTCCTCAACGACAGGCTTGACCTGGCCCAGGTCGAGTCCCTCGGCGACACGCTCTCCGCCGACACGGAGCAACAGCGCCGCGCCGCGGTGCGAGGTAGCTCGGGCGTGCTAGGGCGCACCTACGAGAGCTGGCGCGAACAGCTCCTGCTCGCCCGGGGTGAGATCGAGGCCCTCATCGACTTTGCCGAGGATCAGCACTTTGACGAGTCGCCTTCGGAACTGATGAGAAACGTCTCGGCGCTCGTAGCCAATATGCGGCACAGCATTCGAGTGCATGAGGCTGCCAGTCAGCGTAGCGAGCTGCTGCGGAACGGCATACGGATCGCCCTTCTCGGCCCGCCCAACGTCGGCAAGAGCTCGCTGATGAATTTGATCGTCGGGCGCGAGGCTTCGATTGTGTCGATGGAGGCGGGCACCACGCGGGACATCGTCGAGGTAAGCCTCGATATCCGGGGGTACCTCTGCTCCTTTGCAGATACGGCTGGCATCCGGACCAAGTCCTCCGTGAGCCTGGGCGGTGACCTCTCTGAGCCTGCGCTGGGGATCGTCGAGGAGGAGGGCATCCGCCGAGCGAAACAGAAGGCGTCGGAATCGGACATCATCATCGTTCTAGCGGCGGTGGAGCCGGGGCGCGACGGGGGTTTCCGGATCAACTACGACGCGGAGACGTTGAGGCTCGCGTTGGAGGCTCAGTCATGCCTCGTCGTCGTGAATAAGCGAGACGCCGTTGATGGGTCTACCTTCTCCGACCTCCTTGGCCGATTCAGGGGCGAAGTAGCTGACCACGCCCCGGGTATGGCTCGGGCGGAAATCATTACAATATCTTGCCGCGAGGCGCAGGCCAAGGCCACAAGTCAAAAGGATCCGGGTGCCATCCACAGGCTCATCGACCAGCTGGTTGAGTCATTCGCGGGCATGACGTCTCTGCCCACAGATCAACAAGATCTGCTGGGTGTCACGGCAAGACAGGCACAGCTGCTTGAGCAGTGCCGCGGCTTCTTGGGCGACTTCATGGCCGTGGCGCACCCCGAGGAAGAAGGCGAGGAGCCGGATATCGTCCTCGCGGCGGAACACCTCCGGTACGCGGCAGACTGTCTCGCCAAGATCACCGGCCGCGTCGAGTCGGGCGACGTCGAAGAGGTCCTTGGTGTAATCTTCGAAAAGTAGGTGCAACGACTTTCACTCTCACTGTTTCATCGGCATACTGACACACTTGGCTACAGGTTTTGTGTAGGAAAATAGTAATTAGACAACCATTGGGGCTTGGACGGCGAAGTCGTCACTTTTCTAATGAAATCTAATATCCAGGGGAGTTTGAGAGGGAAAGGAGGAGGATGTGAGATGACAAGGCCACCAGCGAAAAAGCAATTCTACTCTATACCCATGCCTCCTATGCAATTCCAATCATTCAAAGAAACGAGGGATCCACCGCGATGCTACCATGCCAGCATGCGTATCCTGAACTCCGGCCCAATGCATGAGGAAGGAAACGAAAAGAGAAGCCGCCGCCAGTACTATTGTCTCCTGGCTTCCGCGTCTCCCGGGGGGGGGGGGGTTGCGCGGTGGCGACACGGTGTGATAAAACTCCGGTCTAATGCTGGTTGAATGGGAGGCGCGCATGTTGCGATGCGGCCAGCTAGTCAAGGCGCCGGTCAAGGCGCCGTTTGCTCTTCCGAGGGCCGTTGTCAAGAAAACGAGCCATCCTCGGCGGTGTGGAAAGTCAGAGAGGGCGTCGGCCCGGGGAGGAGAGACGCTTATTTGTCCTCCTCGTCGTCACCATCCTTGTTGTAGCCGGAGCGTCCCTTGTTCTGGGTCTCATCGTCGTCGTTGCCGTCTTTGTTGTAGCCGGAACGGCCACTGTCCTTCTCCTCGTCGTCACCGTCCTTGTTGTAGCCGGAGCGTCCGTAGACGGCGGTGGTAGGGGTGAAGATGAGCGTGAAGGCGGCCATTGTGAAGTGATGAGGAGGTGTTAAGTTGGCTGCGGTGGTAGTGATGATGTTGAGAGGATAAGTATGAGTGAAAAGGATGTAGATGTGAGAGTTGTATGCTTGGCTTGTCTGGTCTGTGAGTGTGGTGATGATGATATTTCTTGTTTCAAAGGGGGATATATCAAGTGTTTATATAGGCGTCGAGGCATCTATCCCCCCCTTCGTCGAACGTGGGCGTTGAGGCTCATCGCGTTGACTCGGAGTAAGAGCCAACCCTACCTTACAGAACAGACAACCATGATGACACAGTCTGAGCACCCCAGCCTCCGCGGAGGACCGGCGAGGGTACTTCGACAGGATGGCTTATGGGAAATGAGACTTGTGATGGTCGTTCCGGGATGGCCCCCACGGAGCTCTAGGCAGCCCTTTTCCCCCCATATGTGAAAGGCGATGACACGGGTAAGACGACAGGGAGGGTGTGGAGATGTGAAGAACAAGCTTTAGCGTTCTTGCCACTGCGAGTATGACACCGCTCGTTCCTCGACTCGTAAACCTGTATGGCTGTGTTACTGTTATCGATGCGCAGTCCACACGACATGTTACGGCAGACCGGAAACCTGGGCGACGAGATGGTGGGATGGGAGACGACGACGACAAGGGTAGGTGAGCAAGAGCCATGAACCGGGTTGCCGCAGACCAGGGCCATGGGCAGAGAGACGCGTGTGAGAGCAGTTCTCTGGGACACCAGAATAGGTAGGCTGTCACATCCCTGTTGTGTGTCTTTGACTTATTCATTTCCGTTTCTGGCTGTAAAGGGCCAAGGGCGTGGCTTGGGGCCCCGAGTCCCCGGGCGAGAGGACAGGGACAGAAACCAGAGCGACGGGATCTGGTTACACGGATTGGCGCAGGATCGTTGGTGGAAGCGCTCGGGGGGGGCAAGAGAAGATGGTGCGCAAGGGCAAGAGGACGAATGAGGAAGCGATGGACAGGGAAGAGGTTGTACGTATAGGGCTGAGTGCTGGGAACCACTCGTGCCGAGTAAGCACCAGCCTGGCCTGCCTGAAGATACGTCTCAGTTCAGGCCGGAAGAGGTGAACGAGGCAGGGCGTTTCGTAGGCTAGCAGACACAGGCTATGTGTTTCTGTCAGCATTCAAGGCTGTGCAAATGTCGCTTTGCAAGAACCTCCGACCATCAAGTTCGTGTCGGGTGGGGGACGGTGAAGTTCGCGTGGGAGGGATGTGGAACCTGACATAAGGACAGCCAATGCACATCGACTAGAGAGTTGACCGGTGTGGCAGGGGGGGGGGGGGCATTTGCCCGCCTTCGCTAGCTTCAAGGTCACCCGCGTGATGTTGATTCGTCGGATGGGATAGAAGACAGGAATGTCCTCGGTGTCGCCAGTATCTAGACGCATTGTTCTGAATGTTTTCGGAGCATTCGGCGCTTGTGTCCTATGCCGGGCGAGGAACGGAAGGTCCGCTAATCACGGTTGGTCCCGTCATTGGTAATACGCCGGCTTTCAATTCTGCTACTTTGATCGACGCTGCGAGTGAGCGACATGAAGAGTCATATGCGACGGTGACAGACCCATATTAGCCCCGTCCTATGTCCGCCTCGCGAGCAATGTGATCAGAAGCTCCGGAAACGGTCGGAGGACAGGCGAGAAACGTCACGCACCAGAGGGAGCATGGAGATGCCGAAAGTCCGCTCTACAATCATTGGTCTTGGGTGGAGGGGGAGGGGGGCAGCATGAAGCCGCTAAGGGGACGGGAATAGATGGTGCCTGACCGCTTCTGGAGGATGACCTAAGATTTCGTGGCCTCGCTTGACAAGGCACCCGGTTTTGTGGTAGTCATCCTGTCTGTTTCGCAAGACAGAAGAAGCCTGTCTGCTTGGCCAACTCTGCCCAAGTTGGCTTAGGGCGCTTCAGGGTTCGGGCAAGACCGAAGCCTGAGATCATTGGTTTCCCGATATCAAAAGTTCTACAAAGGGGCAACGCTAGGGCGAGGTGACATAATGTCGCTACTGCAGATGAGACGCGTTTCGGGCAACGTTTGTGTGTTCTTGGTTGCATGCCAACAATCCTCTGACAGCCGAGAAATAATAGAAGCCGAGGTGAGTCAGCGGGTGCAGCACAAGAGTTCCAGCAGTCCTGTCGCCATGCCAGGCTGATCGAGAGGCAGACAGACCTCGCTGCAGGCATGTGGCACGAGGCGTCATCGGGGAGGCTATTGGGAAAAGTATGCGAATGGAAACAGGCCTCGATTATCCGTACCTGATGATGAGATGTCGTCGGTAGAAGTGCAATACTTTGACGGAAGGAGATCCGAGTTGGTTGGGGTCCATACACTCGCTGACTAACGTCGAAGCAGTTGCTGAAGGTGTAGGTAGGAAACTACCTGTAGGTATCTGTACCTAGGTAGTCGTGCACAAAACCTAAGTGGCACAGTCACCGAAAGGTGGGTCAATGTGTGTGTGTATGATTGAAGTTGTCTTGTGCTGTAGCTGGTCTGTTGGGGCCATCTTGGTCCCTGTACGGAGGTGCGCGTCAAAAGTCATGATCCATAGTGCTAAGACCACCCCCTGTTAATTAACAGGGGTAATTATAAGGGTGCCCTCTATAGTGAATTACAGCTACTATTTTATATTACGGCTAAGTGAGTTATTTAGTTGCTATTAATAATTACTAGTTACTACTAATAGGATTTATTTACTGTATTTAACCTCTAAGTAATACTTACTAGTATGCTGGCCTTCCTTATACTTATTACTACTATTAAGGGTAATAATAGCCTTAATATAGGCTAGTATTTATTCTATTTATGCCTAGATTTTCTCTTGTAGTAATGCCTACTAGTACTCTTGCTACGCTTATTTAGCTATAGCTTAGTTAGTTAGGGTGCCTTTTCTTATTATAAATCGCTTTATTTACAGCTAATAAGGCTTAATAGGGTTAAGATTAGGGCTATTACTACACTAGATAAGCTTCTAGATATTATAAGTAGTATATATATAGTAGATATAGTAGTAATTATAAGAAGGTGCTTTATCCTCTTAAATAATAGTGCTAGGTAGGCACTTATTAGTAATAAATAAAAAAAGCTTAGGTAGGAGAATCTCCTTATAGTAATAGTACTAGTTAATTCCTCTGTTACCCTTATAGACTAACTTACTAGTATAGGTGTTCTAGTAAAAAGTTAGTTTGTAGCTAGGGAGCTGTTAGAGCTATAGCTAGGCTATCTTTTTCTCTAGTTCCTATTTAAGGCGCTTAACTAGCTTTAGATCTTTATTTAACTTCTTAACCTTAGTAGTAGCTTCTTACTATATTATAGCTAACTTAGGTAACTAGTAGTAGGAAAGGCTTTTTTTATTATATATAAAGTAACCTTAAAATATAAACTTAAAGTAACCTTTTTATTAAGTATAAATATATAACTTTATATAGGTAGCCCGTACATTGTATGTCAACATTTAGGAGGAGGACGCCGTGGCCCCGTTCGAGAAAATTTATCTTTTCGTCCATGGCAATGCTCTAAATACATCTCCATAGGGGCCCCTTATATACTTATTACTATAAATAGTAGCTACTATAGTAATAGCCTAAGACTACTAATATTTTATTAGACTAAATAACCTTTTTTTAATCTTTAAGTAACTAGTAGTAATATACTAGACACTAAGAAAGCCTCTCTTGCTTTATTTAAGCTATTAAGCTAGGCTTCCTTATTAGTTTAGACTTTTTAAACCTATATTACTAGAGGATTTAGTAGACTATTAAGGCTAAAATATTTATATTAAGCTCTTTTTATAGCTTACTAGCTATATTAGTATATATCTTTTCCCTACTATATTAGTTATAGTAAACCTTTTTAATAATAAGCTTTTCTACTATAGGTGTTACCTTCTTTAGCTAGCTAGCTTAAGGGGTATCTTTAACGTATTTAGGAAGGATAAAGAAAGTAGGAGCAGAGGGGTTAAAGCTATGCTTTTTTATACGTATAAGAATCTTATTAACTATAACTTTAGGTATATTAAGAGCCTTTATAACCTTATTAGCTAATTTACTACTAATATAGCTTTAAAGGGTAAGAATTAATACCTATAAGTAGGGGTTAATATAGGCTATAATAGTAGTATAAAGTAGTTATAATAGATAGTTATAATAGTTATTATTATAATAGTTATTATAATAGTTATTATAGTGAAATTACTTTTATAAGGGCCCTAAGAAAGCAGATAAATCCTATTACTCTAATTAGCTAGAAATATATAAAGTAGGTTAGGTAGTTAGGGGGTAGTCTTAGCACTATAGATTATAACTTTTAACGTGTACCTCTATAGTATGTTATTAAATTATAGGGATTTTAATAGTTAATTAATTAATTATGTTATATGTTATATAACTATAGTAAAATCCTATAGGAATAGGGAAAACCCCCTATTTCTTAGTTAGGAAATCTTAGGCTAATTATAGTAATATTATTAGTAAAGTTACCCCTAAAAGTAAGGCTAATTTACTGCCTATTCCCTAGTAATCTGTTATAAGGTAACTATATATTTACTAGCTAATTTATATATAATTTTATTATATTTAATATACCTTCTTAATATTAGTAAAGTAATTAATTACTATAATACTTATACTAAACATGCTTTATTTATAGCCTATTTATTTATTAATTATTTTTTAATATCTTATATAGTTTTTTTTATCTAGTAGTAAAGCTTTACTTTATTATTAGCTAATTTTTATTATTAATTTACTTTAAGGTATATATATTAGTTACTAATATTTAATTAAGAAATAAATATAGTAAATTATAGTATACTAAGTACTTTTATTAATCTATTAGTTATTAATTTAGCTAACTTCTTATATTTAATAGTAATTTAATTTATTACTACTTCTTAGTATAACTAGTAGTTATAAATATTTATATATTATAGCCTTATTTATAGTTAAATAAGCTTTTTAGTAATAAGCCTAATAGTCTAAGTATTATTATAGCTAATATAAATA